AGCCGCCGCCCACACCGGTGCACCGTACAGTGCCATTGACCGGACAACCCCCGTGTACAGCCGTCTTGTCGCGACGCTGGGTCCACCCATATTGGGCAAAAGTCGCCCTAGGGCAGACGCAGCGCCGACCAGCTTTGGAGCAAGCTGTCGGAAGTGCTCGTCGAAGAGCCACCTCCCGTCGAGGATCAGGCCCAGATATTTCATCTGGGCCCGAACCGGTACGAGGACCGAGTTGACCACTATTGAGGCGCCAGGGGGTGGACCACGACGGGGCCCATGGAATAACAGGGCCTCCGTCTTATCTAGGGCCACCCGTAAGCCCAGCGCCTCAATGCGCCCGACCACCAGGGAGACTCCCCCTGTGGCCAGGCGCGCCGCCTCTTGGAAGTTTGCCCCCCGGGCTGTCACGAGGGTATCGTCTGCGTAACAGATTACACCCAGCCCGGGGGGGAAATCGGCGCGAAGGGCCCAGTCGTACCCTATGTTCCACAAGAGGGGTCCAAGAACAGACCCCTGTGGAACACCGCACGACATGGGCCGACACTTCAGATTACCTTCTCGGTCCTCGTACACGACGGTACGCTCCTCTAAATAGTCTGCCACCAGCCGCCTCAGGTACTTTGGCACCCCATGATAGTGGAGTGGTGTGACTAAATCAACCTTCCTCTTTGGAAAAAGAAATGTACAGGTTGATAGAATTGGTTTGTAAGGATGACTTGAATAATAACACGGCTGTTGAGTACAAACTGATTTATAACTTAAAATAAGAGTACATACAGTCATACATCTATTGAGTAAATATATATATGATTATACAGTATACCTACACTACACGTTGATTATTAAACGAATTAACTGAACTGAATAATACAATTTTTAAGTATTACATTTTAATAAAATTGGCGGTCATCTCTTAACGGAACACCACAGAAAAAAAAACTTGTAAGTAAGGGTAGTCACCATAACGGCCTAATCTTATAAAAGTAATTACGTCCCTTCAAGACCACGGTACTCGTTATGGCGACGTCAGCCCATAAACTTACAGCGACACCTTGATTCTCTCTACATAAGCTTTTGTATCTGCACAAGTGACTGACATCCACGAGCCGGCAGACACGTAAGAATCCATATATATTTTGCCACTGTTGTAAAATTTTACCGTAAGCACCATCTCTACAATCTGAGACGCCCATCCTCGGTAGGACTCCATTCTCCAACTTCCCCTGAATTGTTTATAATCTGAAGACTGCGAATATTCTGACAAGTGCAATTCCGAACGAGGCACCGTACCTGCTTTGCCAGTCGTCAATGTTAAGTCACCTTCGGCAACAATCGTGTCAGCGATGCCTGTGATCTCTTCGTATGTTGCACTGTAGTCTGATAGTGTACCCAAGTAGAATGTGTATGAATTGTGATGTTCACCGCCTGATGCACACGCTTTCCTTTCGTTCTTCCATGTTGGTCCAGATATGATGAACGATTTACAATCGGCCCCCACCGCAGCAAAAATAATTATTGCGAATATAATCTTAAGCATTTTGTGTATAGAGCTTTTTCTTGAAGACTGATTACTGAATATGTAGGTACACAAAAGAGTGTCTTATATACTCTACGTTATAACCTGAAAGGTTATCACTTCACGAGTATTTGAACAACTTGTTGCAGCCAAACTGTGTAGTGTGGTATTCAATTTAATAACTAACCAGGCATTTTTTGATATTGCCTTGAAGGCCAACTCGCTTTCTAGTTACTTACAAGTAGGTACTTGTTGATTGTTTGCAGTGCGAACGCACCACCTCATGGTAAATAACCACCGCCACCCGCGGACGCTTGCAATACCATATATACCCAGAATTACACGGGAGGATAGAGGGGTAGGATTAGTTTACCTTCCTCACTCGGTAAAAAAACAGCCAAAAAATAGCTTAAAGAGACACACCCCTCAGAATTACACGAGGAGGGTGGAGGGGTGGGGTTAGTTTACGGCATTCACTCGGTAAAAAAGATATGGACAAATTTCGATTTTCGCGAAAATTTTTAAGTACCAAATTTTTTTTCATTTTTTGGAATTATTCCTTTATTTGTGCTGTAAGTAACGTTTCTTTTTGCCAAATTTCGTGATTCTAGATCAGCGGGAACTACCATATAGGTTTTCGATGCAAAACCTATAGGGTGCTTCCGGTTGACGTAGAATTGTCAAATTTGGTAAATTTTGATAATTAAGGTAAATTTTGGTACTTACCTACAAGTTTCTGCGAAAATCGAAATTTGTCCATATCTTTTTATCGTGTAACCTTAACCTCAGTATCTGGTATAAATTTCAACTTGCTAGGTCTACCCGTTCCTGAGAAAATCAGTGTTGACACACGGACAGACGGACAAGAAAGTGATCATATAATGGTTCCTTTCTTACCTTTTGAGGTACGGAACCCTAAAAATTGCTTAAAGAGACACCCCCTCCAGAATTACTCGTGGAGGGTGGAGGGAATGGGGTTATTTTACCTCCCTCACTCGGTAAAAAACAAAGAAAAAATTGCTTAAAGAGACACCCCTTCCAGAATTACACTTTGAGGGTGAAGGGGTCTGGTTAGTTTACCTCCCTCACTCGGTAAAAAGCTTAACAGCGTTTAAGTCCGTGGTATCACTCCGGGCGGGCCAGCCTGATGATGCCAAACACCTGAGCATGGCTTTCCCACAACAAAACTTCTAAGTACTAGTTTTATATTGAAATAATTATATTGAAAAATTAATAATGAAATAATAAAAACGTTTGCGATAGCCCTGATTCAAAATTGCATAACAGCCCTGTTTCGACAGTCACAGTCGCCCTGATAGTCCCGTCTGGCCACCGTGGTATAGTAGGTCAAAACCTCCTTTCTAATGATGGGCCTATGTCCAGCAGTGGATTATTAAAGGCTGTTTCTGATGATGATTCCAATAAAGCAGTTGACCTTCGTCTGCTTTCTCAAAAGGAATAAATTTATATATTAGTATCTACATTGCACCCGTGCGAAGCCGAATGGATCGCTAATACATATATATAAATAAAAGTGAATCGCCGAAATGCATGTACGCGCATAACTTCCTAACGACTGCACCAATTGTGGATTTAAAAAAATTGTGTTCGATATTTTCAAGACAAGGTTGAATAGGGTACGGAATGTCACCACCCCTATTCATCCCGTGGGTGTCGTAAGAGCCGACTAAGGCAGCAAACTACGCAGGACAATAGCACTGCAAAGAGAAGGAAAACTTGAAACAAACCCTATATCAATCTATCCTTTCTAAGGAGAGGCCTATGTCCAGCAGTGGACTCTTATAGCCTGTTGATGATGAGTGACTGGGAAAGAAGACTGTGAGAGATTTATACTAATATTATAACGAGGTAAAGTTTGTAAGTTCTTATGTTCGGCATAATCTCAGGAACTATGGTTTCGAATTGAAAATTCGTATAGTATTGGATAGCCCGTTTATCGAGGAGGGATATAGGCTACATGACAGCATGCAGTGACCAAAAGGAGAAGAGTATCAATAAAAAATGTGCCAAAAACGGGGAAAATTTATTCCTTTTGAGAAAGCAGACGAAGGTCAACTGCTTTATTGGAATCATCATCAGAAACAGCCTTTAATAATCCACTGCTGGACATAGGCCCATCATTAGAAAGGAGGTTTTGACCTACTATACCACGGTGGCCAGACGGGACTATCAGGGCGACTGTGACTGTCGAAACAGGGCTGTTATGCAATTTTGAATCAGGGCTATCGCAAACGTTTTTATTATTTCATTATTAATTTTTCAATATAATTATTTCAATATAAAACTAGTACTTAGAAGTTTTGTTGTGGGAAAGCCATGCTCAGGTGTTTGGCATCATCAGGCTGGCCCGCCCGGAGTGATACCACGGACTTAAACGCTGTTAAGCTTTTTACCGAGTGAGGGAGGTAAACTAACCAGACCCCTTCACCCTCAAAGTGTAATTCTGGAAGGGGTGTCTCTTTAAGCAATTTTTTCTTTGTTTTTTACCGAGTGAGGGAGGTAAAATAACCCCATTCCCTCCACCCTCCACGAGTAATTCTGGAGGGGGTGTCTCTTTAAGCAATTTTTAGGGTTCCGTACCTCAAAAGGTAAGAAAGGAACCATTATATGATCACTTTCTTGTCCGTCTGTCCGTGTGTCAACACTGATTTTCTCAGGAACGGGTAGACCTAGCAAGTTGAAATTTATACCAGATACTGAGGTTAAGGTTACACGATAAAAAGATATGGACAAATTTCGATTTTCGCAGAAACTTGTAGGTAAGTACCAAAATTTACCTTAATTATCAAAATTTACCAAATTTGACAATTCTACGTCAACCGGAAGCACCCTATAGGTTTTGCATCGAAAACCTATATGGTAGTTCCCGCTGATCTAGAATCACGAAATTTGGCAAAAAGAAACGTTACTTACAGCACAAATAAAGGAATAATTCCAAAAAATGAAAAAAAATTTGGTACTTAAAAATTTTCGCGAAAATCGAAATTTGTCCATATCTTTTTTACCGAGTGAATGCCGTAAACTAACCCCACCCCTCCACCCTCCTCGTGTAATTCTGAGGGGTGTGTCTCTTTAAGCTATTTTTTGGCTGTTTTTTACCGAGTGAGGAAGGTAAACTAATCCTACCCCTCTATCCTCCCGTGTAATTCTGGGTATATATGGTATTGCAAGCGTCCGCGGGTGGCGGTGGTTATTTACCATGAGGTGGTGCGTTCGCACTGCAAACAATCAACAAGTACCTACTTGTAAGTAACTAGAAAGCGAGTTGGCCTTCAAGGCAATATCAAAAAATGCCTGGTTAGTTATTAAATTGAATACCACACTACACAGTTTGGCTGCAACAAGTTGTTCAAATACTCGTGAAGTGATAACCTTTCAGGTTATAACGTAGAGTATATAAGACACTCTTTTGTGTACCTACATATTCAGTAATCAGTCTTCAAGAAAAAGCTCTATACACAAAATGCTTAAGATTATATTCGCAATAATTATTTTTGCTGCGGTGGGGGCCGATTGTAAATCGTTCATCATATCTGGACCAACATGGAAGAACGAAAGGAAAGCGTGTGCATCAGGCGGTGAACATCACAATTCATACACATTCTACTTGGGTACACTATCAGACTACAGTGCAACATACGAAGAGATCACAGGCATCGCTGACACGATTGTTGCCGAAGGTGACTTAACATTGACGACTGGCAAAGCAGGTACGGTGCCTCGTTCGGAATTGCACTTGTCAGAATATTCGCAGTCTTCAGATTATAAACAATTCAGGGGAAGTTGGAGAATGGAGTCCTACCGAGGATGGGCGTCTCAGATTGTAGAGATGGTGCTTACGGTAAAATTTTACAACAGTGGCAAAATATATATGGATTCTTACGTGTCTGCCGGCTCGTGGATGTCAGTCACTTGTGCAGATACAAAAGCTTATGTAGAGAGAATCAAGGTGTCGCTGTAACTTTATGGGCTGACGTCGCCATAACGAGTACCGTGGTCTTGAAGGGACGTAATTACTTTTATAAGATTAGGCCGTTATGGTGACTACCCTTACTTACAAGTTTTTTTTTCTGTGGTGTTCCGTTAAGAGATGACCGCCAATTTTATTAAAATGTAATACTTAAAAATTGTATTATTCAGTTCAGTTAATTCGTTTAATAATCCATTCAATGGTGACACTAGCTAAAAGCTTGGCTAGTGTATAAATAAGGATTCTTTGATTGTTAGTTCAGTAACATAACTGAAACTTAACATTCTAACAAAATTAATATTGAGATATTCAACGATAACCGTTTTCAGTAACCCGGCTATTAACTCTTGTATTTGTATACACTTTCATGGTATCTCATGAAAGCGATAATTTTAAAATTACATAAACAGTAAAAACAAAAAGATAGATAAAGGAAGTGAGCGTAATCTTTTTTAATTGTGCTAAATACTCCACGCATTTATGCACGTGTTATCAGTAAAAGCCGTACAAATGCTCCACGCATTAATGCACGTATTATTTGTAAAGACAATGCAAATGCTTCACGCATACTTGCATTATTTTATTCTCGTAAGTACTGGAATGATGCTGTGGTACTGAGCGGTCTTTTACGCCTTGGTCCACAGAGGCTCTAAAGGAAAAGAGAACTAGGTCGATGCTGGGGCCTAGGCCTGACCGTTATGACCGTGGTCCCCAGAGGCTCTGAAAATGTACTTGCCATATAGGGCTTGTACTAGGGTATGATGCTGTGGTGCTGAGCGGTATCGTACGCCGTGGTCCACAGAGGCTCTATAGGAATGGGGAAGGACGATGCTGGGGCCTAGGCCTTATTTTTATGACCGTGGTCCCCAGTGGCTCTGAAAAAGTTATTACACTGCTGTTGTACTAATGAAGCTCACAGGGATTTGATGCTGTGGTGCTGAGCGGTTTTGTACGCCGTGGTCCACAGGGGCTCTAAGGATTACGGAAGGACGACGCTGGGGCCTAGGCCTTATTTTTTATGACCGTGGTCCCCAGAGGCTCTGAAAATGGTTTAGATATAGGATAGGGATCATAGGATGCAAAAACGTCACAGTTTCTATTCGTTAAACCATATCAACAGTAAAGTAACGAATTAGAAATCTTGGTAAGGAAATACGAGACCAAAACTAGTTGACAAGTTAATCAGTCTCTTGTCAAAATATCTGGTTATAATAGAAACATAGAAAATAAACAGATAAAAAGTAAACAATATAACTAATCACTTTGTTTAGGATTGCCCAATACCTTGAGATGTGGAGGGTCTTGGTTCACCAGACACATCAAATATCGATGGTTCACTGACCCGACTGGTGGGTGCATCCTCCACCAGTGATGTCTGCTGTCGGGTTTCATTATCGGGACCCGTCGACACGGTTTCCTGGTCGCCTGGCTGTGGTGCTCGGCGTAGCTGGTCATGAGCTACCTTACGTGGACGCCCTCTGCCAGTAACTCGTCTCACTATGTAGCGATCATTATCCAATACCCTGTATATCTCGTATGGTTCACTATATTTGAGATCTAAGGAAGTCTGATTTCGTGGGTTGTTCTTAATAAGAACGTAGTCTCCTCTCTGGAATAGCCGCACCTTGGCTTTTGTTTTATCAAAACGCTGTTTATCGTATTGAGCTGCAGCAGTCATTTTCTGCTGCACATGCTGTTCTAACGAGTCAAAGTCTATGGATTCTTCGTCAATGTTTACCAATCGTAGGAGATCTGGTGGTACACAATGTTGACGGCGAGTTAAGAGCGTGAGGGGCGCAACTCCCGTTATTCTATGGGGAGTGCAGTTAAAAGCGAGCTGTAAAGCTTCTAATGCAGTCTGCCAATCCTCAGTGTCATAATTCCTGATCATGGTTAATGCATTTTTAGCGTGCCCATGACCCTCTCGACTTGACCGTTCGCTAGGCTTACTCCTGGCGCTATTGAATGTAGATCGATACCGAACCGATCACAGTATTGCTTGAATTCTCCGAGAAATTCTCGCCCCCCATCGACTATTACCTGCACAGGAGTTCCAAATAGGTGCACAACGCGTTTTAGTGCTGCAAGACTGCTACTTGGACTTTTATCGTTAGAATATTCAAGTAGAATATACTTACTGAAGGCATCAATAGTAACAATGACATATTCTTCAAGTCCTTGATTTCTCGTTCCAAGTTTACCTGTAATATCCATGTGAATTACCTGAAACACTGCAGCAGGTTTCTGGATGGGATGGAGTTGTGCTTGGGTCGCACCCGAAGGTCCTTTTGAGGTTCTGCATACTATGCAATTGTCGACGAACCTTCTGACTGTAGTATTCATTTTATCAAACCAGTAGGACTGTTTCAACTTTTGCAAGGTTTTCTCCCAACCAGGATGTTTTAGTGCGTTGTGAAATGAGTTTATCAAACTCCATTGGAAAGATCTAGGGACTACTGTTAACTTACGCATTCCAAGTACGGATTCGGTGTGTATTCTCTTAAGAATGCCTTCCTCAAGAATGTAGTCAGCAGGTGGGTTATCACTGGACATACTCTCTATCACAGGGCGAAGAGAGTCGTCACGCCTTTGCTCGATTTGTAACCACTCTAAGTCTCGAGTCATAAAGTTGATGGACATCTCGTTTGATGGGTTTCGGCTGAAAAAGTCTGCGTGTTGCAGGCGCTCACCTTTTCGATATTCGATGTCAAAATTGTAATTCTGTAGGAAAGCCCACCATCGATGGATCCGAGGCAGTAAGTCCTTATTCTTAGATGCTTTCAGGGCATTACAGTCAGTTATTACCTTGAATTTTCGACCGTAAAGATAATGTCGGAAATGTTTCACAGCTCTAACCACTGCTAGTGTTTCGAGCTCGTAAGAGTGATAACGGCTCTCAGCGTCAGTGGTGCGCTGGCTCATGTACGCGACTGGATGTTGGCGGTTTCCAAGGGTCTGTATCAACACCGCCCCATAGCCGATACTACTCGCATCCGTGTAGAGCTCAATGGGAGCGTTTTCCTGAAAGAGCAAAAGGGCAGGCGCAGTAGACAAGTGTTGAATAATGCGGTTTCGGGCCTCGTCGTGTCTGTCATTCCATTCCCATTTCACATTATTCTTTGTAAGTTCATATAGTGGTAGCATCACACGAGAGAAATCGGGAATAAAGCGCCTGAAGTATCCGGCAAGGCCATTAAACTGCCTAACTTGTTTGACAGTTTTTGGGATTGGTGCCTTCGTTAAAGCCTCCACTTTCCTTGGGCTAGGACTGACTTGACCATCAGATATTACATTACCCAAGTATTCAATGGAGCGTTTAAAGAAGGCAGTTTTGTCCACATTTATTGAAAATCCGGAATCCCGAAGTGCCAGCAATATACGTTCAATTTGGGAGAGTCCCTCCTCGAACCCCTTACATTTCGAAAGTACGTCATCGACATATACCTGGCATACAGGCTCCACCGACGACAATAGAGGAGCTAAAGCCTTAGTTATACACCTTTGCCAGCCCAAATGGCATAGTCAAATAGTGGTATAGCCCATCTGGCGTTACAAAGGCGGTTTTCTCGATAGAACCCTCTGCTATTGGAATTTGGTGGAATCCTGCCGCCATATCAAACGTGGTGAAGTAAACACCCCCCGCCAGCTGATCTATTTGGTCGGATATAATTGGCAACGGAAAATGATCCCTCAAAGTATTTCTATTTAGCTCGCGATAGTCGACACACATACGATCCTCACCATTTTTCTTTTTGACCAAAATTATTGGACTTGAAAATGGGGATTTGCTTTCGCATATAATATTGTGCTTTAGTAGCTCTGCCACAATTTGACGAACCTTTTCTCGTTCAACAGGACTCAAACGGTATGGTCTGCGTTCGACACATTTACTCTCATCTTTTAGACGTATTTCTAACTCACCCGTGTTTACACGAGAGTGAGGGTAGCCACGGATGAATAAATGTTCGAACTTATTTAGCAAGAGTTTAAGTTCATTGATTTGATCTTCATTATTTAAATCGCAATCTAATTTGTCAAATTTTTCACACTGTGATTGCATGTGATAGACCACCGATTGACGTATCAATGTAGCCCCCTGAGAGCCCACCAACACGCTTATGTTTGAATTTTGAACGAGATTCATTCCTATAAGAATATCTGAACATATTTCGTAGTCTGGAACCACATGAAACTCGAGCTCTACCCTCATATTATCGATTAAACAGACTGTTGTCAATGTCGATAGAGATACTATTGTAAACTGACCAAGTCCCTTCAAGTATTTTACTATATCCATCCTCTTACCGGGTAATTTATTGGCAACGGATTCTCGTATTAACGAGCATTCGGCTCCGCTATCAAAAATTGCGAATATTTTGATATCACCAACAATCACTAGCATTGAATTTAATTGCGTTTTACCCACACAGTTAACATTGGAAATCACTGCGTTTTCACGTTTAAAACATGTTTCAAAAGTATGCCCTACCCTCGAACAGAACGTACAAACAGGCTTACTTTGTACTGGCTTATTACTTTGTGAAACATATGCATGATCCAGTGGACGTGATTGAGGCTCATTAAACTTGTTACGGAAACGGCAATCGCGCATCTCATGACCCGACTTTTTACAAAACTGACAAAAGAGCGAAGACTTCTCGGGAAACCGAGGTCGCTTGGCAGTGCTCCCATGTTGCGTACCAAAAGTACTAGGATAAGAGCGCTTAACGCTTCGTATAGAAGAAGCTACCGAAATCAACTCGGGTACCGAAGCAGCCCTAGCATTCATCAATTCAATTCGCAGTCGTTCATCTCCAACACAACCAATGACGGCTTCGACCGCGTCATCATTTGATAATTTATCCTTGGTTATACGTCGCCAAAGCACCCAAGCTTGTGACAAAAACTGCGCTATGTCTTTAGAGTTGTCATAGCAATGTTCCCTAAAGCGAACTATGTCACGCGAGTATCTACTTTCGGGCTCAAATGTGGTAACCAACAGCTCACGCAATTCTGACCATGTGGTGGTAGAAACTAGCCAATTGTCAACCCATAACCTTGCGCGTCCTTTAAGTAAGCTACCAGGCTTCATTCTGACATCGTAGTCGCTCAGGTTATAGGTTTCCATTGCAGTACTTACATGTTGACACCACTCTCGTATCCCTATGTTAGTGTCGGGATCGTACGACGGTAAAAACACATCACTAATTTTCACTTTTTCAGATTGCGTTGAGACACGATCTGACATATGTTTCATCACTTGCAACATCTGCAGTGCTGACGTCACCACAATTACTATTTTCACTCATTGCAAATGATAAAAACACCTTTAGTACAAAACACAATATAATTTATTGGTGACACAGGTTAACAATCTAAATAATAGTAATAGTACTCACAAGAGCTCTTGCTTCCTCCAAGTCCAATACGAGAATGCCCTTATACGCGGTTTGTTGCGTTTTAAATAGAATCTGAATACACTTTTTCTGCATACCGTCATAATTACAAAATGTTTGAACTAAAGTAAATATTAAACAAAATAACCAAACAAACCTTTGGTTGTTTGTCATAAATCGAGATATGAAATAAGAGTACGCTTATCTATTAAATCTATAAACAGTTACAAGTAATGGAAACAGTAACAAAGAACTACCCTCGACTCGTAACAAATCAATCAACTGCTCGTTTGACCTAAAAGTATGCAAACACTATCTGTAATCTTAACATCTTAATTTACTAGTTAAATTAATTGATTAAAATTCATTGATAATCAAATCGAGATTATTGCGCGTCGACATAAATATGTCAAAAAAAAATTATGATTCAATGTATACAATGCGTAAATAAACAATTTAAAAAAATTACCTGATCCTGTTACTAAACTTTTTTTTTATTTTGCTCCTTTCTTTTCTATTAGTTGCTAATAAAGTTGTCATCTTTTTTTTTAATTTACCTATTGGAATTTTCAGTTCATTTGAAATTGCCTTCCTTGCATCTTGGCGTAAATCGTTATTTCGATAATCAGTTAGTGTGCTATCCCACAAGACCCGGTGAAATTCATAAAGTTGAATCAATCTGATGATATTTTCATTATTGAAACTCGAAGAACACGCGTGTTTATTCATTTTGCCGTCCAAATATAGCGTACCCGGTCGTGTGCGTTCTCTTTGACGCGCCGACCAAAAACCGACTGACGGCGGTTCGCGCTGCGAGCTAGCTCGCGCAGTACGCGTTCCCCAAGAGTGTACGCGTAGCTGCAAGTATGGACATGACGTTCCGGACACGCGTAAACTGACTACGCGTACCAGTGTACGCGCTATCCGTACGCACTTTAATATAAATAATTAATTCATCGTTTTTTTGTTATTTTTAATGTTTATATTTGTAAACGTTTGAGTTGATGTTTATTAAAAAAGAATTTCTTAAAAATAATTTCTAGAAATAAAATAAATGAAATAAAATTGCAAAAATCTGTGACATCACACTAGGGAGGGAGAAATCTCACAAATGTGACAAGGACAAGTATCGGTAAAAAAAAAAACTCGAGACATAATTTATGGATGACTTATTATTCCCTTAGCAAGTAGCAATAAAAGTCTGCATTTAAATTAATATTATTCTCATTTAATACTGTCATAATAATAAATTAATACAATTAGATATTTAATTATAATTATTATCTACATCATACGCTCCGTGGTGGGATTTCATATGATTTTTTAAACTTCCATTTTGTGTAAACGTCGAACTGCACACGTCACATTTGTACCGTCTTTCGTTGCTGTGGGACCGGATGTGTTCTTGCAGCGACTGTAATCTTGGATAACTCTTATCACAAAACTCACACCGGAAGTTCCTCTCGCCCGTGTGGGTCGCCATGTGCTCCTTCAAACGCGACGGTAAATAGAACCTCTGGTCACACAAATCGCATTGATGCCTATACACCTTCAGATGGTTCCTTCTGTTGTGTTCCATTAAAGTTTTCCGTCTATTATATACCTTGTCACACAATTTACAAGCAAAAGTCCTTTTGTCTCCGTGAACCTCTATTAAATGGCGGTTTCTTAACGCGTAAGACAAAAAACTAGCTTCACATTTGTAGCAATTTACCGTCGGTTTCTTTTCGTGCACCGTAGCGACATGCAAGTACCTACTATATTTAGATTTTAAGTTTTTACCGCAAATTTCGCAAGGGAAACTCTCTTCGACTTTACTGTGAGATTTAATGTGAGTTCTGAGAGAGTTTCTTTCGAGGAAACAAGCTCCGCAGACATCGCAAATATAAGTACCGAAATGATCGATCATGTGTTTTTTCAGAACATCGAAATACGGGAACGCGGCATTGCACTCTGTACAGATTAAATTATCCATAGACAATTTAAATTTTAAAAACTCGTTCGAAACCGGATACACGACTTTTGAGTGCACGCTAGAGATGTGATTTTTAAACGTGTCGAGATCATCGATTTTGTCGTTGCACAATCGACAATCGATTCTAGTGATGTCTATTTTCGGAATTTTACGGTTTTCCATTGTACTTTGGAAGAGTTCTACGGGGTCGTGGGTTAATGTATGTTCTCTTAGTTCGTTGGGGTTGGTAAACTGGTCCCTGCAGTAGAAGCAATAATATATACTGATGCGGTTTTGAAAGGGGCAGACGTATGAATTGTGGACAATTGTTACAGCATTGTTGTACAGCATATAGTCGTGGTCTAATTCTTGTTGTTTCTTCTTTAGCTTCTGTGTTTCTTTCTTGACTGGGGTTTTTACTGTAAAAAGAGAACAGTTTTTTTGGGGTTAGGTTTTAAAACTTAAAATATTTTACTTTCATAAAAAGAAAAATATTTTTGAAATAGTATTCGACTAAAGTCATAGATCAACATTCTGTTTTGTTAAATGTTTAGCAGAAGGCAGTTTATCCATTATATGCCTGTGCCGATCTACAACCGCACGTTTCTAAGGGGTTGAGCCTTATGAGAAGAAAGGGCCAAACTCAGAGCCACTCTTTTTTAATTCCAGCTATAACCCGGCAATCTCGTGCGCGACCGTCCCGCGGGGTGACAGAAAGTGGCGGGGGCGAGGTAGCGCGTCATTCTAGCACACGGCTACACGCGTTGCCCTTCCCCGCTAAACCACCCGCTACCCGCTGACATCTTGAGTACCTCGTCCCCGCCACCGTCTGTCACCCCGCAGGACGGTCGCGCACGTCGTTGATGGACTATAGATACAATCGCATCATTAAATATATAACAACATTGTGTGAGCCAGTATGTCAGTCATTAAGGACTAAAAGGTAAAGAAAAAACAAGATAAACAAAAAAGATGAAATAGGATTGAAAGTGAAGTAAAATATTTAGGATGAGAAACATAAATAAAAAACATGCTAGCCCACACTACATTTTCACTTAAGAAATAGTCTGTGCTAAATTAACGCCAAACATTCTTGTCTTCTATGTAATTCACAATAATAATAACTTATAAAAATAATAATAACTTCACACATCTCAATTGTCTGGTTCCAAACTAGGCAGAGCCTGTACTATGGTAACCAGACTGCTGATAAACATACTTAAATATATCTAAATAGATACATATTATGGATAAATTACAACCACTCTCATGATTAGCTGGTACCCGCGACTTCCTTCGCGTGGAATTTTAAATTTTATAGTGTTTTTCTGAGAGGAAGTTACTCCTTATATAGACAGCTACTTGGTAGCAAAATATTATCAAAATCGGTCCAGCCGTATAGAAGATTAACCGGAACAAACAGATAGACAGACAAAAAGTTTTTTAACTGGTTTTTAGGCATAGGTATCGTGCAAATAACCGTGTGAGCATGAAAAAAGTTATTATTTTGATATTACAGACACTTCAATTTTATTTTTTTGTATAGAGTATAAAGGTGTATAAAGTTTTGTTGCATTGTACGACGGCGGAAAGCGGTAACCTTGAAACATACCAGGCTTGTCCAACATGTGATCTAACTTGGCCCTCAACTTGTTCATCTTGTGAAGGATCTCTCTTTTGACGTGCACTTTGTGTTTGCCGCGAGTACGTTCGCACACCGGCTCTGTATCCAGCTTCACATCATCCTTGACGTCTTTTGTGTCTAAAAGTTCTGCAAGAAACAATAAGCACGGTGCTTAGCAATTATTTAGGTGCTTTTCACCGAGTGAGTGAGGTAACCGGCGCCGCCTTGACTCTGGAGGGGTGAGGGGGGGGGGGTTGAGGTGGCGGTGGGGAGGGGTTTGAGGGAGGGTTGAGGGGAGGGGCCGGTCAGCTGAGAGGGGCTTTCCAAAAGTGGGGAATACTAAAGTAGACAAAACTGTTTGTGTATAGTTTTTGATACTCAGCAGTATCAAATAACTTATTTGTCTGACAACGAAAGAAATCCTCAAGAAACATCAATTACTTAATAAGTCTATAATTTATCTTTCTCTGAGGAACAGCATCTCGTATACGGCACTCTGATGTCAAACTAGACAGAGGCTGTGCTATGGTAACCAGATTTACCTGCTTAAATATTTCTAAATACATACATATTATAGACAAATCACAACCAGACACAGAACAAATAATCATGCTCATCACACAATTATATGTCCTGGGTGGGAATCGAACCCACAGCCTCTGGCTTAGCAGTCAGGGTCACTAACCACTCGATCAAGAGCCCAGTCATATAATTTAATACTTAACATAAAATACCTGTCATATTCTCATCGTGAATATCATCTCTGTCATCCATTGATCCATCAGATTCATCACCGGCCATAGGTTCCGCCTTCACTTCCACCTCCACCTTACTGGTGCCATCTGAAATTTGAAGAGAGTTTTGTCAATCTACAACAGACAGACAGACTGTACTATTAAAATAAATCTTTACATAGTATAAAATGAAGTCGCTTCCTGTTCCAGTACGCTTAGATCTTTTAAACTACGCACCAGATTTTAATGTGGTTTTCATTTATAGAGAGAGTGATTCAAAATGAAGGTTTATAATATAATATTATAATATTGTACCACATTCACACAACGCCATCTAGTCCCAAACTAAGCAGAGCGTGTACTATGGGTACTAGACAACTGATATAAATACATATATACTTTTTTTTTGTAAATACATACATATTATACATAGAAACAACCAGACCAAATCAAATATTAAATGTTGATGCACACAAATGTTTGACTTGCGACCTTTTGAATAGCAGTCCGTTACACTAACAACTATGCCATCCGGTCGTTTATATAATACATGTATATTTTGATATTGCACCCGTGAGAAGCCGGGGTCGTTGACTAGTATCAAGTAACTTGTCAATTGTTGAGTGTTCATAGATGAAAACGTTTGACCCCATGTTGCTCGTTCGTCATCACGTCATATCGGTAGTAAGCGCATAAATTACTGCCATTAAATTTAAATGAATTCCTAAAGATTGTCGAAGAAGATTGAACAATATTTACATCCTACATGGAAGATTTATTATTATAGACGAGCAGCAAAATTGTTGTTCAGTCCAGTGAACCCTGTGTGGTTTTCCAACCATTTATCAAGATGACACTTAAAACTGTATACAGTAGTAATAATTTGTACAGTACATACAGTAATAAATTGATTGTATTAAGTGTGACAGGCTACAATCCCTGGTATTTAACACAAAGGATTCATATAATTTTTGTACTTTCTACCATTACAAAAACTGAGGAGTAATTAGTCGTAAATATCTCACCATCTTTAGATTGCATCTTGGTGCTGAGGAATGCATCTTCACATTGCAACACCTGTTGTCTAAAAGCATATGCGTCACGCAGTCTCACTACGCAGGTTGCACACACACAACAATCCTTGCTGTCGCCATCCAGGTGAGATAACTGCAATATAAATATATATTTTATAGCGAGTATAAGGATAATTACACAATGCCAATTTTTCTTTAAAGACAACTCCCACACTAGGGACATAACCCTGTGTCGCGAGATACTTTACGGAATACACGTAAGGGATACTAAAAACACCCAGACTCAGAACAACAATTTGTGAGTCACACAAAGTGTGCAGTCAAATTATGTAATGTTATTATAACTTGAGACATTTCATACTGTCTGAACCTAGACAGAACTTGCACAATGAAAACTACTGACTGACTGCTCCTAAATATATTTCATCATCATCATTATCATCATCTTCAATAGTCTTAAATAGTCCACTGATGGACAAAGGTCTATCCTTAGAAAGGAGGTTTTGACCTACTATGCAACGCTGGCTATATATATTTACTTATTTAATAAAAACTTACATATTATAATAAGTTAACCCATACAGAACAAATCGCCTGTCCCTATTAAGAAGGTTGGATATGCAATTTTCTTGATTTTGCTTTTATTTTTCTATTGACCTAAAAAAGCAATATTTTTCAGCAGCTTTAACAAAAAGTCAATTTTTCCTCATATTTTTAAAATAGCTATGTTAACAAATTAATTTTATGTATTTATATATGTACAAAATTAGGCAATTTTAAACTTTGACGCGTCCTCCTGTAAAATTGCTGATTTGCAGATCCTACATTCTTAATAGGGATGGGCGAAATGATGGGGTTGGAATTAAATTAGACAAAGCAGTTTTCATTTCCATATTAATAATTATGTAAGTATGTTTATCAGTTGGTATGGTGCCCATAGTGCAGGCTCTGTCAAGTTTGAGATCAGACAACTGTCTGTAAGGTGTGTCGAGTTATTATTACTTAACATATTTTGAGACATGTGTGTGTATGTTTATATGTTGTTTATTTATTGTTGTTTGTAAACATGTCTGTATATTCCTGAAAAGGAAATGAATATGTGCATATTATATGTGCATATTGTACTCTAGTTTTGAACCCAGAAAATAGGAATTCAGAATATTCCAGTACCATTTTAGATTTCTCGTTCTTAATAAGAAATTCATAATAAAAAAATTGGATGGCGAACTTAAAAATCTTTATGAACTCTAAATTATGACAAATAAAACTATTTGATACAAAATATTTTTTTGTTTAACTATGTCTATTAGACATAACCGTACTTACAAGAAGACCAAAACAATCCATAAACATATCGGAATATATTTCCTTCTTGCCCATCCATTCGTACTCCGTCGTTAAAAGACGACATTTCTTAATGGACCTGCAACAGCGGCAAAGCGCAGGATCTATAATGGGCCCTTTGCTTTTTCCTGGAGCTGCCACAGTCGCCATTTAATATACAACGAGTTAACTTTACATTGAAAATACTATTTATTTTGTAGCTACTCAACAAATCGAAACATTTCAGCCAGTTCGTGACGTTTGCGTTTCATGCATGGTACAAGTCAATTCTTTGCATCAATTTCGTAGCATATGCTAGGCGTTGTTTTGTCACGTTTCATCTTAAGGAAAATGACGAGATAGACATATACAATAATATACATATATTTATTTATATGCCTTTGACATAGCACAGACAACCGGAATATGTAAAATACTTATGTTTAGTTACTACTTGAAAGCTAATAAGTAAACAATAAAAATACATCTTTAATATAAAACTCTGCAGAGATGTATAAAGTTTCATAGGTTTCGTACCCAGTACACTTGTGTTCAAAGACTACCAAAATAATTTAAGTACTAGTTCTATCATCACAAGAGCTACAGAAGAGTGTTCCTACTAAGTTAAGGGCTCCCCAAAAGTCCTTCAACTAATAATTGGGATTTCATATCGACCGCAGCAACCGTATAGCAGTTACTCACATATAATAGACAAATACATTTATCACTACCAAAAACCAAAACCAGAATTACTAAACCAAAATACATAAAACTATTTAAAGACTAAACGCAATTTTTGAATTGACAGTGACAAGACATGACGTTTCGTGGGTTTTCGGTGTAGTTGTGTTGCATTTTCGTATCGACAAATAATTATGAATTAGAAAAATGAATATTAGCAAAAAGGGTCCAATAGTGAACCCTGGGAAGTGTAGATGTTGCGGTATGATTAAGAGGTGCCGCTTGATAGATTTCGAGTACGAATCGTTCGGCAACAGAGAAGTGTACTCAGAGATGTTTGTCGACTGTTTTGGTCTTGTTGTACGTCTATATAGCTTAATATTATTACTTATATTACTACTCTAATAGCGTAACTTTAAACCAGTAGTAACTTAACAATATTTCACAGATTAATCTAATCGCAAACTAAGGAAATGAATACTATGGCTTGAATAAACATACTTTTTTTTTTATTTCAAACCGATTTTCAAAAAGAAGATTTTTTGCATGTGTATATCCGTTATACTAACAAATCTTTACTGCCTCAGCTATCCCATCTCGATGCAGAGGAGGCTGAACGGTTGATTTGTGCGACATGTGTGATGAGATTGAGAGATGCTGTTGCATTCAGACACCAGGTACTTCAGTGTGAAGAGCAGCTCCTTAGTGCTAATGTGCATATACATGATGGTGAGAAAATGTACTTATATGTTTTAGAGTTAATATTATATTTTTGCAATCATGATATGGTAATTGTAAGTTTTGTTATACTCTGAGCTTTATTAACTCATAATGAATACAGGGGTGTACCATAATAAGCTATTAAATGAGATAAAGTAAAATAAAATTTACAAATAGTGGTCTAAACAATATTATATCTTTTACAAAATTTTGATAATGATACAAAAAATATACCACATGATTTTCTTCTTAGTTTTTTAAATTCTGTCACTTAACATTACCATTGTCCATCAATTCAATTCCCTTTCATATAAACCCAATTTTGGCAAACTTGCTTGTAACTTTCTCAGTGATTTTATGAGAGTGGCCCTAAGAGAGATCCCTGTGGCACTCCACTTTATATTTCTTGACGATCACAGCTTACCATCTATGTTAGATAAAGGCTTTCTCAGATAAATATATGCAGAAATTCAAGCTGGATGTGACTTTCCAGAGGCACGCTGTAACAAAATTTTGACACAATTGAATCTTATAGACCCATTAGTTAAAGGTACTCAAAAGCCTTTTCTAGGTTTCAAGGTCAGACTCAATTTTTCTAGTCTTTCCTATTACTATGCTTGTTACAGAGGGAGAAGAAAACAAGGTAAAAGTAGAAGTGGATGTAAAGCAAGAGGCAGTAACAGTAGGAGTTGAGATCAGTCCTGATAACAATGGAACTGATGAACTGATGAATGATGGCAGTGATGGGTATGATGATCATCACAATGACATGGAACTATCAGCTGAGAATATTGAGACAGGTACCCTGTTAACTTTGTTATTTTTTAAATATACTATCTTTAAAGAATAATATTATAAAAAATAATAATAACTTTACACATCTCACATATGGTTGTCTGATTCCAAACTAGGTAGATATATTTCTAAATACATACATATAATGGATAAATACACCCAGACATAGAAAAAATAATCATGCTCATCACACAAATATTTGTCCTGGGTGGGAATTGAACCCAAATAACAATAGGTTTGTCACTAAAGTACTCAACCAATCATTGTGAAATTTTACATACACCTGTAAAGTACATAGCTTTTCATACCTTTGATGGTAGAGAAATACAGATAAATTTTGTTTCCAATCAAGTCTTTTTAATTTGGTTTTCTTAGATTTACATTATAATACATATAAATCACCTGAAGGTAGACTGGGAGAGTAAGCCTCAAGGCATTAAGACTGCCTTTGTACAACATGCACAATAAGTTAAAAAAAAAATCAACAAAAAAATGCAATTGTTATGTAAACAATATAAAATAGTGGTATATAGCCTTCCAGAAGACCTTGAAAAGTCATGCTAATCCTCTATCCAAGATAAGAAAAAAGCTGAGGTAGATCGGCACAGATATAAGAGATTTTCGATACGTATATATTTAGTTTGCTAAATATTTGATGTCCGTGTAGTGACGGATTAAGAATACGGAGTGTCACTACCCCAATTCATCCCGTGGGTGTCGTAGATCCGACTAAGGGCGCAAAACAACGCAGGACACTAGCACTGCAAAAAGAAGGCAAACTTGAAACAAACCCTATACCAATCCGTCTGGCCAGCACTGTATAGTAGGCCAAAACCTCCTTTCTAAGGAGAGGCCTATGTATAGCAGTGGACTATTAAAGGCTGTTGATGATGATGATGATGAAATATATGATGATAAAACAGAGATTGTTGCTATTGTGTGTGTTGATCTATGACTTTATGAGTCTACACTACGATTTCAACTAATTTCAATAAATATATGAAATATATTTTGAGTTTGAGTTTGCTGGAAAAAGCTTTTCAAAATTATTTTTGTTCGAAAGAGTTTTATTCCGAAATGGTCCTATTTAAATTTCATATAGATCTAATGATGAGGTTCAGAGACAGACAATGGAACTCTTAAACAAAATGACAGATTGTAAGAACTATTTTTTAAAAAGGGTTTATTATTTTTCGTTCTAGAATCAACAACCATCAAAGACGAATCCTCTCAAGTTGTAGATAAGGTTAAAAAAACACGCCGTTTGCGTCGGTCGACGGCAGATGGCACTAGTACAATGAAACTAAATACATCTATGCAGGCCGATATGCTTAATAAACTACAGAGAATGAAAGAAAAACTCAAGAAGAAGAAATGCAAAGGTATGTTATAAAGTTACAATTAAGAGTTATTTAAATTATGTTATTTTAAATAAACATATAAAGGCTAAGGTATTTTAAAGTTCATGTGAGTGTAATCTTAAAAAAATTTAGTTAATGACATTGAAAAATTAGATTGAACAATGCCATCTAGTGAAGACGCACCGAACTACGGAGTAACTACTAATCCTGCTATCAAAATTAACACAACGCCGATTAGTATATTTCCAACTAGCGTTCATCAACCATTGGGCCTCGGTCTGCCAAGCATGATCATGTGGAACAGACCGGTCAGTGGATTCTTCTTTTGTGTTGGAGTGACATAGCACCCATTCCTCCACTGAACCAAGTGTTAAAACGTATGACGTCACAAGTTGCTACATATTTGACATTTAATAAAATGACTTGACAGTTAATATACTTATTGTGAAATTAGATGTACCCATCTATAGTCCTTGAAAATTCTTTTTTATGTTTCAGAGTTAAAAAAATCCTCAAAAGCAACTCAACCAGACGACCATAAACCAAAGGTCCCACGTCCCCCAATTTTGGACAAAGAATTCAATACACTACGAAATACCCTCACTATTATAGAAAATTCATACGTCACGCCTTTTATAGCTATGTTCAGTGACTACCACTGCGTCTACTGTCGAGAAATGTTCATCAAACCAGAGAAACTTCGAGAACATACCTTGGAACACGACCCGAGAACTTACCAAGAATTCATAAATCCCAGAAAAATGTCTTTAGTCGATATAGAAAGAATCGATTGTCGATTATGTCAAGCTCAAATCGATAGTATCGATTCGTTTAAAGAGCATATCACTACGGTACACAACAAAACAATATATAAAGATGTCGATTGTGAATTTATTAAATTTAAATTGAAGGTCGGGAAATTGAACTGTGTCGAGTGTGAAAAGCCGTTTAATTTTTTCCAAGCGCTAAAGAAACACATGGCGGAACATTTTGGAACATACATCTGTGATGAATGCGGAGCACATTATTTCGAAGAGAGACATTTGGTGTTTCATAAAAAAACTCACATTTCAAACCGGAGTGTTGAGATGTTTCCTTGCTCAGAATGCGAAAAAACATTTCGTTCAAAGAATTCACGAAATTTCCATATTGCTAGGATACACAAAAATGAGGCTGCATACCCTTGCAATAAGTGTGATGAGGTTTTCATCTCCTATCATATGAGGTATAGACACAAAATGAACGTCCACGGCGAGAAACGAGAATTTCCTTGCGAGAACTGCGATAAAGTGTACGATTCTCGCAAAACTCTCAGAGACCATTATCAGAGAACTCATTTACAGCTGTTGAGGCACGAGTGTTCTCTATGCGACAAAAAGTTTTACCTCCCCTCGGCTCTCAGAGATCACATGACGTCACACACCGGTGAGAGGCTGTACAGATGTGATTATTGTGGGAAAAACTACCCTAGGAAGAAAGCTTTAAAGGTGCATTTACAATCTCATAATACAGAAAAGAAATATAAGTGTAGCTTCTGTCCCTCTTCGTACACTCAAGCGAATAATTTTAAGAATCATATGAGGAGTAAGCATCCCATGCAACCCGAATATAGTGAAGGATATACTTAGAAAATAGACTGAAATGCAATATTTCAGATATAAAACAAATAGTTACTAAAAAAAGTGTGTGTCTGACTGGAGTTTACTCTTTTGTATATGTGTCGGCTGCACACAAATTTGGAGATCAGCGCCATCTATGTAAATGTTAGTAAAATAATTAGAAGTTACATATTAATTGCCATTGATTTTGGAGTTTATTCCGTTTTAAAGCGATTTGAATTTTGTATTTGAGAACTAATAACAATCTCACAAAAAATATTATTACAACTACGTCAAAGTAAATAGTTAAACCGCCATCTATACATTACATTTAGAACTAAAAAACGTAACTAGGTCATTCGAACACTAAATTTTACTCGTTTTTTTTTTTAATATCGATTCTTTAGGAGTTAACATTAATAAATAAATGAAAAAACTACCACACTAAAAAAAACTATATTGAAGATATTTTATATTAGAAAAAGCGCACAATTGGCCATATTGAATTTTTACCAGTAATAACATAGAACTCCTGTTTTGGTCTAACGTATAGAAAACCATAGTATCATTAGCGTCGGTGTAGTGCAATACAAACATGTAAAACCAATCCTTGCGCCCTTTAATTTGCGTTCAGCGCCATCTATTGAGGGACACTTCAACTACTTAACTTTAGTGACAAAATATCCAGTAAATAAATATACAACATGTATTGATAATGAATCTATAGTTTTAATAATGTTATAAGTGTAGTAATAGACTACAATTAAAATGCAACTTTAAAAACGAATGCCGTAAAGTTGAAAATACAAAACACACTTGCACTCAACTATTTTATTTTAAAAGCTTCAATTATGTCGTAGATTTTTAATAAAAAATGTACCTAAACTAAACTGTGCTTTGTCATAAGCGAAACAGCGGGACGTTATTTATGTTGGACAACAATATATTAAAAACTTTCAGCTTGTTATTTAATAGTTTTTAAGGAAATAACAAAAAATATAGATCTGTAATATCGATGTATATAATATATTATTATATTATACTATCATGTTTTATTAATTATTACTTTTATTTATTATCATGTTATCGAGATAAAAGGAGCCCATGGTTTTACTCAATGATCAAAGTATCTCCATACCAAATTTCATCTAAATCTGTTATTTTTTAATTGGTTATTGATTCCCCATACAAACTTTCACCCACGTAAAGGATGATTTCTGGAATAAAAATTACCCAATGTCCTTGTCCTGCATTTGGAATATCTCTGTACCAAATGTAATCTAAATCGGTTCAGCGGTTTAAACGTGAAGAGGTAACAGACATACAGACAAAAATGTTTCGCATTTATAAAATTAGTATGGATTCATTCAACTTAATAACTCTCAGACACTCAAAGGCCGGAAATGCACATCACATCATCACATCACATCTATAGCATATACTGGTCCACTGTTGGACATAGGCCTCTCCTTAAAAAAGGAGGTTTCGGCTTACTATACCACGCTAGCCAGACAGGTTGGTATAGGGTTTGTTTCAAGTTTTTCTTCTCTTTGCAGTGCTGTTGTCTTGTAGTTTAGTCCCTTAGTCGGCTCTTACGACACCCACGGGATGAATAGGGGTGGTGACATTACGTATTCTTAATCCGTCACCACACGGATTGCACATGTAACACTTGAACTGGAAGGTGTATTTGGGCGTAGTCACCTTTCACCAAGCGTAACACTTTTTCAGCTATCTACTTAACTAGCAGTTATGCTAACGCAATTCTGGGGATCTACCTATATTGGAACAATTCAATATACAGTAAAACCCGCTTAAGACGATTTCTCAGGGACCCTACTAAAAACGCGTCTTAACCGAGAAAGTGTATTATGCGGGATAGGGGAAATAAAACGTACTACATCTTATTATGTATTGTGTTCTAATTTTGGTATAATCAACATAATTCAACTTTTGTAGTGCGTATTCGCTTTGATCCAAAGAAGCTACATAGCGTATAATGCCTGGGCGTTTGACAAAACTGGAGTTGACTCATCTTTGTCTTCATCATTATCACTTAGGGCCTCGTTTTGTATGTTATTCACATTCTCAATAGGATGTTTAATTGATTGAATTTCGTACGGTGCTACATTGTCATCAATGGAAGAATATCCAGGAAAACCCTGCAGTATCTCGGGTTCTTCTTCTTCCAACACGACGTCAACCACGTTATTTCTGAAACCTGGTTTCTTGAAACAATTTTGAATGGTTTCACGCTTAATTGCTTCCTATGCCGTTGCAATGTTTAGAATCGCATCATGCACAGATGATGATGATGAGACGATCGGCAAACGGCTAACGTGCGGGCGGGGGGCCTTTCTGGGGGTTCGCGAGCGCTCGGTTAGACCTCTCCGCTCGGGCTCGGGCGTATTAAATGGGATGACGAATCGTATTAAGCGTTAAGAAATGTATGAAAATATATCTTAAGTTGCAGGGACTGGCGTAAAGTGGCGTATTATGCGAGAAATCGTATTAAGCGTGATCGTCTTAAACGTGTTCTACTGTATATACTTAAGTATTCAAAATATTACAAGACTAGCTGGTATCCGCGACGTCGTTCGCGTGGAATTTGAAAAGCGAGTGGTTTACGCGACTGTAGTCAATGAGGCCTCAGGCTCGATTCCCGAGCCGGGCAAAATTTTATAAGGTTTAACTGAGAGGAAAAATAACCTAAGTTATTCCTTATATAGACAGCTACTTAGTAGTAAAATATTATCAAAATCGGTCCAGCCATTTTGAAGATTACTCGTAACATACCCTGAGCATGAGCATGAAAAATACACTATTATTTTGATAGTACAAATAGACACTTCAATTTTATTTATTTGTATGAATATTGATATGGACTTAGATTTTTTTAAAGACAACTCCCGTACTAGGAATATATCATGAGTCGAGGGGGATTTCACAAACATTCATGAAACGGACACAAAGTACACACCGACTTAGAACAACAATTTGTGGTTCACACTAAGTGTTGTCCGATGGGGGGATCGAACCCACAACACTCGACGCAATAGAAAGCGGCGAGGTGACCGCTTAAACCACTACGTCGTTATTCACGATGCAATAAATCTGTCTACATTTGTTTTTTCTGCCAGTGTGGATAGTCCTATATAGATCTCACGTGTTACAGAATTTTGCGAAAAAAACGCGCTGTAAAATATCGCTGTGAACATTCCTACAGATAGCTATAAATTATATGATAAAAAAAATATTTTGCGGTCGATAGATGAACGATGAGGAAAATGTGAATATAAAATACAAATCTTTACATAATTTAAAAATCCACAATCATACAGTTTAAAAGCAACATATTTTATGGTACTATGAGGTTTTAATCTCAGCATCAACCAAATCGCATTCCACAATAAAAATTAAAATTGTAAGTTAATTAACCTAATAACCAAGCTTAACAAACTAGATTTATTTTGATATGATTATCTGTTTTCTTATTTAATGGCAAAGAAAGACTTAGAATTATATTAATAATAATAGTAAATATTTTAATATTCTATATTAATATACAACATTCACACAACGCCATCTAGTTCCACAATAAGCAGAGCTCGTACTATTACTACTAGGTACTAGGCAATGATTTATAAATTATATACTTTTTTTTGTAAATATGTTTGCTGACGGATTAAAAATACGAGTGTCACCACCCTTATGCCCCCCACCAGCTGACTGAGGGAGCAAACTATGCAGGACAATAGCACCGCAAAGAGAAGGCAAAATTGAAACAATCCCCGTCTGGCCAGCGTGGTATAGTAGGCCAAAACCTCCTTTCTAAGGAGAGGCCTATGTCCAGCAGTGGACCGTTAGAGGCTATTGATGATGACACACATATTATTACCTACATGAAATATATTGAGTTACGATGTTTTTCTGTAGCAGAGAAAGCTGATGTTGCGATGAGTGCACACCATTCATTTTAATTATATTTAAATTGTCCATTTCGAATAATTGATAAACAATTTTATGAAATGAAGCTGTTAAATTTTAAGGATTGACATGTTATGTTTTTTAACCGAGTCTAAAAAAGTAAGTTCCAATTCGCCTTTTATGTTTGTTACGTCAGAACTCCATAATTTTTAAAACCCATTTGGAGAATTCTGTTTTTGTTTATAAAGGTAGGTGTACTTGCCGTTTTGTTCCATTTATATTTTTGAATTTGAAATGTTTTAGTGAAATTGTAATGTAAAAAAAGTATCTTGAAATATTTGCATGCCACAAGGTGGAATATGTAGGAACAAAAATAAAGATTATTTTGTAACAACTTGACTGATGTACCCATATTCATAAATAAATGTTTATTATTATTATATTTGAAAAAAAAAACAACATCCTAAGGGTAAAAATTAAATAATGGAGAATACAATTTATTACAAATAATTCATCATGCATCACGCATTAAGTCGTTGACACTTTTAAAAAGTTATTATTACGTCAGACGATCAAGGTTGTCTATGGATCCCTAAAACTATTTATTTTAGGGATAACATCCGATATTATCGATATCTATGGCGGAAAACAAGTTATCTCGTCAACCGTATTATTTCCTTAGAACCAAAGGTTGAGCTCTTATCAACAAACTTGTATTTTGAAGGTCGCCGTATATGGGTAATTTACTTAAGTGTCGAGTAGTGTTCAGCCAAGTTCAACGTCAGAATATATTAATTTCACAATGAAATTAAATTCGACTCATTGATACGGTCTACCTAGGCACAGTAATAATTAATTTGTAATACTGACAAATAATGACAAAAGCCGTAATCTTATTTTCGGGATTTTTTTCATTGTATAGGGCAAACAGGTACGTCTGATGGTATTGGTATGTGGCTACGGTCAAGTCAACAAAAGTCACATTCAAGAATTAAGATGAGGGGGGAGGGAGGGGGGGTTTGTATAATGCATGGGGTGATGTTTTTTTAAAGTTTATTTATATTATTTATTTATTTCTTACAATATCCTTACAGACTAAATCCATTGCGATGTTGTAGTTACATAATTTCTAAATTACAAACTAAAATAAATTGAGTGTGATTTTTTTTCTTCTCTACAAAAGACAACTCCCGCACTAGGAATATTTCCCGTGTTGTGGTAGACTTTACAAACATTCATTCAAACGGACACAAATAATACCCAGACTCAGAATAACAATTTGTTGATCACAAAGTGTCGTCCCATCTGGGGATCGAACCCACAACACTCAGCACAGTATGAGGCAGCGAGGTGACCGCTTAAACCACCACGCCATCCGTGCAGCTTTTATATGGGGTCTAACAATAAGAACGACCTGGTTTAAAAATTGAATAAAACACACATTTTTTTTTATGAAAAATGCATCCGATTGATTTATTTGATAGATAATTTTATGCAATTTATGTTTTTAATAATATATCGCCGCGGCTCTTTTTGCAGACTGTCACCCGCTCACGCCAATTTTCGATGACGCGGTGCACCATTTCGGCCGGTATGTCGGCTAGGGCTCATCGAATGTTGGTTTTTAGGTCACGAATTGTAGCTGGATTATTGCTGTACACTTTAGATTTAACGTAACCCCAAATAAAATAGTCTAAAGGTGATAAATCACACGATCTTGGTGGCCAACTGATCGGTCCATTTCTCGAAATTAACGACTCACCAAACTTTCCACGCAATAATTCCATGTTTACTCGAGTAATGTGAGGTGGTGCACCGTCTTGTTGAAAATAAAGGTCGACTGCATCAATATCTTCAAATTCCGGCAAGAAATATTCGGTTAACATCGAGTTATAGCGCTCGCCATTCACAGTAACAGGGTTTCCTTCGTCACTTTCTAAGAAGTACGGACCAATGATTGCACCGTACCATAAACCGCACCAAACTGTTATTTTTTGCGGATGCAATGGTGATTCATGAGCCACACGTGGATTTGACTCACTCCAATAGCAACAATTTTGTTTATTAACAAATCCATTGAGCCAGAAATGGGCCTGATCTGAAAATCGTAATCGGCTTCCATCATTTCCAGTGCATAATCGGCAAATTCACGACGGATACAATGGTCGGACGGCTTCAATTCTTGTGCCAAAACAATTTGTATGGGTGTAGGCCCAAATCCAACCGCAAAATACGCCAGGTGGTCATTGGAGAGAGCCCCAACTCTTGTGAACGGCGTTGAACTGATCGATTTGAATTCGCATCAACACTGGCCTGAACGGCTGCGATATTCTCTTCACTACGGGCATTTCTTTGCCTCACAGGCACAGCAGTATCGTGGAGAGTGAATTCACTTTCAAATTTTGTTGTTATGCGATTTATAGCGCGCACAGAAGGAGCACTATGACGACCGTTTTTTGCGCGAAGCTCTCTTACTGTAGCGGTAGGAGAACTCGAATTTGCATAATAATTTTGAACAATTTCCAAGCGTTGGTTTAAAGTGAAACGTGACATGATAAAATGGCAAACCTTACTAAACACAAATGTCAAGAGACGTCAAAGAGCCATTATCAAACATGGCCGCTACGAGCTGTCAAAACCAGGTCATCCCTATTGGTAGACCCAGTATATGGTAGGTTCTATTCTTCATACTTTTATTTATCACTCTTGTGGGTGAACCAAGTGTGTAATTATATTGGGATCTCTCTATCTGGTAGAAGCTTGACTCTCCGAAAGTTATTTGGCATAACGCACTCGGCACTTCTTTAAACGAATATTATTGAGGCAAAAAAATATTTAGTACAATTATTATTCGGCCGTTATGTATAAATGTCCGAATTTACAATGGCCATAACGTTTTTTAGAGAGACGATTATTTGATATAATTTCATTAGGTATTTTCTTAAAAAGTCATATGACTTGCTACAAAAGTTTATGTCAAAAATGAATCGCTGCAAATCCGACTCCACGTAGTCTTATCTGCCCTACCCTTAGAGTGTTTATTTTAAACCCCGCAGCGCCGGTGCCGTGACAGATGTGATGCATGCTGCATGCTTACTGGCTTTATTATTGTGGTAAGAAATACAAAATGATGGAGAGATAGTCTTTCAATTATTATAGATATGTAATGTATACCAAAAGATGATTCTCACTGTCAACTTCCTGAGATATAATAGTTCTGCCTTTTAATGACTATCGATATGAAATTTATTCTTAAAGACGATTCTGACTATGAACTTTCAGCGATATGATGGTTCTACTTTTTAATTACTATGGATATGAAGTTTCTGTCTAAAGATGATTATGACTTACAAAATTATAAGTTCTGAATGTATGGTAAATGAGTGTCTGCCAAACAATTTTCTGCGAAATGAAGTTTATGCTATGCGTTGTTATGCAAAATAATATTTTAATATAAAAAGTTCTGCTATAAAGGGTAGACCCAATTATGTTATATAGAATTTTCTTTATACTACATATATAATACTAAGAAATCTTAAGTACATCCAATTCAGTTTAAAAATCATCATAATAGATTAATTATCGAAATAGATTCACAAACATAGCCACAACGAAAATATTGCATCAAAATAACAATATTCAATCAAATTGTGAACCTTATTTCTGCAGTAGGTTACAAATAAAGAAAAAATAAACACGAGCTTGGCTCTTCTTTTTCCAATGAACACTTGTTTTTTTTTTTATATTGAAAATCTTGAACTTAATAAAAAACGTATGCGATAATCACAAATAATCCAAAACACATTAGTTTTTAAAATATCCTAAGAGATACACGTAGTGCGCTATCTTGTAAAATAAAAATGATTCACCGAAACTATTATTTAATCATTCTTAACGTGTTAATTTGGAATTTCTACACATTGAAGTGCGACTTTGAGGCTGAAGAAGGTACGTTTAATTTAAGAGAAGGTTTACGTTAGGTGACGTTTAATTGAAGAGGCCTATGTCCAGCAGTGGACTAGTAAAGACTGTGGATGGATGAAGATAGGAAAGTCTTTCGGAAGAAATTTCCTGACTGGGAAGTATCCTGCAAGTTTTAAACGACAGGATCTAGTCAACTCTGAACTCAGCTGCTGTATACTATGTAATGTTTATAAAACGGGATGGCGCTGTAGTAGCTAAATTAGCTTTAGTAGATTGGAAGGGATCATTCCTGTGCTGACAGGACTTTCGGACCAAAAATTATTTTCACGTATTAATATACAAATGTACTTAGTAGCTACATACATATAACAACAAAAAACCCGACTGCGAAAATGTATTGGTACTTAAAATTTATGATCCAGTGATTATAATTTTTCTAATTTTCATTTATTTACTCAGTATTACACTCACAATTAAGATAAGTAATTTTAACGACACCCCAAACGCCAAAATCCATTAACTAATTGGGCTACAGAGCGTGCCAAATAGATAACCAACATACATACAAACACTCGAGAAAAATAACCCTCCTGCTGGCGCAGTTGGGTCTCAGAGCAAATAAAAAAGTTCAGATGGTACCTTGGCCTCCTCCTAAGGAGAGAAGAGAGAAACCTCCTTTCTAAGGAGAGGCCTATGTCCAGCAGTGGACTAGTATAGGCTGTTGATGTGATGTGATGATGTGGTACCTTGTGAACAAAGAAGTGAGGCCAATTAAAACTACGGCTTGGCGTGTACATACACAATTACACGTACACACGTACAACGAAACTACGCCTTGTCAGTCAAACGTCGCGCGTCTTCAAAAATATCAGCAATATTTACAAGTAAAAATGCTTTGTGATTGTGTTATGAAAGACTGTAAAAATCAAACTGCAAGTGATAGATAGTAGAATGGAATCTCATTTCACACATAAGAAAGCGTAGAATCTAATACTTTGAATAAAATAAAATTAAAATGTCATCACCGGACCTCGCACACATGTTTATAAAACCGGCGTCACTTCGGTTATTTCAGTTATTTTAAGTTGGTATGTGTACGCGTAAAGACACGTAAAAAACGCAACATTTTCTGCACCGATTGTGGACACGATGCATGTACAAACCGCTTCAAGGAAGGTTTTTTAATAGTCTTGTGCTTAATCGGACATCTGCAGGTTCGCACCGTACTAGTACAATTCGTACAACGTACTAGCACACCGTAATAGTACTATTAGTACTAATAGTACTGTTACGGTTTTAGTAGAAGTAGAAAACTAATGCGTTTGTATTGATATTACCAACATTAATGAAACGGAATACTAATAATTAAATAAATTAAAATACGTAGTTAAAAAAAAGTGTTATAGTTTTTTTTTAAATATAGATGGCTTTGTATTAGGCAGTTACTTTTCTTCAGTATAGAAATAATTACACAGTTCTTGATTATTTTTAATGTGTTATCCCTTTCTGAATCCCATAAAACCTAACAGTTTGATTTTTAAATACGATATTTTAGATTACTTTACACTAAATTTTTAAGCATACTATTTGATTTTCCTTCATACTTTACAACCCAACGTATTGTAGTACACCTGTATCGCTGTCCCTTTTACTCTCACACTGTCTACCAATACGGAACAATAAAGCGGAGCATTAATAGTACGTCGCACAGCAAACGAACGTAGACACTAGTAGACAGAGTAAACAATAGATAGTTTTAGTACTGGCTTGAAGTTGACACTGTGTACTAATAGTGCAAAATGTCCGATTAACAGCTGCCTTTCGGAAACATTACTTTTAGTACAATACCCAGTACTAGTACCTATCAGTACATCGTACGTGTACTACCCAAGACTATTTTTTAATAATTATTTTTTGCCTCAATGTTGTTTCTCATTTCTCATGTAATATATCATACTTCAATCTGTGTAATTAAGAATACGCAGTGTCACCACCCCTATTCATCCCGTGGGTGTCGTAAGCGTTTACTAAGAGAGCAAACTATGCAGGACAACAGAACACAGACACTGCAAAAAGAAAGAAAACTAAAAGCTAGCGTGGTATAGTAGGCCATAATCCCGTTTCTAAGGAGAGGCCTATATCCAGCAGTGGACTATTACAGGCTGTTGATGATGATGCAATTTCAATATGCCGCAGCGAAGCGTTGGAGGATACAACAAGTTATTACATATAAGCACAGAAGGACATGACGTGGTTTTAATATTTACAATCCAAGAAATAGATATAAAAAACTAATCTTTAATTCGATGAACTAATTATTTAGTAGGAAAGTAAAAAAAAAAGATTGAATGATTAAAATTATAGCCAAAATAGTATAAAAAAAGCAAAACCGGCTAGAAACATGATTGATCCTTTTTTTAAATCGTAAAACATTTAGCGGTTGTGAGTTTAGGTAATTATACTTAAACGAATTCAAAACCAATTTTTCTATGTTTTTTACCTCCGAACTTCGAACATTTGTGAATGGATTTGGTATTCTTTTTTTATTTGGGCGAGTATAATTCGTAAGTTTAAAGAAAAAAAAACGAGTGCAAAATTAAGGAATGTAGAATCGAGTTTATTACAATTCATTATAACGTAAATCGATATTTAATACGAGTATTATAAAGCGGAAGGGTTTGTCTGGTTGGTTGAACACGCTAATCTCAGGAACTGATGGGTCAAATTGAAAAATTCTTTAAGTGTTAGATAGCCCATTTATGAAGGAGGCTTTAAGCTATATCATCACGCCACGACCAATAGCAGCCGAGCACCAATGAAAAATGTTGCAAAAAGGGGGTAAAAATTGTTTTGAGAGACGCAGACAACCTTGCGCGGGTTAACCATTATTTTAATAAAACAAAGAAACAACATTGCTACTCATCGAATAATCGGACAACAGAAAACAGCGTCACCTTTTTACGTTTTATTTAAAAAAAGACAACTCCCACACTAGGAATATATCCTTTGTCGCGGGGGACTTTACAAACATACATGAAACGGACACAAAGAACACCCAGAGTCAGAACAACAATTTGTGGATTACACAAAGTGTCATCCCATGTGGGGATCGGACCCACAACACTCAGCGTAGTAGTAAGCGGCGTGGCGACTGCTTAAACCTCTACGCCATCCGTGTCTGGTAATCTGATAATGTCGGTTTAAATTCTAAATATTTCAGGATCAAAATGTCACGACTCACGCGGGAAAAATGGCACCTGCGTCAACGCGTGCCACTGTCTGTCTGTTGTTGATGACATAAGAAGGAGAGACTACCCATCTGTAAGTGCTTGCATTATTACGCTATGAGATAAAGAAGAATAAGAGAGTATTAGTTTTTGTTGATAATTTGTATTTGCATACAATCAAAATTATAGTTGCATACAAGATCCGTATTGTCTACGTCATTCGGTTTTTTGTTTTAGCAAGGTTGAACTACGGTGTGTAAAAAGTATCTTTTTTACTTTTAAGTAAATAATGTAATGTTAATAGGTTTTCTGAAGACTATTAGTTTATCTTAACCATAGTCAATAGGTTTATTTTTAACCAACTTTAAAAAGGAGGAGATTATCATTTGGATGTTTATATTTTTATTTATTTATTTGAAACTTAATGCACATGTTGTAAAAAGGGGTCTTAATGCCATGAGGCATTCTCTTCTAGGCAACCCAGTCTCCCAGACAATAAAAATATTAAATTTAATATAATTAAAGTCGAGAGATATATACAATATACAAACACACATACATAAGTAAACATACATATATAAACCTACATAAATAAAATAAAATATATAAATACTCAGTCGGGTACTAGCGTTGTGACTGTTCTGCTAATTCACTTCGAATGCACTGCGATTCACTGCGAACACTTTTCTTTTGAATGCAAGGCAGTCTGTGGGCATCCTGATTTCGGCAGGGAGGGCATTCCAGAGAAGAACTAACTGTACGCAGAATGAGGGGTGGATGAAGTTGGAGGTGTGAGAGGGGCATAAAAGAAGTATATTGTTTGTTGACCGAAGATTTCGGTCGTGATTGGAGCATAAGAAACGGAAGTGAGGTACGAGGTATTCAGGAAAAGATGGAGTATTAAGGACAGAAAAGAGAGACGTCAGTGCTCGCAAACTGCGGCGCTGACGAATTGGGAGCCATTGCAACTGGGAAAAGTTAAACTAAAGCAGACGCGTGGTCATACTTGCGAAGATTGAAAACGAATCGAATGCAGTTATTGAAAAGGCAATCTAGTTTCAGATCAACCGCGATTGCTGCTAGGTTGTTAGTTCTCTCTGTTGTCAGAGTTGTTAACCGCGGCAACACACCTATGTCTCATAACTGCACGGATGGCGTAGTGGTTAAAGCGGTCGCCACGCCGCTTCCTATTACGACGAGTGTTGTGGGTTCAAACCCCACATGGAACAACACTTTGTGTGATCCACAAATTGTTGTTCTGAGTCTGGGTGTACTTTGTGTCCGTTTCATGTATGTTTGTAAAGTCCCCCGCGACACAGGATTTATTCCTAGTGCGGGAGTTGTCTTTTAAAAAAAAAAAAAAAAAAAAAACTTGCAAGGGTCTATGAGCTGCGGCAGTTACTCACCATCGAGTGACCCGTCTGGTCTTTTGCTTCCTTACCTCATAAATATTATTGTTTTGCTTTATTAAATCATTGGAAATCACCTAATGGTATGGTATAGTAGGCCAAAACCTCCTTGTTAAGGAGAGGCTTATGTCCAGCAGTGGACTGCTAAAGGCTGTTGATGAAGAACACACGCTGGAACGAAATCTTTCATCCAAGTTTTTGAGGAATAAAATAGGTTAAGTTGGACGAGAATTCGATGTGATCATTCAATTTTAAACCTAATACTGATCAGACTAGCTCTATGTTAACTTGTAAGTTAATCTTCATAAAAAAGGTTTATCAATGAGTGATTATGTTTTAGATTTGTTCGTTTCAAGGACATACTCCTATCGTGTGCTGCACAGACTGCAAAAAAGTACGGCACATAAAGTAAGTAGCTATAAAGTTTATTTTTTAAATATAATAATACGAGCGACGTTGATCACACATCACTAGAAATCTTTTGTATGTATCCGTAGATGGTCCGAGGTACGTCGGGGTTCCTGGGATTTCCTTTCTTGGGTACACCTGGTTCCCCGGCTACTAGTACCCGAGACGGCGTGCGGTTTATGGTCGGTTCGAGTCCGACACAGCCACTGGTGGGTGGTATTCGAGGGGGAAAAAAAGGTATATGCTTATGTTAGCAGTGAGTTTACAACTTTAGTGCACTGATTGGGGTTTCAACCCAGAAGTACTTATTAAAAGCCGACGCTTTGCCGCTTCAATAAGTATTACATGAATTTGATTACAAAGATTATTTTTTATGAAAGTAGGTCTTAAAGACAATGACTTGGAGGCAAAAGGCGTAAGGTAAGTTTTTAGTGAGGAAAAAAGACGTAGCTAGATAATTAGTGAATATACATTTGTTTGCAATAGTTAATTTTTATTTTTTGGAATGAAATTAAGTTCCATCCACAGATTCGAAGGAAAATATTCTGATTCCTATAATTAGGCACGTTTCGTAAGAAATTTAATATAAACTGTTTATAAACTCTTTGAAAGGAAACTGTATAGGTAATTCTTAGTATTTATTCTTATAAGTCCGTGTGGTGACGGATTAGGAATATGGAATGTCACCACCCCTATTTATCCCGTGGGTGTCGTAAGAGCCGACAAAGGGAGCAAACTACGCATCACAACAGCACTGTAAAGAGTAGGAAAACTTAAAAGCAACCCTATACCAACCCGTCCAGCCAGCGTGGTATAGTAGGCCAAAACCTGCTTTCTAAGGAGATGCCTATTTCCAGCAGTGAACTAGTAAAGGGTCGTTGATGATGATTCCTAGCAATATTTTTTTAGTATATTATTAATCTCTGGCAGAAACAAAATTCATCATAATTGTCCTAGAATATTATATAAGTTATTTCAAATACTTAACGAAATTACAACAAAAAATATTTTTGCTTTAAAGAGACTTATAATATTTTACAAAGGTTTTTGTGTTGTTAAATGATCTTGGAGGAAAAAGAATAGTATCTGGTGGTACTGTTAGCAGACTTAACAGCCTTCGGAAACTGGCAGTTGTTTCCTCATATTTTCTTTCGTCACCGTTAATTACACCGTGACATTAAAATAATGCGTAACTTAAAGTAAAGGTCAAAAAAGTATACCTATCTGTTTCAAGAAGTGATATTGTAGGTAAAAAATGTATTTACTCAAAAGCAAATTTAGATTTAACTTACATGAGAATATGTTTTTCGCTTGCATACACTGAAATATACACTTCATCACTCAAACATGTAAAATTGTATTATTTATGTTAAACAATCGACGGTTTCATTAGCGTTTTGACACTACAATTACTAATTTATGAGGGTAATCAAAAAAAATACACAGCTAGCGACGCAAATAAGTATGAGGATACCTTCGCATATTTGTAAAAAAAGCGGACTCGACTCATTGTCACAATACAGATAATGAAGACAGTAGTACTACTGTTTTATTTCACAAAATTGTAGTAGTAGGTACTGTTATTTTTTTTTTGGTTTATTCATACTTACATTATAAATGTGATTTGAAAGTGGGTAGCATAGGCGACTATTTACCGTGATACATGACACACGCGGGCGGAGCCGCGGGCAAAAGCTAATAGATATAATAAAGTGTTCATTAGATGTTCTAAATTCATGTTTGTAGTGATTTCAAATTGTAGATAGTTATTTTAGGTGGGTGAGATATTTTCATCGTTATCATCATGTTTAGAAGTTCACTGATGGACATAAACCAATCTTTAGAAGGAATGTTTTGGCCTACTATACCACGCTATCCAGACGGGTTGGTATTAGGTTTGTTTTAAGTGTTCTTTCTCTTTGCAATGCTGTTGTCCTGTGTAGTTTTGCTCCCTCAGTCGGCTCTTACTACACCCATAGAATAGATTAATGTTTTTAAGATTCTTTTTTTTATTCTAAACGAGTTCGCATTCTTTATGTCTTTGGGTAATTTATTAAAAAGTTGCACTACCTCGAATACCAATTATTTTGTCTAGAGAAGTTCGTATAAGTATATAAAAGGTGTAAAGGACATCGTACTGAATACTGAAATAGTGTATTCAGACTATGATTCTGAGTCGCAAATCATTGGAATTATTTTTTTTAATTTTCAATTTTTCTGATTAAAAATGATGAAAAATGATATCACAATGAGTAGACAGAACATTTTACCGAAAACACATGTAGTTTTTACTTTAGTGCGATACCTACCTTGAATGACGTTAACCTTTGACAGCTGATTGCATAAAAAGTTTCATTTTCCGGCAGAAACTGCCAATGATTTTCAACCCATACTGGTCTGGTCTGAATACACTATTTAAGTATTCGTTACGACGTCCCTTACACCGTGTATAAGATACCAAGGATCTAAAATATAATTTTTATCTAAGACTTTCATCTGACCTCAATAGTATGTAAAATTTTCTGTACAGTTCAAAAATCGCCCAAATAGTAATCCTTTTTTTTTAGGAATGTTATTATTGACAAGCAAGGCGGAATCCACTTCAGAACGGGGAAAAAGGCCTACGATGGTACGTACCTACTGATGTTTGGTTTTAATGAAAGTAATTTTATGTACAGTTTTTTTTCGTTTCTACTTGTTTAGTAGCTAATAACAAAATGATTTTGAAGAGTACTATTATATCCTTAATCGTTGTTGTTATCAATCTATATATTTATCTGCCCATTAAATTACCTATTTACAGTCTATTTGTCCATCCAAAGGTTGCCTGTAAGATATTGCTTTTTAGCGATAAGGCCGCCATTTGTACATTTTTATTAACTTAGAATACTATCATATGTATAATATCCTGAATTGGTGTACAATAAAGATTATTCTATTCTATTTATAAAAATGTTAACTTAGTTTGTGTATACTTCACGAGTTAACTTTTTTGTGTATACTTACGACGATGTACAACCCGCTTCAAAGACCCCTTTCTGTTTTTATCTATTTTTCATGTCAGTTTTATTAATCATTTATTTTCAATGTAACCATAATGTGTCACAGCGAATCTTGGCAGGGTATAGCTGGGTACTTAATCATAAAACACTACCAAATTCTATACTTCAAATGATTCCAGGATGTTTAGAACACCTAGCGAATTTGCCAGACGAAGGTTGTGGCACTACCACGGGGCTCGTGAAGCACTGGCACGAAGAGAAGCAGTGCTACAAGTATTCAAGACTTGGTGTGCTCGCAGCCAACGTTGGACGTGATGCCGAGAGAGGACAGTTCCCGCATATGGTGAGTTTTAACTGCTGGAATGCAGCTGGCTTGGGGAACATGGAACATGGATTCCATTTACTGAAAACAGTGGTCTTTAATCTCTCACCACATAAGTATATATAGGTTAACACTTTTTGAAAGATAAATTTATATAGTAAAACCGGAAGTCCATCTCACCCCCCTAAGTTTAGGGCATGTAAATGGTGGCGACGCACTTGTGTCTCTTGGTCGTCACTTACTATCAGATGGTATATTTGTCGTATAGTCGTATATTATTTTGTCGTTCATAGTGACGAGTCTACAATACCATACCAACGTTATAAGTGGCTTATAATACGTTTCTTTGTTTGCCAAGATAATGTTTCATCATCATCACCATTACGTAAACAGCCTTTAATAGTCCACTGCTAGACGTAAGCCTCTCTTTAGAAACGAGATTTTGGCCTACTATACTACGCTGACTAGACGGCTTTGTTTCAAGTTTTCACGGGATGAATAGGGGTGGTTACACTCCCTATTCTTAATCACTCTCCACATGGACAAGGGTTACCCAACTATACTTAATAGACCAATATTCAAAGCGGCTGATAATACGTTTCTTTGTTTGTCAAGATAATGTTAAGTAACTAAGAACCCTATGCTCTGTAATTTATGAATAGTTTTGCTTTGCAGGCTCTCCTGGGCTACGGTCCTGAGCTAAGCACAGCTGAGTGGCTTTGTGGAGGGTCCCTCATTAGTAATAAGTTCGTGTTGACTGCTGGGCACTGCATATCGAGCACTATTTTGTAAGTACAGGTTCTTAAACTACGCAGGACGACAGCAGTAGGAAAACTTAAAAAAAACCCTATACCAACCCGTCTGGTCAGCATGGTATAGTAGGCCAAAACCTGCTTTCTAAAGAGAGGCCCATGTAAAGCAGAGGACTGTTATAGGCTATTGATGTTGATGATGATGAAGGAGTAAATGAGTAGACGGGTTACCTGATGCTAAGGGTTTACGATGCCCTTGGACACCTGCAACTCAAAAGATAGACATAGTGTCATAGGGAATACCGCGAGTGTGCAATATCTTCCAGGTTCCTAACGATTACTGCGTAGGAAGACGAACGTAACGGGTTGTATGCCGCAGGCCTTTTGTTAGGAAAGAGACTGTTAGGAACACCAATAATTAAGTTTATAACATCGTTTCATCAACCTAACCTTTTGGCCTACTATACCACGCTGGCCAGACGAGTTGGTATGGGGTTTGTTGCAAGTTTTCCTTCTCTTTGCAGTACTGTTGTCCTGCGTAGTTTGCAAAGAGAAGGCAAACTTAAGTGCAAAGAAAAGTTCAATTCAGTCCCCCCTTCAGAACTAGCACCCTATATCATCACACCGAAATTGATAATTTTAGTAGGAATTATTAATTTAAGTTAATTTTAAGATGTTCTCAGTAGTTCTGAGACAATATTTTGACAACTAATGGTAGTAAAAATGTTCCCAGTGGTAAAGTTCGTTATGTAGCGATGGGTATACTGAAGCGGACTGATCCTCCTGAGCACTGGCACCAGTACAAAGTCAAGAACATCATACCACACCCAGAGTACCATCCACCATCCAAATACCACGATATAGCGTTGCTGGAAACGAGTACAAGGTGAGACTCCTGAATTGACATAAAAAACCCATAACAGACTGTTAGAAAATCCATCATACACTTTACAATATATACTTCCCAGGGCACGCACCAAATTGTGGTGGTAAAAACCGCAAGGGTCACCTGATAGTAAGTGACTACAGCAGCCCATAGACATCTGCAGCTCAAGAGACACAACTGCGTTGCTGCCTTTAATTTGCCCTCCAAATCCAGAGTTAGGAGTGGGGATAATATCTAATCAAATCAAATCAAATTTATTTCTGCAACAAACACAATGGTGTTATGAAATATGTAGTTATGTTTCAAGAACTCCCCTCGGATACCATCCACCAGTAGGTGATTATGTCGGACTCGAACCGACCAAAAACCACACGCCGTCTTCAGGTACCAGTAGCCAGGGAACCAGGCATACCCTAGAAAGGAAAGTCTGGTACCCTGACGTACCTCGGGCCATCCACGACTTATAGATGATACCGCCGGTGTGGAAACCCGGATGTGCCCTTCCTTCCCCCGAAGGGCATTCGCGCTCCGTAGCGCGTTGCGCCACCACCCACCCCGGCCTGGTTCTGCTAGAGTGACAGATGGCCTCACCTGTCACCCTCAGGCCTGCACTTATGGAGGACGGAGGTGGTTCTGCGACCTCCGGCGTCTGAGCCGTCTGTGATACCTGGCGCGTTCCCGGGCCTGGCGGGCCGGGAGAGTTTTGAACCTCTCCCGGTTCCGCTTCGCCATTTCCTTCGCAAGCATAACCTGCTCCCAAATTGATTCCACCCGAAGGCATGCAAAATGTATACAATTATTGTTTTAATTAATAACAATTAATAAAATTAGATTTTAGAATAATTCAAATTATTTTTAACATTATAACTTAAAGAGGGACTTAAAGTTATAATGATAAAAATAATTTATTTATTTAATAATGATTAGATTATTTCGATGTCACTCCCTGAATTATTACAATATATTAACAGATTAATTATTATTAAATATTTTAAAGACACACACATAACCACTCCGTTACCTGACGTCATCGTCTGACGTATCATCTGGCAGAATTAACTGACAAATGATTGGTAGTCATCTACTATTATTAATTACCTGGATTAAGTAGCTTTGCTCGGTATTTTTTTTTTGGTTACTTTCCCAAAAATGAAACCTAACTAGATCGATTAATCGCCCCCGAAACCCCCTGCATACTAAATTTCAATAAAATTATTGAAGGCGTTTCCGAGATTCAGGATATACATATTTATAGACAAGAATTGCTCGTTTAAAGGTATTCGATAGTATTTTATTTATGTAAGTTTATATGTATGATAGGTTTATGTATGCGTAAGTATTTGATATTATTACTACAAACAAACTTCAACCAAAATGCACCTACTTCCTGTTTTCTCAGCATCACCAAAAGGCAAAGATTGCCTTAGGCATTAAGTCCGCCAATGCACCAAAAGTGCATGATGTGTTTAAAAATTTTTAGTAACACTACTTCCTGATAACTGTTTAATAGTGCCATCTGAAGGCCAGATCGGCCTATTGGTCTATGTTTTAGTGACCCTGGCTGCTAAGCCAGAGGTTTCCATTTCATGATCATGTGATGTGCACGATCATTTGTTCTGTGTCTGGGTGTAATTTATCTTTATTATGTATGCATTTAGAAATACACGGTGATTTTTTAGGCGTTTTGGAAACGAAACATTTTAATTTGGAATCATCTATAGTACCAATAAAATTATTAAATCAATTGTAATGTTGTCTAAAAAAAAGTTTCAGTTTTAATATTCATTTTTACTCGATCGACTTGGAAAGTAGTAATGGACGGATCATTCATTCATTATCTTATATGAATGAAACACGTCTGTGGGCGTTTCGGCGGCCGCTGCGCACCGCTGACGCTAACAGCAGCTGATAAAAGTATACCTATAGGCACGAGCTAGCGAGTACTTACGTAGACAGACTCCAATTTGTCCTTCATACTTTACACGGGCTTAGGACCGTCGGAAATACCTATTTTATTTAAACTTCTTTTCGATTATTAACCACGATTGTTCTTTTCACAACAAATCAATTTATCAACGGACTGTAGGTATAAATATTGCAAGCGTATTTAAAAAATCGGAGCTATCTACAGAATAATTAACTTACATACCTATTTACACTATTTACACTTCTCTGTATCGGAGCAACTGCTCAAAATGGAGTCCGCTGCATTCAATACACAAACGTCCACGTTTAATGCAATTGTTTTTTAATTTTCTTAATGTGTCTCTATCACTTTTCACTTTATCAAAAGCGTCCACTATCGCAATGCGTAAATTATCACGGCTTTCATATTCCCGTGTATAAACAAGTATTTTTATTTCCGACCATAAGAAAAAATCCAGGGGCGTTAAGTCCGGGCTTCTGCGTGGCCAAGGCACTGGCCCTCCTCGACCTATCCACCGATCACTAAACTCATTGTCCAGGTATGCACGCATTACACTCCGGCGAATAATAATTTAAACGTCCTTGACCTTGCGCGTGAGTATAGTATTTCTATTCGTAGTATTTACCTACTTGCGATTGAAAAGCCCTACTACTGGTTCTCACCTTTTTTCTGTAATCGATATGAATATCGACTTTGATGATAAAAAATATATATATTTTATTAAATTAACGTTATATATAGCTTCTGTTACTGATAAATAACTCAAAATTTTCTTTTCCAAAACGCTTTCAAAATCACCGTGTATATAAGTATGTTTATCAGCAGTTTGATTACCATTGTACAGGCTCTGCCTGGTTTAGGATCAGACTGCAGTGTGTGAAATGTGTAACGTTATTATTATTATTGTCACCAGGGTCACGTTCAACCAGCACGTGTTCCCTGCTTGCCTGAACATAGATGATTTTTTTTATGGATCCGTGACAGCGACAGGATGGGGCGCCATGGGACATAGGAAGCAATTGGCTGATACATTACAGATTGTGAGTAGTCTGATTACTGAATACATAGTTACATACATGCATAAACCCAGACGGTGACAGATCAAGAATACGGAGTGTCACCACCCATTTTCATCCCGTGGGTGTCGTTAGAGCCGACTAAGGGCGCAAACTATGCAGGATAGCACTACAAAGAGAAGAAAAACTTCAAACAAACCCATAGTAGGCCAAAACCTCTTTCCTAAGGAGATGTCTATGCAAGGCGATCTTAGGCTATGCTGGGGCCCCTGGGCACACAAGTATTGCGGGCCCTATTGGACAGTAAAAAAAAAAAAAATTGGTAAGCAATTTCAACATTTGGGTAAAGTTTCTTCTAATTTATCAGGCTTTACTTATTAGTTTATGTAAGTTTGAGCTACTGAAATCCACCGATTCCTTTGCTATTTTCTTTAAATACTTCATTTAATGAAAAAAATAATGATTTGAGCTCATATGCATTAAGGTCCTCGTGATACAATTCTGTAAATTCATTGACATTGTTTAATCAACTCATCAGATATTATTATTATTTCTCACTTAATAACTAACGATTTGTTGTTAAGTGAGAAATAACACTAAAACGATTGCCAATTTCTTAATATGCGAACAAACCACTTTTCAAATGTGCATATAATGTAACGATAAACGTAGGTACATATCTACATGAAATATTTTTTTGCCGTGCAGCTGTACAGTCTCTGATGATCTTTCAAAAACAGTGACGCATCTGCTGCGTAATATTTTCCTTTTCAGACTTATCTTTGTTCAACAATTACACATTGAACAGCCTGAATACCTAATAAATGTAGCCTGTACCTATACTGCACACTGGACAAAAATTGCAAATTTACATTTTTCTTTTATTTTTGACTAAACACTTGTTTTCTGTTTTACCAACTATATTACTAGTTTATCCGCACATCTCAGATGTTCTTAGGTCGGCAGCTACAAGCACCAACTTAAAAAAACGTTTAGTAAACTCCAGACCCTTACTTACGATTTAAGAAAAAGAATAAAATCCATACCATAAGGCGATTTTACAGCCCAATAAAAAAAGTTTATATGGTGGCGAATTTCCTATCTAGAAACTTTGGCAATGCCACATTTTGGTGGTATTCGTCAGTCCTAGTCGCCAACAACGCTCCAATTTACTTTATAATTTTGTGTAAGCGAATATATTGCTTTTCGGGCCCCCGTGACGATGGGGCCCTGGGCACGGACCCCGTGTGTCCTTATGGTAAAGACGGTATTGGGCCTATGTCCAGCGGTGGACTGTTAAAGACTGTTGATGATAAAACTATCCCTATTTTTCCGAAAAGGTTAGCAGAAACGTATTAAACGGCCACAATTTGACATTGGTGCTAGTTCTGTAGTCCGAAAACTCTCTAAACTAAACTAAAAATCGATAAAAATGTCCTGTCAAATATTACGTTTTCAGAATTGCAAACGTTGTTTGGCAGGACTAAACACATGTTTTATTATTATTAGTTTAGTTTAGAGAGTTTTATAACAACAGAATTAGCACTTTTATTTTTAATTTCAGTCCCACTTTTAGTTACGTATAACAAAGGGGCAACTTTTTTGCGTCAAGTTTAAATGGGAAATTAAATAGGAAGATATAGGTAGATAGGAAGAGGAGACAATGGAAAAATAAGGTTTTTACCTATGCTATTGGATTGAGGAGTGAAAGCTAGAAAAATAGGGCTCAAGGGAGAAAGAGAGAAAAATAAAGGAAGGAGTGAGAAAGAGAGAGAGAGAGTACACATGAAAATAACTTGTGTCACGTTAATGATGTGTCCGATTTGGCACCGTCTCCTTTGTGAGGTAAGGAGCTTACAGAAGCCGATCAACGCGTTTCTGCTGCGATGTGTGCCTGGCTATCTATAATTAACCATTACATCACTTACTCTTTATCTCGCCATATTCTGTTTTATGCAGCTATCCTTCTTTCATTTGGCTCTCCTTTACTCATATAGCCGGCAACTTCAACACCAACTGAAAAACCGCCTAAAGATTAAAAAATCTGAAATTATGTATACTTTAATAAATTGACACTTTCAGGTAACGCTCCAATCATTTTATGACGAGGTATGTTTAGTTCACTACCCACCACACCGGAACATAGCTACGGGGTTTAACAGCACCATACAACTCTGTTACGGCGATGAAAGGGGATCCAAAGACACTTGCGAGGTAAATGTAATATGAAATAACATCTTTTTTTTAAGACAACTCCCGAAATAGGTATATGTCCTGTATTGCGATGGACTTTACGAACAGTTATCAAACGGACACAAAGAACACCCAAACTCAGAACAACAATTTGTGGATCACATAAAGTGTTGTCTATGTGAGAGCACTTAAACCACCGCCATCCGTGGAGTCTTATATAAAGTTTACTCACTACTGGGCACAAACTATAAAACTTATCAAGCAGTTATCATCTCATCAGCTTAAAAATGATCGAAGAATCACACACACACACACTGAGATCCGATAAATTCGACATGACATTCTCAATCAATATATTTTGACACTTTCAGGGAGACAGCGGTGGACCTCTCCAGGCCAAACCAGGTATATCCACATGCCTTCACACTGTGATAGGAGTAACGTCATATGGCAGGAACTGTGGGTACAAGGGCCAGCCAGGCATCTACACGAGGGTCAGTTTCTACGTCCCTTGGATTGAAAGCATCGTATGGCCGTGATAAAATCCCGTAGTAGATTCTTTGGAAAATTATTCAGGTTAATTGTGTATATTAGCTGTCAAGTTTGGTTCACTGAGGCCTGGAACGATGTGGCTAGGATTTCTCAAGCCACGTTTACACCAATTTGATGCAATTTAGGAAATTTTTAGGTTAGTAGATACTGATGGTGCACTTTAATCGGAATAAACAATATTCAAATATAATTCAAATTGAATCATATTTGTGTTTTTCCCGCCAATCACCGAACATGCCCGTGATTATTAAAAAAAAAAGATGTTTTTTTTAATTGTAGTGTAGTACAATTTATAAATGTAAGCGTTAATTAGTTTTAAGTGTTTTGTTGAATAAATATTTATTATTAACTAGTTTATAGAATGAATGTCCTAAGCCTTTCATCCGAAACATAGAGATAAAATGAATTTTTAAGTGTTCTTTGAGTTTTGGTGGGTCTCATGACATTCAAGCGCTGCGCAGCCATAGAACACAGATTCCTAAAATTGCACTATTTTCAAAAAGTACCTCCTTCCTTAATCCCTAATTTTAAAATCTACTGGATGAGCAGAGATTGTTATAGTCTATTCATTAATCTGCGATTACACTAGGATTCTACGGGAAATATCTAATGATGGGGTGTTTTAAATAGAGAACAAAATAAAAATTAAGTCATAACAGTACTGTAGGTGATGGATGGTGGCGTGCTTACCAGGAAATTCCGAAATAAAAAGCGGTGGATGATTAGAGTACTTTCAGGGTGTAAAACGTGCGGGTGTTCGTGTCGGTTTTTAAACGTCAACTGCCCGCTCGGTAATTACCGGCCGCATTAAATAGTATTCATCTGAGCGCGCTAAGTACACACCCGCGCGCCAACCCTCTGTAGTATGTTTATTATCACAAACACATATAAAATACAATTAGCACATAATATAGCTATACATATTCAGAATATTTTAATTATAAGTTTTATACATAAATAAGGTTATATATACAGTAAATAAATGCTCACCGTCGTCTGTAACACCGGGGTGTCACTTTTGCTTCGTCTACAAGTACAGATTTATAAATTTTACTAGAATACATGTTCGTTGGTTAAGCAATTGGTATTAATCAAAAAACAGTTTAATAAAAATATTTATTCCCTAGTAACTTCGTAGGGTGTGTGACGAAGCCTCAAATGTTTTACTAGCTGATGTTTTAAATAAAAGCTAGCTCCACATTCGGTACAAATGAATTTAGAACCCACGCTGTGACTTTTCATGTGCTTTTTCAACGACATTTTATGCATGTAAGCATTCTTACACACGGGACAAACAAAGTTTCGTTCCCCCGTATGTGCCTGCATGTGTTGTTTCAATTTGGACTCTATTGCAAAACACTTTAAACATATTTCGCATTTGTATTTTTCCATGTGACATTTATTTGTATGTTCAGTCAAAGCTCTTCTCGTGGAAAACGTAGTTTTGCAGATATGGCAAAGGAAACTCTTTGTAATGCCGTGAGCTTCCTTTAAATGCGTCATTTTAATGTAATGCTCTTTAAAAGTTAGAGAACATTTCGGACATTTCTTCAGCTTAACTCTTTCTTTACCTTTGTGTATAATTTCTGTGTGATATTTTAATTGGCTTCTTTTAGAGAAAGTTTTATGGCAACACTCGCAGTTAAACTTCTTAGATAAGTGAATTTCTTTATGTTTGATAAGCATGTATTGGTTTAGGAAGCTTTCTCCACAACTTTCACAAACTACTTTACCAACATGGCTATTCATGTGAGAATTTAATAAGTTAAAATTATGAAATTTTTTATCACAGATATGACATAAAAACATATTATTTATTAGTTCCATTTTATACTCTGTCATTCCATTGCCGGCCGAATAGAAATGTTTCCTGTGCTTATCGATTAAATGTTCTCTAATAGTGTTGAGATCTCCAAAGTGTTGGTCACATAATCGACATTTTAATTTAGAGATGTCGACTTGCAAAGTTCTTTTACTTTTCTTTACATATTTTTTCAATATGACTTCTCTGCTGTCAACTTTGTGGGTTAGTGTATGTTCGAGTAATGATGGTAGGTCGTAGTTATAGTCCATACAGAAGAAGCATTTAAAACTGAAGCCCATAAATATGAAAGGGCGCACGGTAGTGTATTGTATGAATGTGGCTGCGTTGTTCCTTTCGGCTACTGTCATCTGCCAGATACTTCTTACTGACGTAGAGCCTGGAATTTAAAACAGGTTATTGTTATGTTTTACAAACATTACAGTTGAATCGTATGATGAAAAATGACTCAGCCAACCTTATAATATCTCTTTTTCATAAAAAAAATTGTTTGAAATCGTCCCTTATGTAGACTCAACAATAGCAACAATGTCTGTTTTGTAAATTTTTAAAAATAAATAAATATATGTAATAAATTATACGTATCGAAAATCTATTATTATATACCTATACAAATAAGCGAAAATTAAAGGATCGACCCTAAACATCTTACTATAACAATTAGAAACCTTTTTTTCATCATAAAATGGACCGTCCATTCGCGTTAAGAAAATAGTGACACATCGACAAGACCCACATCCTGACCTTTCCGGTTCCAAGAAATTATAGTTTCGTACGGAAGCTTGGAACCTGATTGGTTAGGGACAGTCAGGGTACGGTGATTGATCGATGCGTCACTATTTTCTTAACGCGAATAGACTAAAAGTAATACAGATAATATATAACAGGTAATGGATTGAATCGTTTCTGCATAACACGATTTAATTATGTAACAAAAGTATTATAAAAGTTATAAATACCTATATTTAATTATTTTAGAGCGCTTTTTTTGTACATATCATATTATGAAACTCTACAGTGAGCGTCTGAGAGCGGGTTGAATTTTTTTGTAGGAGGTAGAGTCACCGTAAATATATATTTCATGATACCTGAATACCTAAAACACAGGTCTTCCTGAATCTTGTTCCGTTTTACGCTGGGAGCAATTATATTCAAAATGGGGGTATATTATGCTTCCTTATTGATGTTCATCGAGAAAACTACACTCGAAGGTAGACTAAGAGTAAAATAAAAATACTTGTGTTGTAAAGCATCAAATATATTAGGTGTAAAATCTTACTTCAATAATTTAAGTATGTTTAAGAGATTAGAGATCAAGCGAAATATCATTGTCAATGTTTTCGGCTCCAATTTATGTGTCACTTTGTTTCTCCTTTCTAAGAAGAGGCATATGTCCAGCAGTGGACTATTAAAGGCTGTTGATGATGATGATGACACTTTGTTTTTAAGTCGCCTTCATACAATCTACTAAGAATAAATTATTAATTAATGTGCTGGTACCTGAAAGTGAATGCATATCGTCGATCGGCGATTAGTAAAGGTATACTTTCATCATCATCATCAAAAGCCTAAACCGGCCTACAGCTGGACATACCCCACGTGACATTACCCCACACACACTCACAACACACACACCGATGTGTGCCTAAGAAAAACTTTTAAAACAAATCATAGTCAAAAGCAGTGTAAGGACAGTTTTGATCTTTGGCGTTAAGAAATTGAATTAACACTGAAGACGTATGTATTGTACAGAAAACATGGAATTAAGTTGCGCCATTTTGCCTAACAAAGTTTTTTTTTACCATTTAAATAAAGTGTTTAACGGACAGTATAATCAAAATAACTTCTCGGATGCCATTCTTTCACGTGACGATTGTAATCATTGCGATTAGGAAAACCGTTACCGCACTCTGCGCAGTTAAATTTTATGTACTCATCCTCCTGATTATGTGACCGCATGTGCTGTTTTAAACTCTTCTGATGCCTGTAAGCTTTCTGACATAAACTGCAGATGTAATTCCTCTCACCGGTATGAGAAATCATATGTTTCTTCAAAGTAGTTACACAACTAAAACTCTTTTTGCAAATCTCGCATTGAGTTTTCTCCGTATGGTACTTATTTGTATGCATGGTCAGAGCCCTTCGACTAGGGAATACAGATTTGCAAACTTCGCAATGAAACGTAAATGTAATCCCATGTGAATCTTTCAAATGTTTTAACTTACGAAAGTGTTCAGCAAACCTTTCCGGACAGTGGGGGCATCTGAGCATTCTCATTTTTGTAGCGCCTTCATGGGCTTTTTCTATGTGATATTTCAGATTAGAATTTGTTGTGTATACTTTATTGCATCTATTACAAGGGTAGCCACCCGGTAAATGTATTTCTTTATGTTGTATGAGCCTCTGATGAGTCATAAATCCAGCGCCGCAAGTTTCACAAACAGCATTACTGAAATGCACATTCATATGTCGATTTAACAATATAAATGTTTGGAAAATTTTATGACAAATATGACAAGAAAATTGACCATTTTTTGAAGTTAAATCGTAAGCAACTAAACCATTTCCAGATTCTGTAAAGGCTTTGCAGTGTTCTGATGTTAAATGCCTTCGTATTCTCTCAAGATCTTCAAAACTCTGCTTGCATATTCGGCATTTAAGTTCTGAAATATCAACTTTTATTGTTCGTTTTCCTTTTGGCAGGAATTCTTTGAGTAATACTGCTTGTTCTGGGATGTCGTGGCTAAGTGTGTGCTGTAGTAAGTTCTTTATTTCGGAGTACTGTTCTCTGCAGAAGAAACACTTGAAATAATATCTGCAGTAAACAAAAGGTTTAGCGGTGGTATTCACTAGAAGGATGGACGCGTTCTGTCGTTCGGAAAGGGTCATTTCCCAGATACTGGTGAGAGCTCCCTGTCGACGCTTTGCTTCAGGTCCTGGGGAAGAATGTCCATGGTTTAATTTTCATTTTTGGCTTATTGAAAAGTTGCTTGGTTGCAAGCATCGTAAATAACATTACCGCGATGAACATCTATGTAATGTCAATCCCAGTGTGATTTCATTCAATTGAATCGTTCAGAAGACATAAAATCAAACTGATTTTTATAAATAGTTTCAGAATAAAAAATAATTTTATTTTCTACGACATGTTTCCATTCAAACTTATATAATAAGTGAGTTTGTTAGTTTGTTACGCTTTCACACCTAAACCACTAAACGGAATTCTTTTACCATGGAAAGCTACATTATCAGCGAGTAATATAGGCTACTTTTTACTGCTACAACCGACATAGTGACTGTCGAGAATCAAACCTCGATCCTCGACATCGCGGTGGGCCGGTGCATCAACCGGCTGAACCGCTAGCGAACGGCGTGCGGCGCAGGTGACGGGGAGGCAACGAGAAGCGGGGGCGCGGGCGCAACGGCTCCCACCTCGATTGCCATTACAGACACTCGCATTATATACTCGATCGGGATCACTACTCTTTACAACTACCCCTACTTACTACTTACCCCTTGTAGACATTACAAACCAGCGCAAAATACAGCTCGCTTTTATTTATCTACTAACACCGAGACCTTAACAGTGACTATGGCAATATATACAACTGCCATTTTTTGTTCCAAAGAAGTAAATAAGTATTCTATTTCCGTCAATCTAGCTTTCATAGTACAGGCTGTCCTTAGTTTGAAATTAGGTGGCGTTTTGTGTGTGTGTGTGTGTCAGATGTCCGAAAATATTATTATTATTCTCTTTATTTCATATTTAATGAAATACATATAAATTGCATGCTTAGATATATTTATGATCCATATAATAAACAAAATACATTTAAATATTTAAAAAATAGTGTCCCATCGGTATCGGCTACAGGGTCCAAGACACCGGTCGTTAGAATTCCAGACACAGAAACCTCCTCACAATACTTGCCATATTGAGAAGAACTGCTTTCTGCTTCAAGCTTTTAATCCAGCTGTCTAAGAGTCTCTGAAAATGTTTGTCGAGATTTTTAGCAATTAATCCATGGTCCGATATGACTATCGGTTCAATGATTGCCGAATTCACATCCCACATGTCGACAATCTTTTGGGCCAAATCCAAATACTTGTTTATCTTTTTCAGCTTTCAAGAGATTGTCGTCATGTAGAATTATTGTTATTATTATCATGTATTTTTATGCTTTCTTTCAATATTCCCCTAAACCCATCTAATTTCTGAACTGCCCGATGGACAGAAATAGGCTTGTACCTAGTTACGTAAGTGGCACTAAAATTATAATCGACAAAGTGTTGGCGTTTAATACGCTTCTGTCTGTTCCCTCGGAATATAGACGACAGTCTACACGGATGGTGTAGTGGTTTAAGCCGTCACCTCGCTGCTTCCTACTGCGCTGGGTGTTGTGGAATCCCCATATGGGACAACACTGTGTGATCCACAAATTGTTGTTCTGAGTCTGGGTGTTCTTTGTGTCTCTTTCATGTATGTAAAGTCCCCGCGACACAGGATAGACCTCCGTCCTCCATAAGCGCAGGCCTGGGGGTGACAGGTGAGGCCATCTGTCACCCTAGCAGAAGCAGGGCGGCGCGACGCGCTGTGGAGCGCGCTCGCCCTTTGGGTTGTAGAATGGAAACACCGTGATTCCCACATCTACAGGCCGTAGATGACCCGGAGTCCGTCGGTGTTCCAGGGATTACCTTTCTAGGGTACACCTGATTCCCCAGCTACTGATAATCGAGACGGCGTGCGATTTTTGGTTCGGTTCATGTACGACATAACCACTGGTGGGTGGTATCCGAGGGGATTTCCGCACAGACAAAAGAAAAGGATACGTACGTAGTGTTTGTCATTTAAAACAGAAAAAAACGTATATGTGCGTATGTAGCTTAAAGGCTCTAATCGAATTTCTTTGTATTTTTTTTTTAAATAACGCAAAGTATGATAATAAAATACTGTTTATTTAAGTTTAACTTAGAAATTAAACTAAATAGGCGGTACATTATACTGATTGTTTCTACTAAAGCAGTGTGTTGTAAGTACACCAAGTAGTTGCAACACTCTGTAGTCCTATGAAGGTGTGGGGTTTTGATATGGTACTTTCAATTGAAATATAAATATACACGGTGTAAGGGACGTCGTAGCGAATACTTTAATAGTGTACTCAGACCATCATTCTGAGTCGAAAATCATTGGAACTTTCGGCCGGAAAATTAAACATTTTATGCAATCAGCTGTCAAAGGTTAAGGTCATTTCCCCCCGTAGGTATCGCACAAAAGTAATAACTACATGTGTAATCCGTGCAAACAGTCTACGCACACAAACACAAAATGGCGACCGGAGGGGAGGCCACGCGAGCTTCGGCTGTTTGATTAATTACATTGCAGTTTTTTGGTATTCATTAAATTGTTTTCTGTAAAATGTCCTGTCTACTCATTGTGATATCATTTTTACCAGAAAAATGGAAAAAAGATGTATTTTCCGGCAGAAAATTTCAATGATTTGAATTAGAATCATGGTCTGAGTACACTATATCAGTATTCGGTACGATGTCCCTTACACCTTGTATATAACAAATATAAAAAAGAGTATTTAGCAACGGACGCCAATTAATTAATCAGTGTTTACAAATTTCACTGAAAAGTGTTATTCAAATGCTATTTCCAAGTTTTTTATTTTTTTATCTTACACATCATCATCATCAGCCTGTAACAGTCCACTGTTAAACATAGGCCTCTCCTTAGAAAGGAGGCTTTGGCCTGCTATGCTACGCTGACAGATGGGTTGGTATAGGAAACCCTACATGGAGGCGGCGCGCCTGGCCGCCACGGGAGTTTCCCTGGTGGTCGGGCGCATTGAGGCGTTGGGTTTGCGGGTGGTCCTGGATAAGACGGAGGCCCAATTATTTCATGGGCCCCGTCGTGGTCCACCCGCCGGCGCCTCAATCGAGGTCGGCTCGGTCCTCGTACCGGTCCGGGCCCAGATGAGGTACCTGGGTCTGGTCCTAGACGGTAAGTGGCTCTTCGACGAGCACTTCCGACAGCTTGGTCCGAAGCTGGTGGACACTGCCTCCGCCCTAGGGCGACTTTTGCCCAATTTGGGCGGGGCCAGTGTTCCCACGAGGCGGCTGTACGCGGGGGTTGTCCGGTCCATGGCGCTTTATGGTGCACCGGTGTGGGTGGCGGCTCTGACCGCCCCGAATAGGGCGCGCCTCTGGCGCCCCCAGAGGATATTGGCGGTCAGAGCCATACGCGGATACCACACGGTGTCCACCGAGGCGGCTTGCGCCTTGGCCGGAACACCCCCGTGGGATTTGGAGGCGGAAGTGCTCGCCGAAGTTTATCGGCGAGTGGCTGACTTCCGGGCGGAGAGCGGATTTCGCCCTCCGCCCGAAGACGTGCGCGAGTGGCGCGAAGCCGCTCGCCGAGCCACTATGGTGAGATGGTCGTTCCGGCTGGAGACTCCAGCCGGTCATCGCCGAGTGGGCAGGGCGGCAGCACGGGACCCTTTCCTTCCGCCTGACGCAGGTGCTTTCCGGGCACGGTTGCTTCGGAAAGTACCTGTACTCGGTCGCTAGGAGGGAATCGAGTCCCGCCTGCCACCACTGCGACTGCGGTGAGGATTCGGCCCAGCACACGCTGGCGGTTTGCCCCGCATGGGCGACGCAGCGCCGGGCCCTCACTGCAGTCATCGGAGCAGATCTCTCGCTACCGGCCGTAATTCGCTCCATGGCCGGTAGCGACAGTTGTTTTACCGCGGTCGCAACCTTCTGCGAGGAGGTAATCTCGCAGAAGGAGGCGGCGGAGAAGGCCCGGGAGGACGACCTCCACTCGGACCCGATCCGCCGCCGGCGAACCGGGCGGCGGAGGCGCGCTCACCTGCGCCTCATGCCGCCCTGAGTGTGGCCGCGGGTGGACGGGATGGGTTCTCCCCTCCACCCGCATTAGTTGGCCAGCCGCGAGGGGGCGGCGTCCGCGTGTGCCGGACGCCGCCTAAAGAGAGGGTCCACTGAGACGGAGCCCGCGCCAGGAGCGGGCCGGCGCTGGGAGGGGTCCAGAAGGAGATAGGTACCTGGACCCTTCCTAAACTGGAAGCGCAAAGAGGGCACACCGTGTGGTTTTAGTCGGTTCGAGTCCGACACACCGCCCCGCCGAACGAGAGCCCCGGCGGGGTGACGGTCCGAGGGGATTTCCACACGTAAAAAAAAAAAAAAAGGAAACCCTACATATACATCTATATATAGGTATAAAAATGGTAGGTTGGTTTGTGTACGCTTCAAAAACTCAAAAAGTTCTGCTTCAAAGATATTTCTTATCTATTTTTCGCGATAGTTTTGTTCTTAATCTATACTAATATTATTAAGCTAAAAAGTGAGTTTGTTTGTTTGCTTGAACGCACTAATCTCAGGAACTACTGGTCCTATTTGAAAAATTCTTTCAGTGTTGGAATTAAGGATGTTGAGGAATGAAGAATGTTTCAAAATCGAGGGTATTTTTCCTTTTGAGGGCTTCTGCTGCGTGCGCTGCGTAAACGTAAATAGCTCCTTACGTACGTATTATTTAAAGTTTAAAGTTAGCGTTGGCCCAAATTAACTACTCTAAGTTTTTTATAAATGGAAAAACAATGTGTCACAGCGAAGCGTGGTAGGGTACAGCTATATATAAAACTAGCTGATCCGCGCAACTTCGTCTGCGTCTCTCAATAGTAATAAATTTTCTCCGTTTTTGAAACATTCTTCATTGGTGCTCCGCTCCTATTGGTCTTAGCGTGATGATATATAGCCTATAGCCTTCCTCGATAAATGGGCTATCTAACACTGAAAGAATTTTTCAAATCGGACCAGTAGTTCCTGAGATTAGCGCGTTCAAACAAACAAACAAACAAACAAACAAACAAACTCTTCAGCTTTATAATATTAGTATAGATATCCCTGGTAATATATAAAATATATATAGCGCTTTGTTCTCCGTCTGAGTGTAATTTATCTATAATATGTATATGTATTTAAAAATGTATAAGTACTAGCCTTACTGTTTCTGATCTGATTGAAAATAGATAAAAACCACCTCTGAAGCGTGTTGTATATCGTGTCTAAATTTGAGCTCAATCGGCAGAGAACTTTTGAGTTTTTGAAGCGTACACAAACCAATTTAACATTTATATATATATATATACATATATATGTATATATATATGTATATATATACATATATATATATATATCGTTATCAGCAGTACTATTTACCATAGTACAGGGATTGCTCAAGTTGGGATCATTTTAAATACCACAATTAAATTATCTTAAGAACTTACAAAAATAAAGGCTTAATTAAATATTCGACTAGACCCGTTACTTAAGTTATATAATACTTGATTCTTGAGAAGACATATGAGAAGACACGTTCTACTCATACCTTATGCGAAATCACTATAAGTCATCAAGGCAGCTTACAGTTGAAACTAGTTTCTTATGGCACGCATCTACTCTACACTTGTCATTGAAAAAAGTGTTAATGAACGCCATCTGTAAATAAATATTGCGGTAGTGCTTCAGGTGTAAACATCTAAATATCTCTCATCTTTTCAGTTAATAAGATCACTTCCGAAATTTTTAACAATAGTTTTGAACTGCCATTGAGGATGCCATTGTTTCATGTGCTTATTATAATCGTTTCTATTGTGAAATCCACTGCCGCACTCCGAACATGTGAACTTCCACACTGGTCCATGAACTCTCATGTGTTGCCTCAGCGTCCTTTCATGCATGTAGGCCTTCTGGCAAATTGCACAGAAGAAGTTCCTCTCTCCGGTATGCCCTCTCATGTGCATTTTCAGCAAAGACTGTGTACCAAAGCACTTCCCACACATCTTACACTGGATCTTCTGCGTGTGTAGTTTAGTTGTATGTTCAGTCAAAGCACGTCGTGTTGGTAAAATTGCTTTACATGATGGGCATTCAAAAGTAAAAGTGATGCCGTGAACTTCTTTCAAATGCGTCATTTTCCTATAATGTTCTGCAAATCGCTCTAAGCAATGAGGACATTTAAGCGGCTTTATTTTCTTTGCGTTTGTAACTTCGTGCTTTTTAAACAAATGGTAACGAAGTTTGAGCTTCGTAGGGAATACTTCTTGACATTTGTCGCATTTGTGTACACCATTTTGATGTACAATCCTGTGGTTTATTAACCGCTGATGCGACATGAATCCTAATCCACAAGTTTCACAGACCACGTTAAAATGTACGTTCATATGCCTATTCAAAAGGAAAAAGGAGTTGAATGTTTTTGAACATTTATGGCAAGATAGCTGCCCATTATTCATAGTTAAATCATAAGCCATAAGTCCATTGCCAGCAGAATTGAATTCCTTCTTATGAGCGCCTGCTAAATGTCTTCTGATGTCATCGAGATCAGAATACTTTTGCTCACATAATCTACATTTTAAACCAGAAATATCAACTTTAATAACTCTTTTTCCTTTTCTCAAATATTGCTTGAGTAAGCAGCATCTTTCTGGTGTTACGTGGAACGCGGAGTGTTGGAGAACAGAATGGATTTCGGGGAAGACTTCATTGCAATAAAAACACTTAAAATTTGCTTGCTGGTAAAAGAACGGTCTCACTGTGGTGAATTCAAGAAAGGTCGCTGCATTTTGTCTCTCTGATATGGTCATTTGCCAAATACTGGTCCTTGGGCCCGGTCGATGTGATGCCATTAATCCTGGGAAAATAAAATGGGCCCTTTTTAAATTAGCTTCTTTAGAGTAAACAGCTGACGTGTGTATTGTGTATGCATAAATTTAAATATTTCGTACGAACCTACTTTTTCTGTGTCTGGATTCATGGCAGTATAACATTTGTTTTATCTCTACAAAACAAATGCTAAAAAGGATCGGAACAAAGAACTAATAAGGTTCACTTTTCTATAATAATATAATAAAAGAATATATTTTATAAACACGGTCGTTTACTTGTGCTGCAAGAACACTGACAAAATATTTATACAAAGTATAATGATCTGAGATTGAATAATTTCATAAGAATTCCTAACATACAATAATTACGAAATAACTTTGAATTTTATATTATTAAGTCACTATAACAACTTATGAATTTACATTACTGCATGCACGTTGTTGACGTGAGCAACCAAATTGTTTTGATCCTCATAATTTTGACCACATATCGAACACACGCCAGATTCATGGGATCTCAAATGTTCTCTCAAATTTTTTCGTCTTGCGTATGCTTTCCCACAAATCTCGCATTTGAAATTCTTGTCACCTGTATGTATTACCATGTGCCTTGACAGGCAATACTTAGAGAAGAATCTAGCATGACAAACAGGGCATTCTTGATTTCTTTCTTGTAAATGAACAGATCTTATATGAATTAGGAGATGATATTTTAAGTCATATTCACGCCCACAAGTGTCACATCTAAATAACCCTGTTGTTTGGTTATGGATTATTCGCAAGTGTTTTGTTCTCTGATAGTTTGAGTTAAATCTTTCAGAACAAATGGGACATCTACGTGGAAACTGCTTCAGATGGACTCCACGAGTGTGTAGGGTTCGTTTTGCAGCATTACTGAATACTTTATCACATTTATCGCAAGGAAAACTTCCTGATTCATGAATTTGTAGATGTCTTTTTAGCAAGTTAAGAGATATAAACACAGCGCCACAAAATTCACAGCTGTAATTGTTAAAATGTTTGCTCATGTGGATTACGAGGAGTCTAAGTTTGAGAAACCTCTCTCCGCACACTTGACAATCAAAATGTTCTCCACCTAACTTGAAAGGAATTATGTTATCCTGCAACGACAGTTCTATCTTCTTATCATGATTGACTTTTAAATGTTCTTTTAAATTCTGTAAATTAGATAAGGTTTGGGAACAAATTTTACATTGTAAATATGTAACATCGACTTTTAAATTTTTATCTCTAACCCTATTATTTAGTTCTCGTTTTATTTCTTTAATACTGTGTTCATTAACATGTTGATTTAGGAGATTAGCATCTAAAAAGGGCCTTAGGCAAACAAAACATTTGTACTTATTGCCCGCGTGTATGAAAGGGTAGACGTAGGAAAACTCGAAGATAACCAACGCATTTTGTTTCCAAGATTGATATTCCTCTTTTTTGTTCCTCTTGTTCGTAGTTCTGCATAAATAACCTTGTTCAGTCTTGACACTGAACGTAATAGAATTTTGAATTTCATGTTTCTCATCTTTCCAATTAATATTTTCTAAAGATATAGGTTCTTTTAATAAGTATAGATTTCCTGTTTTCGCATCTGTTGTTTTAGGCATATTCTTTAAGAATTTAAGATCATATTTCTTTTTTATACCATCGGCCTCCTTGCTAGCCTTTTCATATATTTCTTTTTCATCTATGCTACTTGTTTCTACCTCATACTCTAAAGTTTCTAGAGATATTGGATGTTTGAGAATAGTCAGTTTGATATCCTCTCCGTCTTCAGTTTTCATAGTGAATGTAGAGTCTGATTCTTCAATCATTCCTAAAATAGAAAATGGATGATGTATTTTTTTTGTGTCGAAAAATATGAGATTGATAATATACCCTTAAATTTAGTGTTATAGGTAATAGACAATTTGAAATATAAATTAAGATTGTAAGTTTTTATAAAATAACTTTCATTATTTTATTAGTTTACTGACTGTTATTTTAAATTATAGTAGAGTTAGTAGGTATATATAGTATGTGCGTGACCCATAGCCAACATAACTGAATGTGTTAGTTATTATTAGTACCTGGATGCTTTGCTTGGTATTTTTTGTGTAAATTTTCTAAAAATGAAACCTGGCTAGATCGATTAATCGCCCCCGAAAACCCCCTGCATACTAAATTTCATGAAAATCGTTTGAGCCGTTTCCGAGATTCAGATTATTTATATAATATATGTATAAATAGACAATAATTGCTCGTTTTAATGTATTAGGTTGCTTAAATTAATATCTGCTGCTTTATATAGACCCCTACTAGTTCGACAGAAAGTTTATCAATGTAATTGCCTATTGTTATAATCTATGTGGTGACGGCTTAAGAATACGGAGTGTCGTAAGAGGCAACTCCGTAGGACTGCAAAGAGAAGGAAAACTTGACACAAACCCTATACCAACCCATCCGTGGTATAGTAGGCCAAAACCACCTTTCTAAGGAGAAGCCTATGTCCAGCAGTGGACTATTAAAAACTGTGATGTGATGTGATAGTTATATCGGCAGGCAACTAAAAAGAATACATAAGGTCAGATTGACAGGGATCTTAATAAACAATCATATCATAAGACGGAAAAACGAGTAGGAATGCCACTCGGGCCTTTTCGAGATACTGCAGGCTGTTCCATCAGTCCCGATTTACATCCGAATTTATGGTAACCCTTACTCTAGCTCAGTCGCCGTATATCTCTACCTCAATTTATCTTCCCTCTTACTCTTTTCATCTTATTGGGATGCCAAGAAGAGTAGTTTGTTGTAGAAATAGTCAAATGGCAATTTTAAAAATTAATAAAAATAATAGATTTATACTGAAACTACCCACATTGTATATTAAATATAAATATTTTTTAAATGTTAATTTTTAACGTTGGATACTTTAAGATGCTCTCCTACTTCATCTCATTCTGTCTTAGATTTAACTTCTAACTACAGATTCAGTAGCATGTTTTTTTTTTTATGATGGGAATAGCGAGGCAACAGATGGTAAGTGACTACAACCGCCCATGGACATCTGCAAGTCAAGAGTCAGTTGCCGCCTTTGGAATCCCCCCTCATAGTCAGGGGGAAGGGCGTGGTTTGGGCTCCGGAAACCTCACTCACACGGTCAAAAATAAAGAAAGTATTGCTTAACACTGGTTTTCTATGAGGTCGTGGTATTACTTCAGTGAGTTCAGTAAAGTTATATATTATGTTATCCATAATAGTAATAATAATATGTCGGTCGTCTACAATTATTGATTTTTTTTTTTTTTTTTTTTCAAGTATATTTAAAAATGTAATTAAGTCACTATTAAGTTAATCGAGTCCAAAAGGCACGTCATTGTATTGTAACGCTACATCGACTTATATTTGGGGTTACATTTTGTATGTGTGAGACCTCACCAAGTGCGTAGTATACCAGGAATAATAATAATAATATTTTCGGACATCTGATACACAACGCCATCCAGTTTTAAACTAAGCAAAGCTTGTACTATGAAAGCTAGATTGACGCAATTGGGCCCGGATAAGGCCTGATTAGGTCAATTCGGAGAGGACCTGAAATTACATGGTCCGGGTCGTCCCAGAGTCCCTGAGGCCGGCCGTCGGGGAGGGTTTTTAGTGGAATCACCACATACTCCTGGCTCCTGAATCCCCGAGGATCAGAAGATTCGAAGGGATTTTCTACCCCCTTTACAAAAAAAATAAATAAAAAAAGAGATTGACTGATAGAATACATATTATGTACTATTTTTTTGTATAAACTTACAAATTATACATAGAAAACACCTACTATTATCCTAGTACAATTTATTTAATAATTGTATAAATATTTTAAAATAGACTTAATTAATATTTATTTTAAGACTTTTTGAGGTGCAACCGATTAAATTAGAATAAGTTAATAAATAAAACTCTTAGCTCTTTGATTAATTTATTTTTAGAAATTAATTTACATTTCTTAAATAATTTTATCTGATATTTAAAAAGATATTAATTTAAATAGTTTTAATGTGTATAGAACAAAACTAACTTTCCACGCCATTAAAATATATATGATATCTAAACAAACTGTCTGGCGCATAGCAGTTCTGAATGTACATATTATTGAATTTATGAATTACAAGTAGTATCAGTGGACAGATATTACAATAATGAATCATCCTAGAATTAAGATATTCTTGATCATAGCTCCTTGCTTAATATCTTCTATATTCCAAAATAAATTTGAGTAAAACTGTAAAACAAATTTAGTTTGGAGTCCTTTCGTTTGTTTAAAACAAAACGTAAAAAAACAAAAATTTGCCTTGTATGAGGGGCGATAAATGGCACCCAAGATCCGCTGAATATCTTCAGTTTGTCAAATCTCATTTTGTCTCTCTCATGATGAGATATACTTACAAATTCCTGAATCATTAACTCTCAAATCTGGCAAATGATAATCATTTTAATAGGTTAAACTCAGACATACCGATACTTAGTGACGTGACAATACTTTTGAGGCATCTGCCAATTGCGTTCAACGGATAGTCACTAATATTCTTGTCAATTCACAAACGTTAAATACCAGTAATACCTAGTTTTAAGTCATAAATTAGTTTGTTTTCAAATTCTAAATACTGGGATTAAAAATGTAAATATACATGTAAACGGTTGCCATCAGTCCATAATTTTTGAATCCAGTACCCATTTATCTGATAAAATTATAATAATTAAGGGTCACCATCGTCAATATTTTAACTATAAATAAATGTCCAAGATATAATATAATTAAGTTTTCTACACACTGTGAGTCCAAAATAAGACATTTATGACTTGTGTTATTGTTATAAAGAAAGTAGATAAGTATTATAAAAAAATCCTTTTTTAAAAGATCCATATAAAAACTTCCGTGACTCGTGGTGACGGATTTAGAATACAGAGTGTCACCACCCCTATTCATTCCGTGGGTGTCGTAAGAGCTCACTAAGGGAGCAAACTACGCAGGACAACAGCACTGCAAAGAGAAGGAAAACTACAAACCCTAAACCAACCCGTCTGGCCAGCATGGTATAGTAGGCCAAAACCTCATTTCTAAAGAGAGACCTATGACCAGCAGTGGACTATTAAAGGCTGTTGATGATATAAAAACTCAAATTTCAAAGCTTCTTTAAATCTGCGTAAAGTTTGAAAAGTTTGAGTAATTTAATTTTCTATTGATACACTATGTTTTAGAAGTAATTTCTAAACAAAAACCTATTGAAATTGTGCAATACCGATTTAATAGAATCACAAGTGAATTTATATTATTATCAACACAAAGAGTAGAACTAAAACAGCGTATTGCACTTGCAACAGTACAACATGTCGATGAACGAGTTCTTAATAGTCGTAACTATTTAGTCTGAGCATTTCTCTCCGATGTCACGTTCAAGTCACAATTTCTGCTTACGATTATAAGAATCACATTTGTTATTAAATATCAGTCTGACATCGGAAATATTATTAATCTATATCATGCAAACGCAAATGATCCTTCAAGTTTTTCCTCCTCAAAAATGCCATCCCGCAGACTTCACACTTATGATTCTTTTCACCAGTATGTATTACCATATGACGCTTCAAAGATTCCTTATTACAAAACCTTTGCTGACAAACCTCGCACTGTTGATTTCTCTCCTGTAAATGAACAGACCTGGTATGACAGATCAAATGGTATTTCAAGTTAAAACCACGCCCACAAGTCTCACACTTGTGCACTCTCGTAGATTGGTTGTGGACATCTTGCAAATGAATTGTCCTTTTGTAATTTGAGTTGAACCTTTCTGGACATATCGGACATCTTCTTGGGAACTGCTTAAGATGCACGCCTCGGATATGCAACGTCCTTTTGTAAGGAGTGCTGAAAACTTTGTTACAACGGTCACACGGGTAGTTGCCGGCTTCATGGACTTCTAAATGCTTTTTCAAAAGCCGCAATGTCATAAATGCAGAACCGCAAACTTCGCAACTATAATTATTAAAGTGTATACTCATATGGATGACCAATATTCTTACTTTGATAAAAATTTCCTGGCAAATGACACACCTATAAGATCCATTGTCTAATTCCAATTTGAATGGTATTAAATTGTCTTGAAGATCTAAGTTTATTGGTTTGTCGTGAACTTCTTTGAGATGGTGTTTTAACTGGACCAAGTCGGATGGTTTTGCCGAACATATTTTACAGGTAATATCACTGACATCCACTTTTAAAACGTTTTCCCTTCTGTTATTAACTAATCTTTTAAGCGGAGCAAAATTATGTGTTTCACGCATATGTTCCTTGAGCAAGTGTAGGTCTAAAAAGGGTTGCGAGCAAACAAAACATTTGAATTTATTATTCCCATACACAAACGGATATACCGTAGAATATTCGAACACAGCTAGAGCGTTCTGTCTTATATCCGGATTTTTTTTAGCTTTTTGATGGATAATTTCAACTAATTCTGGTCTCTCAATGAACGGGGATGGTGATCTTGATATATTTACAGGTGAAGGACTTCGTGATGGAGTATGACGTCTAGTCATAGTCTTTTTGAGTGCACTGAAGTTCACTAAGGTGCCCAATGGTTTACACAGGCTTCTGTCGTAAGACACTTGGAATAACGGCACGATTCTTCGCTTGGAGTCACGTATGGGCGAGACGGATCCTAGAAAACAGAAACAAAAATATATTCGCCTTCAACTTGATGTTACACTTCTTTTTAATGCATAAGTGCTGATTAACATACCATATTCCTGTGCGTTAAATTGTTTTGTTGATGTAAGCTTATTAATTGAAATAAGTTTTGAATCAATCACATTTTATTAAGTTCTGGTTAATTAACATTTATTTGTACACTATCATATATTTAAAAGTTGATCGGAAGGCTTGTCGTAAGATTTAATTTTATCAGAATTGTAAAGAATTATTATACTAAAATTCGGAGAAGGTCAACTTGTACCGTTAGTTTATTTCATGTAACAAAAACTTCGATTTTACTTTGCCCTGAGTTGGAATGGTGGATCTTAGTATGATGTTTTAGGCTACATTTCTGTACAAACGAAGTGCCGCAAGTAGCACATATGAAACGTCTATCATTTTCATGTATCCTCATATGCTCTCTCAATGTATGCTTCCTCGCATACGCTTTCTTGCAAACGCTGCATTGAAACTTTCTTTCCCCACTGTGTCTTATCATGTGCTCCTTCAACTCGGACTTTGAATAAAACTTCCACTCGCAGACTTCGCAGGCATGCCTCTTCATTTTCAGGTGCACTGTCCTGACATGTACACCGAGTTTTCCACTCAATGTGAACACTTTCGGGCACATGGTGCATTTAAATTCTTTTAACTTTACACCGTGGACGGAAGAAATGTGTTTATTTCTTTGAAAATAGTTTCTAAACGTTTCGGGACATTGAGGGCATCTATGGCGTTTTACTTTCATGTGCACTGTTGCAAAATGTTCATTCTTCGCGTTAGTAGAACGAAACACTTTATCGCAGCTATCACAAGGAAACGAGCCCGTCTCGTGTGAGAATGCGTGAGTTCTTAACCGTTCGGGCGTAACAAACCCAGTACCGCATTGCTCGCATATAAAGTTTTGAAAATGTACATTCATATGTTGATTTAACAATTTAAATTCCGAGTATTTTTCTATACACAACACGCATTGGAAATCGTCTGTAGTTACTTTGAATGGCAACACTCCATCGGCAGATTTAGGGTCTAACTGCTTATTGTGCTTTTCCAGTAAATGCCACTTTAAAGAATTGAAATCAAGAATTTGATCTTCACACAGCTTACAGCTGACATCAGTTACGTCTATCTTCACTAATTCGTATTTCCTCAATTTTGACATCGCGTGTTTTATTTGATAGCTTTTCAGTAAGGAATGTTCTAAGTTATGGCGCCTGAGCTTTATAGGATCTGAGAATTGCTGGTCACAGTAAAAGCAAATGTATAGATTTTTCATCCACCTAAATGGGCAGATGTTAGAAGATTCTAAAAGTAAAATCGCGTGGCGTTTCCTAGCTTTAATATCGTCGTCTGTAAAATTTTTCGTTCTTTCTGCAAACTGGGCCGATGTTTCACCTTTATTTTCTTTAGCAATATTCTTGTCAGGTGAGGGATCGTCACCTAAAAATCAAAAATGAGCATGTTATCTTTCTTGAATAGCGTTTCATGCATCATCTTCACCCTTGTTTTCCAAAAACATACTTTAACAATAAAGTTTTTAGTATTTTAAATGGTAGTATTTAAATTAAGTGCTTAAACAGGAAATAATGGATCCATGATGAATGGAAGTAAAGAATTTTGTCTCAAACTGAAGTATAAGTAAAAAATTATAAATACGATAGTGTATGTTGATCCGTGGCCTTTATTGAACTTTATTTAGCACTGCATACTACAGAATGTGTATGTTTGCAGTCGAAACATTTTTGAATTATTTAAATGTTTTTTCACAACCGATATGGTAATCTCGCTGTCTGAAACATGAGTTTTGTTTAAAATTAGGGACAGAGAACAAAAACAATTAAATTTTCATGTTGTTTATTCCACTAAAATACGTCTTTAAGTGATGCAGGGTGATGGACTCGCATATGTTGTTTTAAGCTACAATTCTGGATAAACGACTGGCCACAAACAGGGCAAATAAACCGCCTATCATTATTATGTATTCTCATATGTTCCCTCAATGTTTTTAACCTTGCGTATGACTTCTTGCAAACATCACATTGATATATTCGCTCTCCACCATGCTTTATAGAATGTTCCTGCAGCTCGTAATTCGTAAAGAATTTCATCCCACAGATAGAACAAATATGGTTCCTTTCTTGCAGATGTTGAAACCGTATATGGGCTGTTCTTCGGCTGCACAGATCAAAAACTTTAGGACACGACGGACAGGGAAAGACCGCAGTCTTTTCTCCGTGAATTGTATTTAAATGTTTAAGTCTATGTTTGTAGGAAGCAAATTTCTCATCGCATATAGGACATTTGTATCTTTTGTTCGATCGGTGGACTTTAGCGTTGTGGGCGTACAGAGAGGCGTATGAAGGGAAGGTATCTGAACATCTCTTGCATGGAAAATCCCCCCGTTCATGTGTCCTAGCGTGGTTTATCATTCTTTGTGACGTAGCGAAACGTTTCCCGCATTTCTCACATATGAAATGCTCGTAATGATCGTTCATATGTTTGTGCAAACTTAGAAACATTTCGTACGTCTTTCCACATATCTGACAGTTGTGTTCTTCTTTACTTAATTTGTAAGGCAAAACACTGTCTCCATAGGTGCAGTCTATAATTTTGGAATGTTCCACCGTGAGATGGATCTTTAACATCGCGTAATCTTCAATTTCAATATCACACATTTTACAAATGGTTGTTGCGAAGTCCATTTTTAGTGGTTCGTACTTTCTCGGTTTGAGGAGTTGTTTAACTTCTGAATGATGTATATGATTGTGCTCTCTTAACTTCTCAGGCTCGAGAAATGTACTTTTACAAAAGAAGCACAAGTACGTTCCTTTCCTGTACTTGAAAGGATACGCCGTACATGATTCCATGATGATAGCAATATTATTTCTGAAGATAGCCCGTCTCTCGTAGCCGGCTCTCGCGGATGTCATCAAATCCCTGTTATTTTCCGTATCAGATTCCACTTCCTGCTTTATCAAAGTTTCTTTTGGTCTCTCCGTTACAGTTTTTCTTCCTAAAAATAGAAAAAGGTCGGATATAGGTTCTTCACGTTCCATTTATTCCGTCATCCTTTAAATGTTTTGTACTACAGCTATAACATTACGAAATTGTCTAAATACTTTATTTAAGTAAATATAAATTCTTAATAGTAGAATGGAATGTATATTAGGGTAATAAATACCATATTTAGTTTAAAAATAGTGAAATAGTAAACTGCAGGTAAAGCTTATATAGATGACAAGGTATCCGCTATACCTACTAATAGGTAACTACCCACATTCAGTAAATAATCTGCGTAGATTATTTACTGAATGTAGGTTGTCAGTAGAAAGATAGATATCATAAGAGTTTATCTTATTTATGTACATGGAAAGCCAAATAGAAACAATTGTTAATAAAATACTTTATTTCAAAAACTTAATACATTTGATACAATTTAATTTTTTTTAACGGTTCGGCATTCGGATGATGTGTTCTCATATGACTTTGTAAACTACATTTTTGTACATACGCATTATTACAATATTCACAAACGAATCTTTTATCATTATTATGTATCCGCATGTGTTCTCTTAAAGTTTTAGCCCTAGCATACGATTTCTTACACACTTCACATTGAAATTTCCTTTCACCACCGTGTTTAACTAAATGATTTCTCAACTGCGCTGCAGTAACAAACTTGTAAGGGCAAATATCACAAGAGAAAGTTTTATGGCGAATATGAACTTGCTGAATATGTTTAGTCCTTTGATTGCACATAGCGAAAACTGCTGAGCACAAGTTACATGGATACTCGATGTTCTTTCCGTGAGATTCTTTCAAATGCTTGCCCCTATCTCCATAGTTTTTAAAACAATCGTTACAATAGGGGCATCTATATCTGTACTCTTTGCCGTGAGCAGAAACGACGTGGCTATTCCTTAACGCTTTAGTGGCGAACATTTCCGTACATCTAGTGCATTTATATTGTTCTGTCTCGCCTGATTCGTGAATAACAAGATGAGCTTTCAATCTATGAACAGTAGAAAACGCTTTGCCACACAAGAAACATATACTATTAGGATAATGTTTATTCAAATGGGTATTGAGTTTTGTGAAGAGTTCGAAACTTTCATCACAAAGAGTACAATTGTATTCCTTGCCGGATAATAGAAAAGGAGTAGTGCCTAATCCTAGATCTTTATTTATAGATTTATTGTGGATAGATATTAAATGGTCGATAAGAGCATCTAAGTTGTCCATAGGTTTAAGGCATAGTACGCATTGTAGGTTCGTGATTTCAACTTTAAGATTAGCGAATGTACGAGCAAGTCGCATTGCTTCAACTCTATTGGGATGATCGATAACGTGGTCTCGGATACCACTGAAATCTCCAAAGGAGAGGGGACAGTAGGCGCAAGTGAACGCTCCCCTCTTCCATCGAAACGGACAAGCGTTGGAATACTCAAGTATGATTGCTGCGTTATCTCTCTGATCGTTAAACTTGCGCTTCGGCCGCCATTTTACTTTGGGTTCGACGGTCCCTAAAAACAAAAAGAAAATAATCACTATGAAGCGAAGTATATATTTATTTTTCAATGATTAGTTGATTTTAACCTAACCATCAGAAGGTTATCTTACAATATTTGTTGAACCTACATTGTTTTTGCAACAGCTCGAGTTAGTGGTGATGGTAAAGTTGAAGAAGTAGCAAAATTTTTGGGACAACATGTAAATCTCTAAATATGCAATGTTCTTGGAATTGTATAATTCTTGTTTTTTAGCATAGGATATAATAGGGTAATATATCTCCATAGTTTTTAAAACAATCGTTACAATAGGGACATCTATATCTGTACTCTTTGCCGTGAGCAGAAACGACGTGGCTAAACGTTTTTCGATACTTTTTGGGGTCGCTTCAACCACCCGTTTTACAGACACAATTTTCAGACGACTGTATTTTTTTCTGTGTCTAGTACTTTCTTACTTCTCTTTTTCAAATGCACTCTCTGTATATGAGTATACCTTAAATTTGCACAACCAAATACGGCAGGACACAAGTTACACTTATATTCCACTTTTTGACCGTGAACTCTGTCTAGGTGTCTCACTCTAGCATAGTACGAATCAAATCGTTCATTACAAATTGGACATCTATTTCGGTCTTTCCTTCCGTGCGCGATAGAGACATGGCTATTTTTGGCAGCACGCGTTAAGAAAATGGATTCGCATTTTGGACAATGAAATTGCCCGGACTCATGAATTCTTAGGTGGCCTCTAAGTTTGTGGTGGTTAGAAAAACCTTTGCCGCATGTAGGACATACATGATGTTGATAATGGTCGTTCATATGAGCAAATATTATCATAAAACTCTCGCAAAGTAAGTCGCAATGGACACATCTGTACTCTTTACCAGTTAAATTATAAGGTATAACTCCATCAGAATATTCGGGATTCATACTTTTGAAGTGTTTTTCCAATAAATGCTTTTTAAAGTCGTCAAATTTTAAAGTAGTTTGTCCGCATATACTACACGCTAAGTCGGTTATATCAATTCTAAGAGGGAAGTGGTTCCTAACAGAAGGTTTTTCCTCAAAGATCTGCATTTTATCGTTCTCATGAATCTTTGAATGCATTCTTAGCTCTATTATTGTGGTAAATATTTCTGGGCAATAAGCACACATGAATTTGCCTCTTTGAAATCTAAATACAACTGCATTTGAATGGGTTATAATGAGAGCCGCATTCTTTTTATCTTCAACGATTCTTCGTTTTTTCTTCCAAACTACTGTAGTTGGAGGTTTTGTTTTCATATCGTCCTTGCTGGCCCCTAAAAATATAAAAAACTATCTTGTAATTTGCAGGGATTTTTAAACCTTTTAATCCATTATATTTATATTAATCTTTGCAGATTTCCATTTAGCATTCCGCTTTCCAATTAGATTTCTGCATTAGATCAGACCGCTTTCATAAGTAACAACTGTTACAATTCTAAAACATAACATTTGGTGGAACTACCTATTTAAGAATATACTCGAATAGGTGAAAGAAGGGAACTCGTCGAAGATGAAAAATTAAAACGTCCACGTCAATCACGGTTATTTGCTCGAAAATCGAAACGAGACTTTTTGACGAGTCGATTTAAAAAACTTCGACTGAGATACTCGAAAATAAAATACTTATTTTATTACTTTACTTTATGTAGTCTTTTTTTTAATTCTGATTATTTTACAAAATAAAATGCACTGATAATAATGAATAGAAATAAAGTTTTATTTGGATACGACAGTTAAAAGTAGGTTAAAATCCTCTCTCCTCCGTTAAGGGCCTCCAAGATTTGCATTTTGACATATCGAGGCTAATAAAAGCTAGTTTATTTAATTGCCATTTTATATCATGTATATGATATACAGGATGTAGGGACGGGTGTAACGAATACTGAAATACTCGTAGTGTATTCAGACCAACATTCTGAGTCAAAAATCATTGGAATTTTTAGCCGGAACATTCATCACTTTTTTATAATTTTTCGGTTAAAAATGATATCACAATGGGGAAACAGAACATTTTAGCGATTTTTCAATATACCGCATATGGCCAAAAACTGTAATGTAATTACTGGGGGAGGATAAAATATGTAAAGTGTTGCCATCGAAACGATAAGTAAGTAGATGTAACACAGTTTTTAGTTGCTACGCTTGTAAATAATCAACAACCCTAATCTCAAATACTTTTTATTAAACTAATTTATTTAGTCTAGGTGTCTTTATTGGACTTCGAATATTAATTGGCTATCCATGTTACATTACTTTGAAAAGAATTTAACTTTTTTTATATTTCAGATTTGTCATTTTTTTCTTAAAACGACAAACTCTACTTCTAAACGCTGTGACCTGGTCATGATTTTTCTTGATTAAGTACACTACTTACAACTACTAATAAACGTGCCATTTGCCCTTGTGAAATCAAATAAATGAGTCGAGTTTGAATACTTTAATCAAACTTAGATCTATGAGTTTTCATATGACGCAACAATTTTGATTTGGTGTTAAAAATGGAGGAACAATGCGAACAGTAATGTCGTTTCTCAGCATTAGCGTGTGTTAAACGTACATGGCTGGCGCGTTTCGAGCTGGTTTCAAAAGATTTATCACAAGCATTACAGTAATATTCCTTTTTTTGTAGCCCATGTCTTTCTACTAAATGTCTGGCTCTACTGTGGTACGTTGTGAAGACATCCGGACACCTCGGACATGCATAACGCACGCCTTTTCTATGTACCCTCATTCTATGACACATTCTAGCGGCTCTAGTCTCTAGAATCTCATCGCAATCCCCACAAGGAAAATTTCCTTTTTCGTGAGATTGGATGTGTTTCCTGAATCGTGGTTTTGAAACGAAAGCTTTACCACAAGAGTCACAAACGTAATTTTGGTAATGCGTGTTCATGTGTTCGTTCATTTTGGAGAAACTAATGAACTGATCAAAGCAAATTTGGCAAGTATATCCTTCATCATCCAATTTGAACGGTAGTACACCGTCACTGTAATTGACGTTTAAGGTTTTACCATGTATGAGCAAGTGGTCCTTCAAGGAATCAATACCGTTTAAAAGTCTGCTACATAATCTACAACCTAATTCCGCAATATCTACTTTAACCATATTATTTTCTGTTAACTTCGAGAAAATTCTCTTAGTCGGTATTTCGTGCAGGTGGTGAGTCTTAACATGTGATCTTAAAAGCGGTACATCGACGAATTTAACATCACAGTAGGCACAATAAAACGCGCTATGGAACCATCTGAAAGCCCAAGCGGTTGAAAATTCCAGAAGGATCAGAGCATTTCTCCGCATCATAGTCTTAGAAATTCTTTTCTCTGATTCTTCAGGGAGCTCGTTGTTAGCTCTTCGGCGCCTGCGCAGCTGACGTGCACTAACATTCTCCTTTAACTTCCTAACGCGTTTAACGCCTATCCCCTCCGATACATTAGCGGAACCTAAAAACAGAAAAACTACTTTATTGTATTATTGCCGATGTACCAGAATCCCTCAAATAAATAAACATGCGCGTAAGTATTTTAAATAAAAACCGGCAATATGGGAATATATAGATATTAATGTAAGGTTAAATGAATGTAATTTTTAATAGGTGCTTTGTGTAATAGGGCCCTGTGAACCAGAGGTACAGAAAGGATCATAGCATTCTTGATCTCACCTTCATCATAGATCTCGGTCTTACGAAAGTTATTTTTGAGCTTCATTCCACTATATGTGATATAACCCGGGTGAATGAAATAGATTTTTTGGTTTCCTCATTTCGTCGCATGGGATCCTAGAGAAAACTTGGGAGACCCGCAAAATTTTACAACCCCGACAACGTGTTTTAGCTTTTTTCTTTAGCTTTATATGTATTTAATTTCGTTAGATGATAGAGGTTCCTTGACGTTTAGGCAATAGAAAATAATTCTTTCAAAATCTAATCATGTATTGACCTTGTTTATTCTTTCAATATATTTGTTTGTTGCCGATTGGGGGTAACAGATAAATGTGCACAAGAGAGTAATAAATGAGATTACAAAACATTTAGACAAAAAAAAGTTTCCTACGCAATTATTATCATGTTTGTTACCTCAAAACTCTTTCAGTTAGAAACCGATTAGGAAAATTATTTTTTTATTTTAAACTTATTTTTTTACTCTCGAGGTGGTCCATTACCGCCAAATCAGGATTTGATGATGGGATCCTAGAAAAATCGAGGGAAACACTCAAATTCTGCATTCCCGACAACGTGTTTTAGCTTATTTCTCTAGCTTTATAGGTATTTGCGTTTAGTAGTCCCACTCTAACCAAATGGAAAATTAAGTAATGTGGAAAACAATATATTTTCGGGTTCAAATGTATCATCTTACTACCTTATCTAAATAAAGTAACGGACCTATTAAACTATTTTAATATAATCTAACATAGTACAGTTTGGTACTATACAGAGTACGGTATTTAGTGTTTTAAATATTGTAGATACTCATCTACATATCATATCATCATACAAACATATCTTACACTTAAAATTAAAAAAATAATTACAAATCTAAGTAAAAAAACTATAAAAAGTACCTTCAATATAACAGGTAACATTATAATAGCAATAGTCTCTTCTGGTCTGTTTGAAGTTTTTTTTCTTAGATTTGTAATATTTTTTTTATTTTTAGTGCTTTTTGTCAGTATTGTTTGAAGTCGGTTCAACTTTTTTTTTAAAAGGATTTATTTTTTGGAGTTTATATTTAGAACAAGGCAAAGCTATTTATGCATTTAAGCAGTTACTAATAAATACAAAATATTTTGTAACAAATTACGTCCTCAATCAGATACTACAGATACAGATACAAGTGTTGATATTCTTTTAATTGTTTTTAGAAGACATACACACAGGCACATACTGAGAAAACGTCGTTTTACCCATAATAATTTCAAGCAAAATGTAATATGAATAAATAACATTTAAAAAATATTTGGAATGTACATGTATACATGGATGGTTGGCGCTACTTGGAAAAGCCTTCGTTCAGCAATGCGGCAGTAGACTAATGATGCTGACGACATGTCTATGAACTGGACTAGCCTGTTGATCTAGTGATGAGCAACCACTGACTACTAAACCAGAAGACGTGGGTTCAATCCCTATACAGGCAAAAGAATTGTGTGATAAGCATGATAGTAGGTATTTAGAATTATATGTGTGATTATTTACAAATATATCTTCATCTCCATTACATACATTATCACATCACATCAACAGCTTTTAATAGAGCACTGCTGGACATAGGTCTCTCCCTAGAAAGGAGGTTTTGGCCTAATATACCACGCTAGCCAGACGGGTTTGTGTCAAGCTTTCCTTTTCTTTGCAAGGCTATTGTCCTGCATAGTTTGCTCCCTTAATCGGCTCTTAGGACACCCACGGGAACACATTACATATGGACAATACATTTTATACTAAAGATTTATTTTATTTATCTAATCCATTCTAAAAGAAATGGTTCACGAACAAAAAAATAAAACATGTTATGTATGATAAATGTTTATTAAAAAATAATACTGGCAAGACCATCTTACATTATCATCTTAATATCGTCACTCGGGACTAATTCAGTCAAATCCGGATGACTCCTCAACTGAGGCACCCTGTGGACCCTTTGTTTATAAACAGACCCTTTCCATTTGCAATTCACATCCTGGTGAGTCTTCAAGTGGGTAGTCAACGCCCTACTTCTTGGAAAGGATTTGCCGCATATTGAGCAGTGGAAGTTCTTTTCTCCTGTATGACGCACCATGTGTCTCTTCAATTCATAATTAGTTTTGAACTGCCATTCACAAAAGTTACAACTAAAATCCAATTTCGGTGGAAAATGTACTGATCGGACGTGTATCGCTCGCTTTCCGCTAGTCTTGAACGACAAATCGCAATGTGAACATTTGTAAGAGACTTCTTGCTCGCTATGTGCATTCTTCATATGCTTCATTCTATCGTAATAGCCATCAAAACGCATATTACAATGCGGGCATTCATATCGGGGTTCTTTAGCATGCACAGTGGCTTTGTGAGAGTCTCTCGATGCTCGCATGATGAAGATCCTGCCACATTCATTACAAGGAAAAGATCCAGATATATGGACTTCCGAGTGCTTCCTTAATCTAGTTGCCGTCATATATCCTTTGCCACATATGGCACAAATATAATGTTGGTAGTGAACATTCATGTGTTCATAGAGTTTTAGAAAATTATTGAATTTTTCCGCACAAATGACACACCTCCACGATTGCTTGTCTAAAGAGAAAGGTAGAACGCCATCTGGATGGTTTAAGTCTATGTCAAAACCGTGTTCGATGGCGTGCTTTCTCATTTCAGCCACTTCTGTAACTGGCATTGAGCAATAAGAGCATATTGCTTCCGTAATATCTACATTAATCAAGGGCATTTCCTTGAATTTGCCGTAAATGTCTTTGACTGTATATTGTGTCGAACATATTCTAACGTGGTCTCTAAGTTCAGAGCATTCAGTGAAATTATCTTCACAGTAAGCACATTTAAACCTGTTCTTCTTCCATCTAAAGGGGCAAAGGGACCAGCACTCTAGTATAGCGGTGGCATTTTTCTTGGTGATAATTCTGGCCTCAGCTCTAGCGCTTCTCGTATATTTCGGCTTGGACAACTTTTCTAGTTGATTACCTTCTAATTTAAGAACTGCTTTGGTGCTGGGTCCGTGTTGCCCTAAAAATAGAAAATTTCCTTGTCAAATTTCTTGGTTTACTTCGTTCGACGGTATGACGAGATTCTTTTCTCATTGTACATAAAAAGAACCAGTTAACCAGTTTTTAGATTGAATCCAACTAACGATGCAGAATAATTTTATTGAGCATGTTGATATCTACATATTTTTAAATTACTGAAGAGACAGCAGTGCACTTGGTAGGTTCGTACAGAGTTAATGAAAATCTTCATAAGCTATAATCTCTTTATTGGCCATATATATACATATTTAAGTACTTATACGTTATATAATAGTAAAACATCATAATAAATTATGAACATACATCTACGTAACGCGAATACGATCAAACGTAACATGGTGAAAATGGATGACGAATGCAATTATTACTAATGTATATTATGTTTTTTACATGATTGACTAAGTTCTCTTCATTCCTTATCACCGGCACGAAGGCATGTAAGATTGTTTTGCCACACACGAACGTGGAAGTCTCGATGATCTTGACTGAATGAAAATGTAATTTTCTACAAGAGAAGTGTAGTAGTACATTGATTCGTTTTAAAGGTCTATGGCTTGAAATCTAACAATATCTTATCAAGAACTCTCTAGACTCTATACGAGTATACGACAGATTTCTCCTAGAATTAAAAATACTTGACGCGAACAGTTCCTTTAAGCTATAAAAGACCGGAGTACACAAGGTTGTTAGCATGTAGATTCATTATCCAACTTTAGCTATTAAACCAGAAATTTATTCCTGTAGGCAGTAACCTTATTGTGTAAATTGATGATTTTGGAACACCTTATAACAAAGATGTTTGGCACAAAACATGTTTCGACCAGATTATATTGTCCGTGGTCATAAGTAGGATCCACCTCTGTATATTTTTAATCCAAAGTTATCGTATTGTTTCCAACTAGAGGTAGCTTAGCATGTACTTAATACAAAGGCAAACTATTAATAATAATAATACAAAGGCATTATAATTCATTGATAACCGTAGACAGGCTGCAATTATATTCGTAAAAATTGTTGTGGTGGACGGAGTTCTAAATATATGAAAAAGCTACCTTCGAATGTATCTTTTTATTATTATTGTCTGATATGGAGCGTCTGCATTCATTTTCGCCATGTGGCTCGTATTATAGCTGATCTCTTTTAAAATATATTAATGTAAAATGTTGAAGCGATTGCCTTGTTCGTTGCGTTATTTCCTAAAACATGTTTATTTTTGTGTCAAATATCGTATGATGACCACGTTCATTTGTTCTGTGTCTGGATGTATTTTATTTATAATATGTATGAGTCTGGTTTTCATAGTATAGGCTTTGCCTATTTTGGGATGAGCCGACCGCGTGTGAGGTTATTTATATTTTCAAGTTTATTTTCCAGTCTCACATTTAGAAAAATATCATGGTATATTGTACCTAATGTAAAGTTTCTGTCTTCCCTAAGCATACTGTTTGCTGTGTTAGACGACGTTGTAGTCATATTTTACGTTAAATAATTATAAGCTAGCAATTTTTCATACAAATCTTATCTATTCGATCCTATGAAAATCCGTGATGTTTATAAACGTAAAGGGATCCATAAATTACATCACACCGTGAAGCACCAATATAAAAAAAAACTAGCTAGTTTAAGCCGAAGAAAAAACTAACGCTTTCACTATTCATATCATCTGCGCAATATGATACGATACGGAAATATGACCAAACCCTTGTGTAGCACCGTACACGTTACAATTAATATACAATTTCATAACAAAGAACAAACCATGCGTTAGAATTGAAATAAAAACCCATTTGAACTAAAATTATTCAAAATGTGGGTAAACACACATTTTATTTGTTTCTTGAAAACATGAGATCAATTCCTTCTTCTGCGATCTAGTCATACTAATTAATTAATTGTAGACTACTTCTGTATTCTTTTCAAGACGTATTTAGGGGCCCTCTCGTCTCGTGCTAAAATGAATATACCTATATATATTTATATACAACTTGTAATCTTAATATTAAGATATTAAATATAGTCAATATCTGAATTCGTTCTAAGTAATGCGATTAATTCAATACTATATTATTTTAGCTTACTACAAGTTATTCAAATCGGCTAAGACAAGGAGGTATTATATATTTTCCTAACTACCTTTCCCAACTAACTGGGAGGCCTTAATTCATAAACTGCATTGCCAAAATTTAAAGGAACCTTAAATTAGATTTAGGAACATTGGCTTCTGCGATACGTTGCTGTCTTAACATCGCCGAGCTATACACATACGCCGAGCTATACACATACATGCATTTCGCATGCAGCCATTTAAAGTGTAAGTTTTATCCAGACTATTCAGTCGAGTTCGATAAAATCATACATGGAAGTGTTTTTTCGCGATATGTTTATCCAAAGACAATTTCGAAGCGAAAGCTCGGGAACAACTGCCACATGGGTAACTGTACTCTGTCTCTTTCTTTGTTCGATGAGCTTTTACATTATGATGATATTTCTGAGATCGAGTCTTGAACGTCATATGGCAAGTCGTACATTCATACATTTCGGCACCTGGTTTATAATTATGAAATTCCATCAAGTGTCTTTTACGAAGTTCCCAAGTAGCGAAGCGGGGTTTTTCTTTACAATACATACACATATACGGCAAAGTTGTATGCTGAGTTTTGATATGAATGTTGCGCTCTTCTAAAGTGGTAAAAGTAGCAATACATCGGCTACAGTTATATTTATTGTCATGTGGTATCTTTGTGTGGGCCTTAAGTGCTGACTCCGTGATAAAACCTTCACCACAAGTGTCACAAACGTAATTTTGATAATGTTCTGAAGTATGCTTCTTTAGAGATATAAAGTCCGAAAATTGTATCTTGCAGATTGCACATTTCCAACTAGTACCGTCATTTAGCTTGAAGGGTAACACGCCAGGTTGTACGTCAGCGTTGATAGGCTGCTTATGATCGTTCTTTAGATGTATAATAAGATCGTCTAGAGTATCAATGTGCATAAAACAGAGTTTACATTGGAGATCTGTTATATCAACCTTTAAGAACTCTTTTCGAATCTTTCTACTAAACACTAATTGAATATCGAAATTCGCGTGTCTGGACGCCATATGGGCTCGCAGACCTACAGGATCATTAGATTGAACTCTACAAAAGACACAGTTGAAATTTTGTCCCCATGTCCGAAAAGGACATGCTGTCGAACATTCCAGAATAATCTCTGTATTGCTTTTATATTTCATAGCTTTTCCAAAACGTGGGTTATAAGAAGACTTGTAGCACCGGAAATTTCTTTCGTGTTGTCTCAAACCATGATCAGATAAAAACGTAGCACCACATTTTTCACATGTAAAAATCTTCATATGAGTTCGCAAATGGCCGTTAATTTGCGAGAACTTTGGGAATGTTTTATCACACTCTAGGCACATCCATCTTCCTGAGGCACCTTGCCTGTATGGAAACACGCCAAATGGTACTTCAAAATTAACATGTATAGAGTGCTCGCGTGATATGTGAGTCATAAAACTGTCTACGGTTTGAAACTCCTGAGAACACATGTTACATTTAAGATCAGAAATGTCAACTTTTAGCGCGTCCGTGACTTTATAGAAAGCACTGTTGAAATCTGCATTTGAATGGTCGGATTTCATATGTTCCCTTAAAATATTCATCGTTTCAAACTCGTCATGACAATAAGAGCATACGATTCTATTAAAACGTGTCTTAAATGGGAATGCAGTGGAATGCTTTAATACGAGAACAGCGTTTTGCCTTTGCGGGTTCTGGACAACGGATCGTTCAAACAGTCTTTGTTTTGGTTTAATTTCGTTCTCATTAAGTCCAATATCCTTTGTGGATCCTAAAAAAAGAAAAGAAGTTTCATCAGTATTATATTCTAGTACATCTTCTTGTGCTTTTCTATGAGGAAAGACAATTTCTGAATTACTGGAGACTTTCATTATAGCAAACAAAAGTATTAAAAGAAAAATTGAGATATATTAATATTTTGAAGGAAACACGACATATAATCATACGTTATTGTGAAATATTAAATAATACTAACATATTTAAACGACTTAATATCTTCACACATCAATGTGCTTTTTAGCAACGTGCTTGTCCAAGAATAATTTGGTTGTAAAAGCTTTTGGACAACTTGGACAAGGGTAATTGAGTTCTGAATCTTTCTTAATTCTATGTACTCTCGCCATGTGATTGTATTTTCCAGATCTCGTCTTGAAAGACTTCTGACATGTCGTACATTCGTATTTATCAGCTCCAGTTTTGTAATTATGAACTGCCATCAAATGCTTTTTCCGAACCTCCCAGTTCGCGAAGCGCGGTTTCTCTTTGCAATACACACACATGTAAGGCATAGAGGTATGTTGTGTTTTTACATGTAAATTTCTTTCATCCAGCGAAGAAAACGTAGCTATACAACGACTGCAGTTATACTTGTTTTCGTGAGGTATTTTCGTATGAGCTATCATTGCAGATTCCGTAATAAAACCTTCACCGCATGTGTCACAAACGTAATTTTGAAAATGTTCTGAAGTATGCTTCTTTAGGGACACAAAGTCTTTGAATTCGTTTGGGCATATTGTGCACTTCCATATTGATCCGTCATTCAATCGAAATGGCAGGACACCTAACTGTGCATCATCATTTATGGGTTGTTGGTGATCGTTCTTTAGATGGTAAATAAGATTTTCAAAAGTATCTATTGGCATAAAACAGAGTTTGCATTGAAGATCAGTAATATCAATATTTAAAAAATCTTTTCCTAGTTTTTTATAAAACGCTGCTTTAACATCATAATTAGCGTGAGCTGTAACCACATGTAGCCTTAAACTGCTGGGATCATTACTTTGTACCCTACAAAATACGCAGTTGAAATTACTTTTCCAAGTTCTGAACGGGGAAGCCGTAGAACATTGGAGAATTATTTCTGCATTTGTTCTGGGCTTCAAGACCCTCCCGTTTCGAGCCTTGTAAGCAGCCCTGAAGCATTTAACCTGGCGATGATGATCTCTTAACGCGTGGTCTGACACAAACATCGTTCCGCATTTGTCACATGTATAATTCATAAAATGTGTAACAATATGTCGTTTAAAACTAATAAACGCATTTAATATCTTATTACAGTATATGCAAATCCACTGGTTTTCAGAACTTTGTTTGTAAGGCAGAACGCCATAACGAGCATTGAATTTGACAGGCTTGTTATGTACGCTATATAAATGACTCATTAGACCGTCGATATCTTGGATCTCCTGAGTGCAAATAGTACATTTTAAATTGGTTATATCAATCTTAATGAGATTATCTTTAGCTCTGTAAAATACATTTTTAAAGTCAGAGTTAATATGCTCGACTTTCATGTGGTATCTCAAATCTGAGAGAGTGCTATATTCTTCGTGGCAATATGAGCAGAGTATTTGACTAAATCTAGTTTTAAAGGGGTACGCGGTAGAATAAGTTAGTATAAGTTCAGCGTTTCGCCGCTGTGGCGGCTGGTATACAAGTACAATTTTCTTTTTTGGTTCATTCGCACTGTTTCTACGTCCGTGAATTTCCAATGCGGTCCCTAAAAACAAAAAAGAAAATTGTCAGTGTTATACCGAAGCTCATTTTTTATTAAGAAATTGTTAAACAATAAACTAACGCGATCTAATAAAAACTAAGCTATAGGAATACGCAATAGCTTTTTGTTTAAAAAGAAGACGACTATAACATTCAGTAAAACACATAGATAATCGTGCAAGATTTTATTGATACCACAATTTAACAAGAGATGTTTAAATGTGTACGGAAATTTTAGGGTGAAAGGCTTTCATATGGTTTTTGAAACCGAGTTTCTGGGCGAAATGTTTATCACATAACATACATATAAATCTTTTAGTTTCGCTATGAGTCCACATATGTTGGTCTAGATTCTTTTTGTATCTAAACTTTTTGCCACACACTGAACATTTGAACTTTTTATCTGCAGTATGCATAATCATATGAAGCTCAAATTTCATTTTGGATACAAATTGTAAACCACACGAAGAGCAGATGAATCCGCCATCAGAGTGAACAATATGGTAATGTTGAAAAAAACGCTTTCTGGATTGAAAGTTTCTATCACACTCGGTACACTTGTAGCTCGTTTTCGGATAATCATGTTTTTCAACTAAGTGCTTTTGTTTCAACTCCCAAGACTGAAATCTCTCGCCACAATAAATGCAAACAAAAGCCCAACAATTTTTCGACACGCTTAAGTGTTCCTTTTTCGCCTCTGCAGTAGGGAAATCTTTCCAGCATTTACGACATACGAAATTCCCAGAATGACTGCATCTCATGTGATGTTTTAAAGCCTCATTTGTAATATAACTCTTACCACAAACTTCGCATGTATACTCTTGATAATGCGATGACATATGGCGACAGAGTTTTGTTACAGTTGGAAATTTGAACTCGCACAAGAAGCAAATCCAGTTATCCTTTACTAACTTGTACGGTTGCATGCCTATGTCATAGTCAAGACATAGCTGTCGAGTATCTTTACAATCATGTTTTGCAATGAGATGTCGAGCGACTTCTTCTAAGTTCAGGAAAGATTTGAAACACAGCCTACATTTTAGATCGGTACAGTCAACCTTAAGGTAATCTTTGCCGCTGCTGGTATGGCCGAATGCTCTTGAGACTTTGAACTTTTGGTGATTACAATTAATATGTCTCCTTAAGTGGATAGGATCTTCGTAGCCCTCGCTGCAGTAGGCGCATAGGAAAACATTACCTCGGTACCTGAACGGATAAGCTGTAGAGTATTGCAACACTATCGATGCGTTCCGTTTCGCCATTAAATGTGGGTCCAATTCTAGAAACAAAAAGAAAGAAACCCTTTGTATCGTCAGTTTATTTGAGATTGCTCATTTGAAGAAGTCTGAATTAGGTAGTTTTTAAACTACTCCAACAAAAAACAACAATATCAATTCTTAAATTTTATTACAATAATTATTCACGCACATAATTTTATGCATGTACATGTCCCATGACCTTTTCCTAGCGATGTGTCGGAGGTATATAGAAACAAAAAAATTGCAAATGCCATACATAAATGACACGAAATTGATGAGGAAGGGAAGCTAATCCAAACTTAGAGATTACAGACAGGCGTAATAAAAGATTTCTAAAGAAAGTCAATTAAAGACAAGACATAAAAGAAAAAGAAAGGACACGAAAAAGCAGAAAAAAAGAAAGAATACAACTCTCGAACACTGCTACTGCTTAATATGAGATTAAAAGACGGCTTGACTTTATTCCATAATTTGAGAATGGTGTACTTTCATATGAGATCTGTAGCTGACTTTCTGGTTGAATTGTTTATTGCACGGTTTGCATTCGAAACGTTTGATGTCACTATGAATCCACATGTGTTGAGAAAGACTCTTATTGCGAGTAAAAGCCTTCGAACACACTAAGCACTTAAACTGTTTCTCGCCAGTATGTCCTAGCCTATGATCCTCTAGCTGATTTTTAGCCCCAAACTTCAACCCACAACAAGAACAAATAAATCCTTCATCAGTATGCGCCATTTTGTAATGGTTATAAAATTGTTTTCTAGTTTGAAATGTCTTATCACATTCGGGACAAGGATAACTCGTTTCTGGGCAGTCGTGTTTTTCAACTAGGTGTTTCTGTTTTTGCTCCCAAGATTGAAATCTATCACCGCAGTTAACACATCCAAAAGCCCAACAACTCTTGGATATTCTAACATGTTCTCTTTTTTCTTCTAAGGTGGGGAAATTTTTCCAGCATCTTCGGCATACATAATTTCCTGAATGACTGCATTTAATATGATATTTTAAGGCGTCATTAGTCATGTAGCTTCGTCCACAAATATCGCACGTATACTGCTGATAATGAGATGTGGTATGACGGCAAAGTTTCGTTATGGTAGGTAGTTTTTTATTGCAATGGAAACAAAACCATTTGTCCTTCTCTAGCTTATATGGTTGCAAGCCTATATCATAGTCAAGACACAATTGCCGAGTTTCCTTACGGTCGTGTTCTTTTGCGAGATGTTCGGCCACATGTTCGATGCTAGTGAAGGATCCAGCACACAACCTACACTTTAAGTTGGTACAGTCAACTTTTAGATAGTCTTTTGCACTGCCGATGTGTGCAAATGCAGTAGATACTGTAAATTGTTCGTGATTATCATCCACGTGTCTCCTAAAATCATCGGGATCCTCGTATTCCTCACAGCAGTAGACGCATAGCATAGCCTTTCCTCGCAATCTGAACGGATACACAGTTGAATATTGTAACACGATCTCCGCGTTCCGTTTCGCCGTTAAATGTGGTTCCAACTCTAGAAACAAAAAGAAAAAATCCTTTTGACTTGACGTCGGTTTATTCTTCTCAAATGTGAAGTGTTAATGCATCCTTCTGAATTAGGCCGGTGACATAGGTATATAATGTCACTGGCCATAGGCTGGATTGCCAATGGATAGAAAGATAAGTTAGATATCATTACGCATGTTGCGTTAAATTTATTGCAAGTCCTATGAATTGGTAGTTATTGGTACGTTTTAAAAGTGCGAAATTAAATGATTATAAAAATACAGTAGTCCATTCTTCGGCACATATCGTCAGCTCGACCGGAATATCATGACCTCACAGTAAATGGTGTTAAGCATTATTTTCTTTGCATTTCAACGAGGGATTGAAATTATCTGTGGCCCAACGTTGATTCTGGGAGTGGCAATCAAAGGCGGGCAGCACATTTGTTACTCAGTGGCGGAATTCCTTTGGCTTATGTAGTCACTTACCATTAATATGCTCGTTATGCGTCCTGTCTGCTCGTTTACCACCTTAATCATAAAAATAATGTTGCCAGTCATCAAAATAATAAAATTTTGGACACAACTTCACATCAACTCTCTTCAGTCATGGCCATAAACCGTCTCGACATCCAATTCTAAACTGGCAGATATATCAAAAACTAAAAAGTATTACAACCTATTCTCAAGAATTCAAAAAAATTATAAAGAAAAATATCGATATCCTTCATCAATTTAAAAAAAAAAGAAAATTATTAATATGTTTATTGTCCGTGTGGTGACGGATTAAGAATACAAAGTGTCAGCACACCTATTCACCGTGGGTGTCGTAAGAGCCGACTAAGGGAGCAAACAACGCAAAGAGAAGGAAACTTGAGACAAACCCTATACCAACCCGTCTGACCGGTGTGGTATAGTAGGCCAAAACCTCCTTTCTAAGAAGAGGACTTTCTAAGCAGTTGACTAGTAAAGGTTGTAATATGTTAATTCAGCATGTTTCTACATACGTCACTTATCATTAGAATAAATCCTTCTATTGAAATAAACCCTAGCTATACACGTTCCATAACAAAGATGTGATCACCAGAGAGACAGATCTTTTATTTGTGTTTACGACAGTTTAGATGGTGTAAAAAAGAAAAAAGAAAAACAAATAAAAATAAACCCTATCTGCGTTGCCAAAAAGGAATATTTAATGACAGTAAACGTGTATTCCACACGGCTAAATAGTAAAGTGTGTGATCATCGTCATCAGACCATCGCAGTCCACTGCTGGACATAGGCTCCTCCTCACTTAAAGCGATTTTGTAAAGAGTTTGAAATGTAATGATATTACGAAATGAACGAAATTAAATGTTATAATATTAAATGTTCTAATAATATTAACATAGTCAATGTTTTGAGTATTTAATGAAAACACACAATCAAATCAACTTTTATTAAAAATAGATTTTTCAAGTGCACACGGAAATAACAAGTAGTAACACACCATAAAAAAATAACTAACATTGTCCTTATATATACCTTTGCAAAATGTACAAAGGTAAGAATTTCTCAAGATTAATTCATAGACACTGTCATTGTATTTTTATAAACATATAATTACATTGACATGTCACTTAGAGTACAAAATATTTATAAATTGTCACTCAATCTTTTCAACCCCCCCCCCTCCCCCCCTCCGAACAAGGCACTTCATTCAAACTTAGGTTAACTTAATCTAATCAATGTGTACCGGTTATTGGTCCCCTAACTTCATTAAACGTTTGAATTTAAGCAAACTTAACACTCACAATCATCACTGACGCTCGCTAATAAACCAAAATAACGGTAATAAAGCAAAATCTCAAATTTGAACAGATCCATGTAGTATAATTTAAACCGTTGCATATTCAAAAACCAAAGTTATTCTAATACACATTTTTCTTAAATTAAAACTGAGAACATCAAACAAAGCATCAATCACCAGTATATTTTAGTCAATAATGAGAGAATGATGTACTTGCATATGCGACTTGTAAGTTACTTTCTGATTAAACTGTTTATTACAAAGCATGCATTCGAAGGGCTTTACATCACTATGAATCCACATATGCTGGGTTAGCGTAAACTTCTTTGGAAAAGACTTTCCGCAAAAGAGACATTTGTGGCCTTCAACCCCATTATGAATAGCTCTATGGTCTTTTAATTCGAGTTGTGTGGCAAATTTCTTTTTACAGAACAAACAGACAAATGCCTCATCAGTGTGCATTTTTCGATAATGGTTGTTAAAACGTTTCCTACTTACAAATACGCTGTCGCATTCTGAGCATGGGTATTTGATTTCTGGACAATCATGTTTCTCAACTAAATGTTTATTTTTTATCTCCCACGACTGAAATCTTTCTCCGCAGTATATACAACCGAAGTTCCAGCACTTTCTGGATGTCTTCAGATGCTTTACCCTCTCTTCGGCTGTGTCAAATTCTGTCCAGCATTTTCGGCACAAGAATTTTTCAGCGTGATTACACTTTATGTGGTATCTTAAGCCTTCTAGAGTCATGTAAGTTTTCCCACAGATATCACACGTATACTTCTGATAATGAGTAGTTACCGTGTGACGACAAAGTTTTGTTATATTTGGTAGCTTGACATCGCAGAGCAGACAGAACCATTTACCTTTTTCTAGTTTGTAACACTGTAGCGCTACGTCGTAATTAAGGTTTATCTTAAGAGTGTGTTCTTTGACAAGATGTTCAGCTGTGTCTTTAACGTTTGAGAATGGTTCCCCACAAATCCTGCATTCTAAGTTGGCACAGTCTACCTTGAGGTAGTCTTTTCCCTTAGCTAAGTGAGCAAAGGCTGCAGCAACGCTAAATTTTTCGTGATTACAATCAACGTGTCTTCTAAAATGTGTGGGATCTTCGTATCCCTCGTTGCAATAGACGCATAGTAAAGCTTGCCCCCGTAATCTGAATGGATACACTGTCGAGTATTTCAAGACTATCTCCGCGTTCCGTTTCGCCATTATATGTGGATCCAATTCTAGAAACAAAAAGAAAAATCCCTTTGACTCACTGTTTAACCTCGCTCATATTTAAACTTTTAGTCTCATTTCAATATTTTTCAAAGTAGTGATGGATAATTAAGACATTAAGTATTTTTTTGACGAAATAGGCAATTTTTAAACTTGTTTCTAAAGAGGCATTTAATTTACTTTCTATGTATATGCTTGTCATTTAGTTTGCTTTTCGTCAAATTAACAAAAAGTATACAATTTAAAAGATTTTATTTTTATATGAATTATATAACAAGTCAAAATATATACTAATAAACAAGTCGTAGACATTGCCAATTTATTTTAGGTATGTTATAAATGTTTTCGTTTCAGGATCACGATCAAATTCACTTGGCATTCTTCAGATTTTTTCCTTTAATCTGTTAAACAGGGTTGATGATGTACTTTCATTTGCGATTCATAACTAACTCTCTGATTAAATTGTTTATTGCAAGGTTTACACTCCAAACGCTTAATCTCACTAGTATCTACATGTGTAATATACGCACATAATACTTGCATCCGGCAGTCGGAAAGGGTAAACCGTTGCATTTGTGATCAGAACCTCCGCATTGTGACGAGAGATAGAGAGCGGAGGTATCACGTCTAGAACAGACACATGACCTCAGGTCAATTTGTTTTAGGTACTTTAAAGTTTCGTTCACATCTCCAAATAAAGCGCCGGTTTGTTTATTCGTAATTACCGTTAATTGCCAAGTATAATTTGCGAAAAACCTAACACATTTTGGTTATTCACTATTACGTCAAATTATCCGTCAAACGTCATTGTGATTTGAGGTTGTGTTATGTAGCTTGGGCAGTTATGTGTCTTAAAATATAATAGAAGAAGACTACGAATTAAATAAATCTATAAATTCAGTTTGATGCACCTAGTAAAAAAGTATATGTACATTACGAGGCAAAATCAAAGGCAAAAATTAATAGTGATTGTTTATTAAAACACTAAGTATAGCTAGTTTATATAACATACTGTAAAACCGAATAACGAAAATATTTATAAAATATACTATCCATAAAATATAGCAAACTACAACAATTAATGTAATATATAAATTAACCACTCCAGGAGCAGATTTTTATTTAAATGGTACATATAGATGCTAATAAGAACTCCACAAAAAGTATTATCATTATTAATAAATAGTATTGTGATTTTCTAGTTTATTAAGAAAACAATTCCATCCCTACACGTAAAATATAGCTCCTGATTATTGTGTGGTGGCATTAGTTCGGTTAGATGAAAATTAATTTCCACCTTTTTAAGTCTAATAATACACAGGGTTAATTTCGATTTGAGTTGATCCTTGCAACAGTGTAACTGCCTATTCCAAAGAGCTTAACTGATAAATTAATTAGATTGGTAAAACCAAGCATAGTCGAAGTATCTAAGAGTAGGGATTTCAAAATTTTTCAAATGCTTGCTTCCTTAGTCTTCTTAGCACACAACTTTAAATTAAAAATACAGAAACTTTAAAGATTATTGGCCGATTTCGATTTTAAAATGATTAAAGAGGTCAGACTGCTTGGCAATGGCCAGGTTGAGAACTGGTTTACTATCCTGACGACTATCCTGTTCAAGCCATTGCTTACGCTCCACAATCCAAACCTCCAATCCAGACCTCCTTAGCAATCCTTCTATTATCTTCTTTTCCTTGTATATACACTCTTTATTTACCTAACGTATCCGATCGGTGGCCAGCGGAAAAGATTTACTTACAGACATAAATATCGTTTATCACTTATCATAAAACATGGGTGTTTAAAGAACTGAGACGTGAGTATGTTTGGAAAGATGATGATTTCCAAAAACAGCTGTAGCTCAATGGCTAGGATCTGAGGTTGCGATAGAGGCTTTCGTATCCTACTAAAGATACAAAATAGTAACAATATTTTAACAAACAAACATTCAGCTTAAAGAGAGAAAAATATGTAGGCAAACTGGATGAGATAAACATATTCTGGTACTTTTCTTTTTTAAATGAAAATCGATAAACCCAAGCCAAGGCATTGTATCTCAAGATCGGTTGTAGATCGGCACAGGCAAATAATAGATTTTCAACATTATATTATAGTTTTTTGCTAAATATTTGACAAAACAGAGATTGTTGCTTTTGTGTGTGTGTTGATCTATGTCAATCTAAAAAGATGATTTAAACAATTTTAATTTTGAGAATAAAGATATATAAAAAACGATATTTTGATTTTGAGTTTAAAAATAATCTTTTCAAACATTTTTTAGTAACTCAACATACGGACATAACATACGTATTGTATTTCTACACGAGATTTTGATATGAGATTTTGACCATCTGAACACTTTGATGGTCGGTTTATGACACACTCGGTATAATAACAAAACTAACTACTGCACAGGTTAGGTCATTCCAAGCTAACGGATATTTTTTTCATCGGCATTCTAACTAAAAATCGCACAGATCTGAATGATACGACTTCATATGAGTCTTCCAACTGACTTTTTGATTAAACTGCTTATCACACATCTTGCATTCATACAGTTTCACCTCACTGTGTATCCACATATGCTGTCTCAGTGTGTACTTTCGTGGAAATGACTTAGAGCACACATCGCAGAAGAATAATCTCTCATTCGAATGGACAACCATATGCCTGTCTAAATAGTACTTAGAGTCAAATTTACGCTCGCAACTTGGACAGTCGAAGTGCTCATGCGTATGTACGATCTTAAAATGTGCTCTGAACTTATTAGGTTTTTTAAAAACCAACCCGCATTCAGGACAAGGATATACCTTTTTAGGCACACCATGAGTGTTTTCCATGTGACTTATCTTTAATTTCCAATTGCTAAATCGTTCGCCGCACACTGAACAAAGGTGTTGACGACAGTTTACTGACATTTCGAAGTGTTTCTTCTGGTCATCGGACGAGTATAATGGAATCTTACACTTTCTACATCTTTTTTGTTTTGGTACTAAGGGACAAGCAAATTCTAAATGCTTTTGAAGAGATGCAGAAGTCGCGAAAGATTTACCACATAGCTCGCACGTGCACTGAAAGAAATGTTCCTGTATGTGCCTACTAAGACTTCGAATATTAGAACAATTCGTTCTACAAATTGCGCAAGACAACTTATCTTTTTCCATCCAAAAGGGTTGTATTCCAACACTAAATTCTAAGTCTATTCTCTGGTTGTGAATTTCGTTTAAGTGCCTAGCCGCCTCGTTTACGATATCGAAGGTTTGGGAGCAAATTCTGCAGCGAATACTAGTGCAGTCTGCTTTTATAAAGCCTTCGTGCAAGTGAGCGTACGCCACCTTGACATTGACATTCTTATGGTCGGAATCCATGTGATTCCTGAAGAGTGGACCGTCGACAAAACTTTCGCAGCAGTACACGCATACGATGGAACTCTCTGGGAGTCTAAACGGATAAGCAGTGGTATATTGTATAACAGTCTGGGCGTTCCTTTTTGCGATGTGCATCGGATTTAGTTCTAGAACAAAAGAGAAATTTGTGTCACTTCTTGTTCTTTAAACTTCTATTCCTATGCATCATGACAAAATTGGCTTAACAACTTCAGTCACAATACTATCTATTGTCAAAAATAAATAACAGAAGTAAAAATGGACTCAAGTTACAACTAAAAAACTCAGCAAATACATTATGGAATAATGTCCTAATGGAATACTATCACCCCTCCATTCCATATTCCAGATCCGGGTGTCGTGATTTCATATGGGTCCTCCAGCTGACTTTTTGATTAAACTGTTTGTTACACATTTTACATTCGTGTTTCTTTACTTCTCTGTGTATCCACATATGCTGGTCGAGTGTAGATTTTCTGGGAAAAGCTTTAGCACATACAGTGCAGATAAAACCCCTTTCTCCCGTATGTATGACTACATGTTTCTTCAAGCTCTTTTCATTCTCAAAACGTTTCTCACAATAAGAGCATTCGACATAGTCATTCGTATGGTAGATTTTGAAATGAGCTCTGAATTTATCTCGTTGCGCGAACACTAGGGAACATTCAGGACAACTGTAAGATTTTGCCGGCAGATTGTGAACTTCTGTCATATGCGTTTGTTTTATTGTCCACGTTACGAATCTCTCTCCACATAAGTTACAAACGTGTTGGCAGCACTTTTTCGAAATTTCTAAATGTGCCTGCCTCTCTTTCAGAGAATGGAATACGCCCTTACATTTACGGCACTTCCTTGTCAATGGTCCAGTACCGCAGTTATATCTCAGATGGCAATGTAATGACGTTTTTGTGGCGTAAGATTTGCCACAGGCGTCGCAGGTATACTGAACGTAATGCCGATGCATATGTTTACTCAACAGAGATAAAGTTGAATGTTTCTCATTGCAAATAGCACAAGAATATTTATCCTTTTCTATGACAAATGGATGTATGCCCAAATCGTGGTTCAGAATGATGATTTTATTGTGTATTTTTACTAAATGATCTGCCGCATCCTCAATGTTCCGAAGATTTTGCAAACATATTCTACATTTTAACTCCGTACAATCAACTTTTATGAAGCCTTCGGGGATATGAGCGAATGCAATATACATTTTGAACTCCTGATGTTCGACGCGCATGTGATTTCTAAACTTTGAGGGATCATCGTAACTTTCACAGCAAAATACGCAAACCATGGATGTGTCCGGGAGCTTGAACGGGTAAGCTGTGGTATATTGTATGACCGTTTGTGCGTTCCGTCGAGCGGCGTCGAACGGCTTTTTTTCTAAAACAGAAAAAAAACGTCCGAATCACTATTCCATTCTTGCGGTATGTGTTGAACTCACTAAGCTAAACTTGAATGTCCTTAGCTATTTTGAGACAAGTAGAGTTGTGCAATCTTTGCTGCAGGTATAAGTCACTATCGTTCTGTAGTTTGGATTATAGGCGTCATTCAAACATCCAAATTTTAACCGACTTTCTTTTAGAGCACTGAGCAAATCTATGAAACGAGGATCCAGATACAAAAGGTTACAATAAAATGTTGGCACTAACTTATTAAACCATTTATAACACCATGAGATTACTACTAACTAGACAGATTTCTGATAGAATTAAGAGCTTCCTGCCTTAAGCACCTTTAACCTAAGGAAACATCTTATAAGAATACACACATAAGTAGAGAATGTAGGCCGTCAGATTTCCCCATGTAAGTTCAGTATTTATGTATAAATGTAAACAGAAATTTTAAAAACATTTGGGTCTCATACTGTTGTCTGACTGGGCACATGGTAATTATGATTTTAAATATCTATTTAACATCAAAAGTATCTGAACTTGTGGGAAGCTGCCTTGGCTGTTAATTATCCTAAGTACCAGTCTACTCTTAACATACAAAGGCCTTAACCATAAACTCAAAACTAATCGGAAGTAACTTGAACCAAATTTTACTTAAGGTTTTTGTAGATACTCGTATTTCTACAGTTTGTTATATATCTTAAAAGTTTCATAATCATCTTGAAAAAACTAACTTAGCTGTATCCTTTGCACGACTTAAGATTTTTTATTGGTAGTCATTAAAATGTAGTCTATTATTGACCGAACTTCAAAGAGAAAGTAAAAGAATAATGTTAAAAACAGATTATCTGTAATTTTATTTTGCCCGAATAGCCTATCTACCATTTAATGTCCGTAGATGTAAATATTTCGCCTAATAACTAATGAGTACCCCATCTAATAAGGTCTCAAACAGGGCCTTTTATACTTAATATTATTATTTTTTCCTTCATCGAAGTCAACTAACTCTGGGTGATAAGATTTCATATGAGTTTTCCAACTCACTTTCTGATTAAACTTTTTGTTGCATAACGTACATTCGAACCTCTTATGTTCCCTATGTATCCACATATGTTGATTTAAGTTCTTTTTCCTAGGAAACGACTTTGAACACACGGTACAGGGGAAAAGTTTCTCCATAGTATGAGTGACCCTATGATCGTCTAAAGTCCGTTTCGTCTCGAATTTCATACCGCAACAAGAACATGTGTAATTATCATCAGTGTGAAATATTCTAAAATGTACCCTGTAACGTTTTCTATCTATAAAGACTTCCCCACATTCTGGGCAAATGAAGGTTTTCTTTTTAACTTCATGCACTTCGGATAAGTGTTGTTGTTTTAAGTGATAAGTCATGAAACGCTCGCCGCACACACAACATAAGTGAGACCAACACCTGGGAGACTCGGCTAAATGCTTTCTTTTGTCTTCTAAAGTACTGAAGGTAGATTTACATTTTCTACAAATCCTTTCGTTATTAATGTGGGAAAATCTTATGTGACTTCGCAATGTTGTATTAGTCGCATAAGATTTGCCACAGGCTTCGCAGGTATACCTCCAGAAATGGCTTTGGGTGTGCCTGCTCAGTTGCCTTAAGCAAAGGCATTTTGCATTACAAATTGCACACGATAACGTATTCCTTTCAAGTTTAAAAGGCTGAAGTCCACACTCAACGGTTAAGTTTAAAGGTTTTTTATGTGCGGATACCAGGTGTTGTGCTATTTCTTCCAAAGTTTGACATTGTTCAGAGCATATTCTACACTTTATATCCGTGCAGTCAACTTTGATGTATCCTTCTGAACAGTGATGGAATGCCATGCGGGGATTAAAGGTTTTATGATCCTTATTCATGTGAGCCCTGAATTCTACAGGGTCTTTGAAAGGGTCGGCACAGTAGACGCACACCATGTTCTCTTCGGGCAGCTTGAAGGGGTAAACGGTGGAAAATTTCACGATAATCTCGGCGTTCCGTTTAGCGACGTTATTCAAGTCGTTTGGGTCTAGAACAAAAAGAAACGCCCAATCATTCTCTCGCTTTCTCTCGCGACGTTCGTGATTTAGGGTGGCCTTTTGGATTATATTGATGAGAGTAACATGATTGAATGCTGATATTATTGCATGATCGATCGGTTAGATTAGTTTTATTAAAAAGGTAAAACTGTATAGTTTCATGCTAAAATAAATGGAGACAGTTTTGTACGATACCGTAGTCCTGATAAGGAACTCTTATATTTCTCCATGTCAGTTCGGCTGTCGCAGTTCGAGACTGTTAGCACTAGGGTTAAGAGTATACCCCTACAAGCTAAACCATTGGGTTAAATTTAAAAAAAAAACAGATGTAATGATAAATTATGGAACCTTACACTACGCATGGCCCGACACGCTGTGTGCCAAGTGCACACAGTTTTCTTACAGCAAAAGATTAGTCACTGAGAGCTTTTGGACAGATGCCGACACAGATATCCGGAACCCGTTAATGGTACTGTACGTTCGACGTGCACCGCGACAACGTGTTTCTCAATATGACGGACAGATTATTCAAGAAAGTTTACCAGTAATTTGGTGCTTCACAAGAGCTTTACCTAGACACAGTTCAAGGGGTTTTCTTAAATAAATTATCGGTTTATTGCATGTTTAGGTTTCAAAACAAATAAAAGTTACGGATAATGGACATAAAAATTTATTTAAATATAAATAAAAATAGTGTTTTTATCAAACAACTTTTGGCGAATATACAAACTAAGCTGGTCTCGACAACCATAAAAATATAGATATTATAACGAATGAGTATAGTTCGCGATCGCCAATCAAAAACATAGAAAGATAAAATATTTCTTACAAAATATTTATAGTAAAAAATATAAACAACAAATTAACATAGACTTTCTTAAGAATTAACAGTATTGCACTGAAACAAATATTGTGATGTATATTCAATACTCCTATTAGGAACCACACTCGGAGTTGGACACAGAACACTCTTATGAACAGAACTTTTCGGGCACTTTTTTGCATGTACCCTCATTCTACGCACAAATTAGTGGTTGAAACATTAAAAGTTCAAAAATTAATTCCGTCAATTGTGAATGGTTCAAATTTCCTAAGTAGCAGATATATACCTTTTAATAATTATAGCTTTTCTTTAAACAAAAACGATTCCTAATTTCTATTTTAATACACTTATGTTCCTACTAGATGTTTATACAAATGGTGCGAGTGTGAAGTAGTAGTATTGGTAATTTTACTATGTTATATGTTATGATGCATTTACACAATTTAAGAGGAATTTTAAGGGTGCTTGTTAATCAAATTGTTCCCCTAAAGGAAGAAGTGTTAGGTATTTCATTAAGTATTTGTTCGTTTCAAACGTTAAATGGAATTATTGATACAGTTTAGAGGATGATGACGACATTTCCATTTGTAACAATTTCATTAATTACATACGTATATGTACATGCATTTCATGAACGAGGAAAGCTACTTATGGCATACGAACACAGAATTGCTAGTCCAATGATGTGTTCCGATTAGGAAATGGCGGCAAAGCTATGACTTTTTCCGGTCGAATAGTTTCAAGAACAAACTCCGTATACTATCCACTCCTAGCTTAGCTAGAGGGGTGTACCAACAGAAATCGCAAGTAGAACCATAGTAGCTTGTAATTTAATAGCAGAGATAGACTATACAGCGTCCGAGTCGCATCTTTCACAGACGCAGAAGATATAGCCTTTTAGTAAAGAAATTAATTAAAATCAAATCCTATAATATCAATAGTCGTATGAGTTTAAAGGGATTATTTGATTTAAAATAACATCGACTGGGATTTTAGTCTTATGACTTTGTAGGCCTAAAACTGTGTCTGTATAATTTAAAAGCCTCAGATATCCTATCTAGGTGACGTTCTTAAAAATCAACCAACTCGGGATGGTAAGACCTCATGTGCGTTTTCCAGCTGACTCGCTGATTAAACTGCTTATTGCATGGTACGCATTGAAACCTTTTATGTTCACTGTGGATCCACATATGCTGTGATAAATTTTTCTTCCTTACAAAAGATTTCGAACACACGGTGCAATGGAACAACTTTTCTTTTGTGTGAATCACTTTGTGACTCTCTAGAGCCCCTTTATTGTCGAATTTAATACCGCAAAATGGACAGACGTAGTTCATATCTGTGTGAGAAATGATATAATGAGCTCTATACTGCCTCCATTCGTCAAAAGATCTTTGGCATTCTGGACAAGTGTGGCATTTTTTAGTAACACCCACGCTATGAACTTCACTCTTGTGAGCAAATTTGAGTTTTCTAGATATGAATCGTTCGCCGCACAAATTGCAGGCGAAAGGCCAACAGCGCCTAGTTGCCAAAACGTGTAAGCGTCGCGCCTCGCTGTTCGGAAATGATTTCCGACACTTGATGCAAATTTTCTCTTGAGAGTGGCCGAATAATATGTGCTTATTCAAGTTTTCCTTACTTATGTAAGACTTTCCGCACGTTTCGCAAGTGTATTTATGATAATGACAGCTGTTATGTCTGCTGAGAGCTCTTAGGGACGGGAATTTCAGCGAGCACACCGCGCACACCCAACGTTCCTGTCCCAATTTGAATACTTGTAAACCTACTTCTGCATTTAAGTTAAGTTTTTTGTCATGCTCTAGATGTAGGTGCTCAGCTGCTGTGTTGACCGAGTCTAGTTCTATGGAACAGAGTCTGCACTGTAGATCCGTGCAATCGACTTTGATGTACTCTTCTGCGCTGACGGTGTGCGCGAATGCGGTGTCGACGTTGAACGAGCTATGTTCGCGTTTCATGTGGTCTCTGTACGCCCCGGGCTCCTCGAAGGGCTCGCAGCAATAAACGCACACCATGTCATTGGCGGGGATCCTGAACGGATACGCTGTTGAGTATCTCAATACTACCTTAGCGTTTTGTCGCGCTTCGACCAACGGATCGAACTCTAGAACAAAAAGAAATGCTCCTTTGTCACATTTGTTTTGGCAGGTGACGCTTAACACGTTGCGGTCATTAAATATTTAACATAGCTTGAAGCTTTGAATGGAAAACGTCGGCATACTATCAATTTATATTTCACTTGATGCATTATTCTAATTTATTGTTGTGAGGTTGAAATTGTTTGTATTTGTCCTTGGCACATTTAGATACTTTCAAATTCACGTATACGAAATCACCGAGTAACCGAATGAAAATTTGACAAACAAACCAGTTACGTTTGGGAGGCTACATTATTTTAACCCTATCCATGACTATTTATGATTTAATAGTGCAGAATTGCTCTTGCTTGCCCTATACATAATATCCATTAGGTTGCTGTTAAAGTGTCAATATCCGTAGGTATGTCTTAATATAAGATCTTCCCAAATACAATCTATTTAAGATGCTGACGGTTCACCGCCCACCGAAAGCCCTGATGGGGTGACGGCACAAAAAAAGAAAGTTCATTATATCTTAACCATTTTTATGTGTAATAAGGGAGAAAATTTAATATAAATGCCTTTGTCCTAGTCATAAAAACTGATGAAAAATCAGAAGACCAAGAAGACCAATTCTCGTATTTTAAAACATCAGAGACCAAAACGTGATTGTATCGAGACTAGATTAATTATGAATTGACTAAAAATAGGTATACTGCTAACAAAAATACAAACATCTCCCAGTATCATCTCAATATAATCTCAGTTCAATCTCATGACGATCTATTGACTGATATAGATTAAAACAATGCAGTAAACAGATACCGATTTAAAAAAAAATGTTAATTCGATGACTTTATAACTTCAAAACTTGTTTTGATTATCAACAAACCACCATAGGCAATAATTAATAAAAAAATAATTATTTGAAGTTAAAATAAATGAAAAATAATGCGTAGAGATTTAAGGATAGAGTGAACACGGGGTACAGCTGCCTGTGATTGGAAGCGATAAAGGCAACGAGAGAGATGGATGCCCGATAGTCCCCTCTGACTCTGTTTCGCTAAGCTGCGATTAGCAATTGTGAAGTCGGCATGGTACTGATTACGAACAGCCGGGAGGATTAGAAATTCGCAAACAAATTGAACTTTCGATGACAATTCGAAATCATATTTTTGACAACTTTGGATGTCGATTTGTGAGATCGAGAGTAGATCGGAGCCGAATTGAGACCGAACTTTTATTACGAGAATTGACCTTCAGGTCTCAGGGCAGAAGTATGAAATAAATTTACTATTAGTAGTAAAACGTTAGAGGACTCGGACTCGAATGGGCAATTCGATTTTCAGGTATGTGGCAATGTCGGCTAATGCTATATTGCCTACATTTTTTTTTAAAGACATCTCTCGCACTAGGAAAATATCCTATGTCGCGGGGGCATTTACAAACATACATGAATCGGACACAAAGAACACCCAGACTCAGAACAACAATTTGTGGATCACACAAAGTTTGTCACATGTGAGGATCGAGCCTGCAACACTCAGCGCAGTAGGTAGCGGCGAGGTTCCATCTGTATAAGCCATATCTATTTCCTACCTGCCTTACCGTTTATTTTACGTTACGTTTTTCGTGTTGGGGAAACGGAGGACATGTGTGGAACTCCCGTAGAACCGGTGTACGCACTAAACGCCGCGGCGGCCTACCTCGGAAGCCGATAGGAGATCCAAGAACGCATCGGCGGCTTCTGGAGTCCTCTCTGCCGTTCCCCATGATTGAATCACATCCCAAGGTGACCATGAATACCCCCAGGGCGGGATGGTGCCGCGCTCTCCAGCACCCTACTCAATGAAATGAAATGTCTATGATATCGAGATATCGCATCAGTTCCGATATGTTTGTATCGATTCAACAATTTCATGAAAGATTTTAGACGAAAAGGGACTCTTGAGACACCTTCCTAAAACTTACTACCTAAACCGTTTTCGAAATCGTAAATTTTCCGATAACAGTAATTGAATTTTGTTGCAAATTATACTATTTAATGACGAACTGTTGAACAAGTGCTAAACCGTTCATTTGTTCTGGTTGGGTCATTTATCTATATCATGTAGGTATGTCTTTAAGAAATTTATCTGCCGTCAGTAACAGACTTGACCCTTTTAAGTAAAACTAAAATGCATAGTTTGTAAATACGCCTAGTAAATAGCAAAGACTTAAGTGAACATACACGGACGTCAGCATATACCAGAGGCCCAAGTGTGAGTTTAATTTCATATCTAATCGATCGTCACGGTGACCGTTCGACGCTGCGATTGGCCCGCACTGAAATCTTCACCAATGGCACACCGAACGCGCTCGCTATCGAAAGCGAGTTGATGTGAAATAAACTTGCACCAGTCAGATAATTTCTAAAATAATTATTAAACTCTATCACTATGAGGAATCTCAATTGCAAACGATTCTCTCTGATATGCGACCATCAGATGCAGATGCTGGCTAAAGAGTATATATAGATGTGAAAAAAAAACAAATATTTAAGCTTTTTTTTATTAAAAAGTGTTGACAAATAATGCATAGCTATACTGTACATGGAACATAAATGTCACTAAATTAATGTTTATTTTAATACACTTGAAGTTTAAGCTACACATTCATTACATTTCTGTTTTATTAAACCATTGCACTCTTTTGAAATCTACAATAATTAGCTTTCAAAGCAAGACTTTCAATGAAATATGCTCTATCCTGTTCGACGTAATCTATCGTAGTCTAACACTCACACTCACTCACTCGCTTATTATTGAGAATACTTCCCTCGCAGATACTTTCTATTTGTCCTTCTAACTAAATCCTACTTCTACTTAGAGCGAAGTCCGACTTACTAAGTCCTTAAAAAACAACTTTCGAGTTCCGTGATAGGTTTATAATCCCTATTAGTATCATAAGTACGAAAGTAACTGTCTGTAATGTTTAAATAAATTTGACATGGAGATACATTCATTGTGGAGGAAGGACATGGGCTATTTTTTACCGCGATAACCGACATACACGCGGGCGGAAACAAGGGCAAAAGCTAGTTATGTATATATGTGCCTACGGAAATGAACATAATCACGTGAGAGGTATTAAATAGTTTACACTCACAGTCTGACGCAGCATAAAGGCTATGGAAATTAAGTAAGCTCTGATATTAAAGGAATAAAAGTTTTCTTATATATTGTGACACTTAAAAACTTATAATTTATTTATAAATCTGTCTGGGATAAAGACATACCTACTATTATTTTTAATAATGTGTAAATTGGAACTTACTCATGATAATAATGATTAAATACATTACATGGCTTGGTACAGAGCGTTTCGACCGAATCACACCACTCTGATGTGTGACAATGATTGGTGTAATACGATCGTAACAACGGGGCACCAAGTATGTTCACCTCACCATTATTATCGCGAATAAGCCCCAATATACACAGTGTACTTAACCGTAACAATATCTTATATAATAACTACAAATTCTTGTAGTTTTTGAGATTTAAATAAGAACTTTTTTACAAAATTCATTCGCTTCAATCCCTTTAGTCCTAAATGTGACAAAGAAAACCTTTTTTTTTTCTTACGAAAACAGTCGATGATTCTCTAAAAGGTGACCAACATTCGCTTCAGTTCAGTTAAGTGTGCCCAAGACATCCATTTAGCACACGCAAGCACTTTATAAGCGGTCAAACACAACATAATCACCATTCTTCCTCGTTAAAAAGATGCGCATGTTTCGACATGTGTCTCTTCAAACGAAACTCCGAGACAAATTTCGCGCCACAAAACTTACACACAATACAATCTTCAGAGTGATTGAGCTTAAAGTGAATATAGTAAGCATTTTCCGTAGTAAAATCAATACTGCATTCCGCACATTTATAAGTCTTTTTTAAGAGGCCGTGGGCCACTTCCATATGTCGTCTCCTTGACTTCCAATCCAGGAAACGTTCCATACATTTCGGACAGCAATAGGGCATACAAGATTTTTCTGTTCGCGAATGTTTTTCTTTATCTTCCATTGTTGGGAAAACTTTTCTGCATCTTTTGCAAGATACTTCATACGTTTGGTGTTTGGATCTCATGTGTTTTAGCAGTCCAGTTGTGGCGACATAGCTACTGCCGCAGACGTCACACACGTAACTCAGAAAATGCGAAATCGTGTGTCGATTTAAGTGGAAAAGTGTGGGAAAGTTTTTATCACAGACTGCACAATTGAACACATCCTTCTGTAAATAATAAGGCATAACGCCTAATTTCCCATTCGGATCCGTTTTTTTTCCATGCACTTTAGCTACATGCTCCAATACTGAGTCCAAATTTTGGAACTGTTCTTTACAAGTTCTGCATCTCAAATTCGTCAAGTCTGCTTTGATGAATTCGTTTTTGGGTAGGTGATGGAACGCAACTTTGATGCTGAAATAATCGTGTTCCGTATCCATGTGCTGCCGAAACATGTCCGGATCTTCGAACAGCTCTTGGCAGTAGACGCAGAGTACAGACTTGTCGTTCACTCTGAACGGATAAGCTGTTGTACAGCTAATAATGGTGATGGCGTTAGCTCGCGTCGCATCGTAATTTTCCGCTAAAAAAGAAAAGAGATTTCTTTTGTAGGTAAAGACTCTTGCAGTACTGACTTCGAGGTATAATGGACACTGGTGAACTGAAGCAAATGGCACTGTCAAATAGCTTTAGAGTATAACGTTATTCACGAGAATTTCGTAACTTGTCAAGATACAACAATTGAGTTTTAATTTCGTGACAATAAGGCCTGAAGAAGACCAAAGGAGGATTTCTTTTATTAAGGAATAAGGCTTGGCAGACACCAAAACCAATTAGTGTATATTCCAAAACCCAAGCAACTGGACCGCCTTATTCCTGGATACAAATACCGTGCTTACTCCGAAAAGTCAGAATTCTCCGAAATACAGAATCGAGATTATGACAAGATAATTTCATACTTTTAAATAATTGACGAAGATGACCTTTATCTACAATGAATGTGGCCTTGTGTGACCTTGTATTTAATTTCAAGAATTGTATTTAAATTATCTTGGTAATTAAAAACAGTTTAACTCAAGTTTAAATGTCTAATGTTTATAATGTTAAGAACGGCTCAAAGAAAATTCAGTTTCTTTTTTACAATTTTTTTTATATAGAGATTTCTGCATATCTAACTAAAGAAGATATCACAGAGTGTAAATAATGCTTTAAAGTTAAAAAAGGTTGATTAAGGGAACTTAAAAAACATCGTCATTTATATGCCTCTCCCTAATATTTCTTTTTTTTTAGTTTATAACACGAAATTGGTAGTAAGTATAAACTTTTAGTTGAAATAAATATTTGAACTAAGAATTTAGGGTATAAAACGTATAAGTGTAAAATTCCCCTAAATTAAATGAGGATAGATAGATACGTAATAATTGCTTAATTCTAAATGCAAAAAAAGCAACAAAAACCTATTGTAATATAACTTTTTGCTAAATATATTACTAATAAAAAAGTTACAATAAATTTCTGTTGCAAACTGTGCGAAAGAATTTGCGTCATAGAATTTAATAATACATAAAAATATTTCATGTTATAATAAAACATATAACTGAAATATATCACAAAATAAAATAAAAAATATGTTTTTTTTAATGAGCTATATTCTTTTACGCAAATTTTTAGTTTCCAAATAGAAACTTAACATATGGATATATCTCAATTACTCTTAAAAATGCAAATATTTTTTTTATAAATATATTTTTAATAATTCAGAGCTGAGTTATTCATTAAAGAGCCAACAGTATTTAACAGGAACACTGAAGAAATACCAAGTGTCTTTTCAATGTTCCTAGACCAATATACATTATTATCACTTACCTGCACGCCGTCACTTGCCGAAAAAGGGAATCGAACCCATCAATCGATGGTACTCGAGGCGATAACCTTTTTTTTTTAGATTAGATTTTCTAGAATCAGGAGATTTCGTTTAGTTCTATTCATTGAATTTAGATGTTTATATATTGATTGGTCTGTAGTTCTACCGATTAGTAATTCTGACTCGTCAGATCTTGTAGGTCAAGGTGATAAGCAAGATCATTGGTTTTGTGTGTCATCATCATCATCAAAAGTATTTAATAGTCCACTGCTGGGGTTTTGGCCTACTATACCACGCTGGGCAGGCAGGTTAGGGTTTGATTCAAGTTCCTGCGTAGTTTGCTCCCTTATTCGGCTCTTACGACACCCACGGAGGATTAAGGGTATAATGGATAGAAAATCAGTCAAAAATTAGTCACAAAAATTGTTTAAAAGACAAATGGCTTGCTTTCTGATTTACAATTCATTTTACAAAATAGTTTTTTTTTCATGCGAATTTATTTATGAATACCCTCATGCAATATTTTCTTTCATGACTATTAAAAAGTACGATATCATGATTATTGTTATTAGAGGTGTTTGACATCATTTTTTATGAACATATTATTATGGAGCTCAGTTTATATATTTCGTGTTGTTTCGTGTAGGTTAGTAAATTAGGAGTAAGTAAAACCATTCATATAATTTAATATCTTCATAGAAATCTTCTGGTACTCTCCAAAAAACCCTTAAAACCTAAGGAAAATACACAAAAACAAAAATCACAATACACACACAACAATATTTATAACAGCTCTGGTTAGTTCGTGTCACTTATATGGACGGAAAATTGAACAGAATGCAATCTAGTTAGTTAGTTAAGGCCCGAGGAAGATAAAAGATGGCGCTGTTATACAAATATTTTTTATCTAGATAGAGAGAGAAGGTATTAAGATTCAGAAATGACCTGAAACTGTGGAAGGCAATCAAATAATACTTTAAATATTAGAATTGATGTTAGAACTTCAAAAATCGGTGTCAAGACATCACTAACTAATATGTCACGTATTTATTAACATCAGTGGCCACATCCTATTTTTTTTTTTATAAGATAACTCCCGCATTAGGAACATATATATACTGTGTCGCGGGGACTTTTACAAACATACATGAAACGGACACAAAGAACACCCAGACTCAGAACAACAATTTGTAAATCACACAAAGTGTCGTTCCATGTGGGGATCGAACAACAATCAGCGTAGTAGTAAGCGGCGTGGCGACCGCTTAAACCACTAAGCCATCTGTACAGTCGCAGTATGAAATAAGTAGTTTGGGATCAAAATCTATACATATAATATTAATTCCCCTAACTGATTGATTTATCAACGCAGAGACAAAACCGCTGAAGCTACAAACTAGAAATTTTGGCAGCTGATGTATTTTATGTTATAAGCACCCACTAAAAAAGGATTTCTGTTAATTCAGTTCCTGACGTGGCACAACTGAAGGTGGAAAAACTCATCCGACTGCCGCTATGGGGGTAAAATAAGGGATGAACGGTCGAACGGTCGAGCGAGAGACGCGAAATATATGGTCGTATTTAAACTCTATTTTGAAATTATCAATTCAACGTCCATATAGGAGCGAACCACAACACGAGATATATCCATATGTTTCTTATAGCTAAAATTAATCATGCATCATTATTTTTATTTAAATTGACATGTTTCTTACTAGAATCTTATGTATTTTAAATTGTACATATTAAACAAGCTAATTATTGACAAAATAAAACAAAAAAACCCGACTGTGTTAAATGTACAGGTATTTAAAATTAAAAGGCGGTCATTTTAATTTTCATTATATGATACTCAATGTCACTCCAAAGATTTCAGTGTGGGCCAATCACAGCGCCGAACGCGCTCGCTGTCGAGACGGAGTTGCGATACACTTGCACTAAGCTCTCTGAATGTTTTTTTTTTACTTCTTTCAAACCAACAGACACGAGAAAAACATTGGCAAGTATAGATGTTAAAAATTTAAGGGTTTCCCTCGATTTCTCTAGGATCCCATCGTCAGATCCTGATTTGGTGGTAATGGGATCACCTCGGGAGCATACCCTTTCGATCACAAAAATAATTTTGAAAATCGGTCCACAATTGACGGAGATATCGAGTAACAAACATCCAATCCAAACCTCCTCTTTTGTGTTTTTGAAGTCGGTTAAAAATTTGTTGGCTAGTAGTATTAAGGCAAGAAGGTGGTTTCAAAACAACAAAAATATCTGAACTATTCTTATTAAACCTTAACCTGGTAAAATTTAAATTAGATATTTGCATTTGTCACTAAGATGTTAGGTAGATGGTTTTACAAAAAATCTCATTCGCTTAAACAGACATGACATATAACAAAAAGTTCTTACAATAGTGATGCCAGTATGAAACCTGTCAATTTTAATATTAGGTAGCAGAGTTGTCTAAGATTATAAAATATGCTTAATAGCTTAAAAAACAGTGAGAACCGAGAGTCCGATGTGTGGGTAACATTTTAAAGTAATTCTATACAAGTAAATTAAATCGAAGTTTCTGCAAAACTCATACTAGAAAAACTTCTTAAATTTTTCGTTTGTAACGGGAGGGCCAGTTTCCACATGATCTCAGTGGCAAATAAGTAATTAAGGGCTAGATTAAGACTTTTTTTCTATGCAAGAGATTCCAATGCTTTGCAGCCCTTTTTGATTTAAAGGGACAAATCCGGCGCTGGGAATATTTTCCTGTCTCGCGACTTCACAAACATACATGAAAAGAACGCAAAGAACACGCAGACTAAGAACAACAATTTATGGGTCATACAAAGTGTTTACCCATGTGGGGATCAAACCCACAACACTCAGAGCAGTAGGACACGGCGAGATGTTAGCTTAAACCACTACAGCAATCCGTGCAGTCATAAAGGGTATATAGAGATGAATATGCCATAGGAGAAAAACATGAGGCTTCGACTCTGCGTTAATTTATGTTGAGCCTTAGTTTCCCCTGGTAACCTTGGTGAGAAGCGAAACATTCATTTATCATAGAACAGGGAAGTTTAAAGTTAGATCGATTTAATTTTTGAAGATATTTTGTTGGTAATTATCACTCAAAAATAAAAAGAACTATGAATCCCCCACCCTAACAGTTATGGTCATTTCCAATAATTTATTAGTATCTTATAAAATGCTGGATTCAAAAATAAATACAGTATGAAAAATCTTTGACAACTCCACTACCTAACTCTTTATAACTCAAATAGATGCCTACCTTTTTTCTTCTTCTCAGGTTTAGGAGCCACTTTGCTAGCTGAAGCTTTCACCGGTTCTTTCTTGACGATTTTTGCTTTTTTAGACGGAGAAGCCTTGACCTTAGTAGTTGATTTTCGTTTTTCAGCTGCCTTCGTGTTGTCTAAGAGATCCATCAAGTCCACAGATTCTTTTTTAGGTATTTTGCTTGCAAGTTTCGTTAGGGGCTCGTCGTCCACTGAAAGGGAACATTGGGGATAGTATAATGTAGAAGTTTCCTCTGAGCGTTTTTCCCAAACTAGTTTATGGTCGGCTTTTAGTCTCCTACAATTTATTACGCGTATCGACTGCCGTCAGACCTTCACCGTCCAATTATAATAATAATAATACCCTCACACATCTCACACACGGCTGTCTGATCAAAAACTAGGCAGAACCTGTACTATGGTAACCAGACTGCTGATAAATATACATATATATTTCTAAATACATACATATTATAGATAAATTACACCCAGACACAGAACAAATTATCGTGCTCATCACACAAATATTTGTCCTGGGTGGGAATCGAACGACCTCCGGCTTAGCAGTCAGGGTCACTAACCACTAGACCAACAGGCCCGGCAATTACTAGGCGATATCGATATTATCGGACTTTTTAGAGCTCCAACTACCTGTGACGATTGCCACAGATGTTCGTATGGCAACCGGGACTGACGGCTTAACGTGCTCTCCGAGGCACGGAAGGGTCTCAATGTGATAAGAATGGTCACCCATCCATAGACCGGCCTGGCCAAGATTGCTTGACTTTGCAATGTGTTAACCTACTCGGTTACCATTTAGTAAAGATTCTTAGATAGTGCTAAGTATAGAATTAAAAAAAAAAGGATTTGCTTAAAGAATTCAATATTTTATATTGGTATTAAGTACCAAGTCCAATTTTATAATAGACAATAATAGGATACATCAACTCACTGTCATCATCATCATCGTCATCATAATCGCGATCATCAAAGTCATCATCGCTGAGCCTCTTCTCCAACTTGATCCGCTCCAACTTCACATCCTCAAGAGTCTCCACTGGAGCTGAGAACAAAAAGATACGATTAATTACTGAACTACATGCGTTTCAGTCAGTGTGTTTGTGACACTCGAGGGTCACAGATGAACCCGTGGATTTCTAATGTTTTATAGTAGGAGTGACTGCACAGATTGGCGTAATGCATTAAGGGATCACCATGCCGCTTTCCACTATACTAAGTGTTGTGGGTCCGATCCAAACAGGCGACATTTCGTGTGATGCACAAATGCCCTGAGTATGGGTGTTCTTTGTCCCTTTCATATATATTTTTAAATTCCCTTGCGACCCAGTGCGGCAGTTGTCTTATCGAAAAGACAAAGAAGTGTGATAAATTTTAAAATCAGTCATCAATCAATCATCTGCATCCACTAGGACAAAAGTTCCAAAACGATAATATTTTCTTCAGCTTAGAATAACACTGATCTTCTGTTTATCGAAACCTAGCTGGATTTTACCTTCAGATTCCGTCACGCTGGAAGTGCCAGGATCAAGATGCTGCATGAACGTCTTCTCGCACTCCAGCACCTGTCGCCTGAAGTCATTCGCGTCTCGGAGCCGTGATATGCATGGCTCGCATATCAGACGGCTGTTGCTATTTGGCCCGCCAGATTGAGAGTACGCGATCTGAAGCAATAAGATTTTAGAAATAATGATGGTTTATTGGGAACACAAGGACTCGGGCCACCAGGTATGATCACCTCGCCGTGTCGGAGTATCCTCCCTCAGTGTTGGAAGGAAATAACGACATAAAGTTATATCAGCAAGAGTTATTTCCGTGTGTTTGTTAATAAAATCTCCTTAGACGTCAGAAGGTATTTTCATCAAAACATTTGTATTTTTCTTGCTGCAAAAATACAGTGAAACAAAAAGAACCTTCTCCCTTTTTTGGATTTGTTAAAATAGGTCGACGACATATCAACACTGGTAGGCTCCCAGTTCTGCATTTAGACTCGAGAGTGGTCCTTGTCCGTGTAGTTACGGATTAAGAATACGGAATGTCACTACCCCAATTCATCCCGTGGGTGTCGTAAGAGGCGACTAAGGGCGCAAAACAACGCAGGACACCAGCACTGCAAAAAGAAGGAAAACTTGATACAAACCCTATACCAACCCGTCTGGCCAGCGTGGTATAGTAGGCCAAAACCTCCTTTCTAAGGAGAGGCCTATGTCCAGCAGTGGACTATTAAAGGCTGTTGATGTAGTGGTCCTTTATGTGTCAAGAGAGAGGTCAAAGAGCAAAAGCTTGGATGTTCACAGGCTTCTAGGAACGATTTTATATCAAACTTGACAGCATGGATGGCATAGTGGTTAAAGGTCACCTTGCCGATTCCTACTGAGCTGAGTGTTGTGGGTTTGATCCCCACATGAGACAACATTTAGTGATCCACAAAGTTTTGTTCGGCGTCTGGGTGTTCTTTGTGTCCTTTAGCCTCTCTGATAAATGGAAAACAGAAATATGGACAGGGTTGTATGAGTAGCCAGCCAGAATGTAGTCCAGTTTGTAACATGTTGGGCACATTTAAATATGACCAAAAGTGGTGTATATAAACCTAAGGATGTCAATAAAACCCTATTTGCTTTGTTGTCTGCCCGTCTGTCTATTAGCACCCTGTATCTCATGTATAGTAGAAACTTTTTGTGTATGTATTTCTCATTGCCACTAAAGCCATAATAAATAATAACAATTACCTCACACATCTCACATGGCTGTTTGATTCCAAATGAGGTAGAGCCTGTACTAGGTTAACCAGACTGCTGATAAACATACTTATATATTTCTAAATATGTACATAGGCTACATAGTATATATAAATTAAACTTAGACACAGGACAAATGATCATGCTCATCACACAAATATTTGTCCATGGTGGGAATCCAACACATGGTATAGCAGTCAGGGTTAGTAACCAACAGACCTGTCAGGAGACAGGCCTGTTAAAAATCTATGTATAAAAAAACCAGAGTGCCTGGAAATGCAATATGGGCCACATTAATCACTGCCACTGAGAAAACTGCTTGCTTTTGTTTTATGAATTTTATTGTAACTTAAACAAATCAAACAGAATTTAAGACTGATCTGTAGCATGTTTCACATTTGTTTTTACTCAAAATAAACACAAATAAACAGAAATAACAAAAAAATTGTCAAGAAAATTTGCAACTCTTAAACAAAAGGTGGGATAAATAACAGATCTCAAAATAAACTAATTATAAAAGTAATGATTAACAATCCAATAGTATAGACAGATTGACTAGATGAGCAAAGAGGAAGTCATTAGCAGTGTTAAAGACAGGTTTTGTTAAGAACTCGTGACTAGCAAGTATGTTGTCACAGTTGTAGAATAGTGTCGGATCTGACATATTGAACTTTACTTGAAGTCATTTCAAATTATTTTAGTTTTTTTTTGACATAACTTTTTTAATTCTTAATCTGTAATTGTGAAAATTGGCATACAAGTAAAAAGATAGGGTTTGTTTTGACATGCAATAAAAGTAAAAACTAATCATTACACACTTTTCTAGAAAAATCAATCATTTGTTTACCAACTGAGTAATTTAAAATCTAAAATACATTAAAAATAAGTTGAATTAAGTAATAATATTCAGATAATGTAGTATTCAAATGTGGTGAAAACTGAATTTCATATTTTTTTCAAAGCCGACATTATTCTACGATCATGACAATATAAGAATGGCTTGATGAGTGTGGTAGAGATGCAAGGCATGTCAGGATATTGGAAAAATGAGTTCTATCCTCTATCCCTACCTCAGAATAATTGGTTAATTTGGTTCTTATTACATATATTCAATTCACAAAAAGTTTGTTGAATTGACAACTTCTCCTTTTTGAAGTTGGTTAAATAACAAACTAAAAATAACATGAAATTATTTGTTAGAATTTATTAAAATTGATTTAAATATTATTTAGAAGTTGGTTAAATAACAAACTAAAAATAACATGAAATTATTTGTTAGGATTTATTAAAACTGATTTAAATATTATTGATATACGCAAAAATTATATTAAAAATTTATAGAGTAAGCCTTTTGTAAGGTGTTCGCAAAATTTAAAAAAAAAATGATCAACTTTAAAAAAAACTATAATAAATATCGTATAATTATAATACTCATTAGAATTCTATAATTTTAAAAACTTAATAAATCACATCGAATTCGTTAACTATTTTAGATAAATAAAATAAGAAAAGATTTTATAAAATAAGAAAATTTTATATCAATGCTCTATTGATTTTGTTTATACCCAACCATTGAGTTAAAACAACACTAGAGAAGCAAACCTCATTATCACACGTCGAAAAAAGTGTAACCACTTTTGAACTTTGACGACGTAGCTTTGATACCACGAAACATTTGAAAGTAAACATATTTATGTCTCATTTACACGCGAGACAAGAACAGTACCATTGCTCGGATTAGACAAAGACAAAGACATAACTTTACGATGGTGGGCCAGTGTTTACTACCGTATGAAATTTTACCCATAACAACCAAGAAACAATTTTGTAATAAAATAAATTAATTTAAATATTTTAAATAATATATTTCGAATTGAATGGAATACGTATAAATATTAAAATAACTAGAAATATTTGGTTAAAAGGGTTTATATTCAGTGTAAAATCAAACTCCGCTATGAAGCATCAGTTTTGTATACAACTGTCTTTTAGACTCTTTTTTATAAGTTTGTGTGGATATTTTACTTTCATGATACAATCTTATTTTTACCTATGTATAAATAATGGCATTTAATAGTTAAAGTGAATGATCAACTTGTACTGATAATAAATAATCCCCAGGGTGTCTTGCAAATTCTTTTAATATTTTAAAATACAAATAAAAAAAATATATATATATTTTTATTTATATTTATTTACTTTTTTTTTTTTTTTGTACAATTATTATTTATATTTGATAATTAATTAAGAAAAATGAATGAATGAATGAATTAATTCTTTTGTACAAAAGTCTCCAGCACTGCGAGCTTGGCAGAAGGTGAACGTTCAACGGGTCCCTAAAAAAAGTGATCGGTCCAGCCCTAACAACTACCGTTCTTCCTATATTTTATTATTATTGACAAAATGTTTAAAAACAGTATAAAGCATATTATTTCATAAATTATAAATTCTCCCACTAATGTGGGAAAACAAAAATGATTTTTTAATGGTAACACTGATTCTAAATTACAATTTTCAATGTTTTATTTCAATTATAGCCTTATTTACGATATTATCAATACAAAAACCATAAACTTACACGTGATAAGTAATTCCGCATGATTTCTTATGGTTTTGTGACGTTGAATCGCATTCTTTCACTACGCATTTACCCATTTTGGCGATTGTTACTGTCATGTTCAACTCGGTTGACGCCACATTGAACACTGAATTGACGTTTGCTACGCATATGCCTGTGGACAGATGTGCAGTAGCAACGATTTTAGGCGGTAATTACTCATCTATGTAAGTACTATATCAATGTACCCAACCAAAACAAAGATTGTATAACAAGGACGCGGAAAAAAGAAAATCTGGTCTTTTCATCATAGCCGGATTATACTTAAACTTGCTTGTTGTACAGCGAGAAAATGGCTGCCGTGGCGTCTTTAGAGGACTTAAACTTTAAATAATTAAATGACTGATTGATTACCGTGACGTTGAAGGTGTCCAAAAGCATTTCGGCGTATACTTCGCGCTTTCCCATCCAAAAATATTCTGTTGAGATATCCTTGTAGCATCCCTCGGTCAAACAACAACGACAAACAGTGGGACCGGGTCGCCATTCTGTACTTTTCACATTCATTATCACTTTAAAACTACAATATTTTCACAGAAAATATTTTTATCATAATACTAGTTTTTAATTAACATAGATTATTGCAAACTATAAATAAATCTATTTTATTGTTGAAAACGCCAATACAATAGACGCCATGGAGCGCAGCGGCGATTTGCTAGTGGTGAGACTGTTGAGGAACTTCACGTAACTAGGGGATGTGATGTGACGAGCATGCGCACTGGTTATATTTCTAGTAATCGATTTTTCCTTTATATTGAAATATCTATTCTTAATTGTGCACTTGGCTTCAAGCAGTTAAAAACAAGGCACGCTATAATCTCAAAGGGTTTAGAAACTCAAAGATCTTAGTACTTTATGCTAATGAGGAGGACGGACTTTAGTTGGCATCCTGATAATTTCAGTAAACTTTAAAATGAAAACGTAAAGTATTTATTAAGTTATTTAAGTAAATGAATCGAGGACGTAGAATATGTTTTGATGGAATGTGTTCGGAACCAACGATTTAGAGAACGCCTGATTGATGGATATTGGAAGATGTAACAGCATCCTGGCCAATCCTTTGACAGATACAGCTAATGATATTTACACTTTGTATTTTCAATATTTAAGTTAAGTTTAAAACAAAATATGGCTATGATGGAGGGACGTAGTCATCATTGTGGCTAAGTTCTGTAAATAAAGACAAAAAACAAGTAAATTAATCATTGCAATTAATTTGAAATTTAAATTACATGATCAACGCAATTTACTGCATGTTATAACACATGGTTCCGGCCATGATGACAACTATTCAAAAGAAATCACCTTAAATGATAAATTATTCAAAATAAAGTATAAACCAAATAATATGTATATGCATAGCGTATGTATATACATATTATTTGGTTAAACAGCATTTAAAATGTTTAATAAAGTATGGATAATACAGTTGTAATAATAAGTATAGTATGGAGATGCAAGCAAGAATTGCTAAAACTATGATTTAGAAATAATAATGAAGATGTTTATTTTATCTCCACTAATTACATCATCTTTTACAATTTATAGATGACAAGAAAGTTGTCTAGAAATTAGAAACATATGGGAGATCTGGATCCTAAACTAAACCGAGGCCTGAAGACCAATTCTCGTAAAAACAGTTTGGTCTCAATTCGGTTCCGATGAACTTTTGATCTCACAACTGCCCTAAAAGGTATTTCGTAGTAAAGTATCACTAAGACTAGCAGATCAACGTTTCAATTTTCAGTTACAATACAATACTAAATAAACACGTTACAGTCAACGTTGGACGTTTAATACTTTACTACGATAATACCTTTTATGACAGTTGTGAGATCGCAAGTTGATGGGAACTAAATTGAGTCCGAACTTTTATAACGAGAATTGGCCTACTGTACTACAGATCTCCGAGTCCCCCATTAGAAAACATTGTGGATTGAGTAAACGGTAACAAGTTTTATTGTGTAATAACGATATGTACGTGTGGTTACGCGTCAATGAAAATAATCGGTAGTTTTAAATATTAACTTCTTGAAGAATATAACAATTTAGTATGGTTTTTTATTTTTCCTTTCATCGAGTAAATATGGTCACCGAACGCCACTAACTCCTTCACTCAAAGGGTAGTAAATAAGTAAAGCACAATCAATACCCCTATTTACAGCTTGGTGAGCTTACTAAAACTTTTTTCGTAAATACTCTTATACCACGATCTGTTACTTATTTCATACATAAATAAAGGTGTAAACAGAGGCGTATTAACCTACTAAAATGAGCACTTATATAATAAGCCTTTATATTTTAAATAAATAAAAATTTGTTAAGTTGTATCAAAACTCAATCTAACTTGTCAAAATCAAATGACAAACCTCGATCAATATTATCTGTCTGACAAATGATTGTCAAAATAATCACACAAGTGCTGTGGTTGGAACAGTAAATATTTTGATTTATCAGCTATCAGTATGAGTATTATCACTCGCAAAGGCCCTATAGTGGATCCTGGCTTGTGTAGATGTTGTGGCGCCATTAAGAAATGTCGCATTATGACCGTTGAATATGATTATTTGGAAACGAAAGAAGTGTATTCAGAAATTTTTGTAGACACTTTCGGTCTAGTGGTGAGTTTTTATTATTAAACTAATTTTAAAGTGTTAAAAGAATAATTCTCATATTACTAGGATTTTGTTAATCTTAAATAGATATTTATGTGTGTGTGTGAAGTGCCTTATTGCCAAAGACATTGTCCTCCAGTCTGCCTTAGGCTGATGTAGAAATCAGTGAAAAAGGTGCATTGTAAAGTATAATTATTATGTTATGAAGTAATAAATATGTATTACTTCTTAACATCATTGAGTCACACATAAATAGGCAATAATTATATATTTCTACTGTTGTGGTGGCTCAGAGAAAGGAAGGAGAGCAGAAACCTTAGCTTTAAACCATAGGTGATTAGGTGCTGTTCTGTGGTAGGGAGCTCCAGAGGAAAGCTACTGAAAAAATTGTGAAAAATCGTCAAACAAAGTTTCCTACACTGAGTTGCACTGACAGGTAAATCAGAATACTGGATAATGGTGTTCCATCGTCTCTAATTAAAATAAAAATAAAATAAAAATATGTTTATTTCCACCACAAACGATAAAATGTACAGTGAATTACAGAGATTAGTGCAAAAATAAAAGTTGTAGTTTGAGGTGGACTGGAGCCTAAACTAGGTCAATACCTGTATTTCAGGACTCCAGGATTCACACCCGCGCGGTTAAGTTAGTCAATGTATTGTGGTGCGTTTGAGTGTGTGTGTGTGTGCGTGTGTGTGTGTGTGTGTGTGTGCGTGTGGGTGTGTGTGTGCGTCACTTAACAATTGTGATAAGTGATTCTGTGTCTGTATATGATAGTTTAATTAGATAATTGTGGATAATTATAATTACTCCACATTTATCAGACCTGTCATACATGCTTGCCGGTTACGGATGTTTTTAATGAGATCCTTCTTCAATTCAAGTTATTGTTATTATTAAATATATATTTTCATGTCTACAGCTTTCTCATTTAGATGGTGAAGAGACAGAACGGCTAATATGTGCAACGTGTGTAGTCCGACTGCGGGATGCTCGTGCTTTTAGACTCCAGGTTTTGCAATGTGAGGAGAGATTACTGAGTGCTGCTCTACATATTCATGAAGGTATGGTGATATAAAGATTGTATAATGGATGTTATTTGTGAGTGATATGTTGAGGATAATCTGTGTGGTGACGGATTAAGAAAGAGTTGCTTGATAGTAAGTGACTACCTGTGCCCATGGAAACCTGCTACTTCAAAACCACCCTTTTGAGTCCCCACTCCCAGAATCCCAGAGTAGTGATATTACTATGTTCGAGCTGCCCCATTTGAGCATCATGACTGTCCGAATTTCTTATGAGTAAAAAAAATTGTTTTTTCAATAAACAAAAATGATATTTTATGTACTGTTATGTACCTCTAACAATGTGTGTTTCACAAAGTTTTTATGATAATCATTAGAATAACTCAACTGATTATCATGAAACTTTGTAAAGCAACCTGTAACAAATGAACAAACATACTTTCTTCATTAATAATATTACCTATGAATAGCTTGTTTTTAACTGCCTTCAAAGAGTTCTCAATCTGGATAAAAAAAAGGTAGTGTTTTTTTTTTGGAAGTGTATACATCCAGTTTGATCCCAACCAAATTTGACAAGAAAACACCACCTACCAAAGGTGGAAATTAAGGAATTTAGGACACAATTTATTATAATTCATGACTAGTAGGAGCATTAAAAATAATAATACCATACAAATGTCCGTGGTAATCAGTACGGGTAGATCAAAATATTCCGACAAAAGTCTATCTGCAGAACTTCGATATCGCCTAGCACTTGAGTTGTGGAAGTCTGATGGCATTCCCTCCACGTAAATAAATGAAATCCAGCCGTGTCGACCCCAACATAGTTTGGTAAAGGCTCCGAATATGCTAAGAATATATTAATAATAATAACTTGACACACCTCCGGCAGCAGTAAGGGTCACCAACAACCAGACCAGCAGGCCTTTCAGGTGATGTAGGTCCATTGAAGTCCGTGATATTTTTTACAAAGTTTTGCAATTTTGTACAAGCCTTTGCTTACACTTCATCTTCAGCCTAACGCAGGCTACTGGTGAACATAGGCCTCTCCCATTGCTTACACTTGTATATTCCTAATTACAGATGACACAAACACTTTAAAAGCCGAAGCAGTAGTGAAAGTAGAAGTTGAAGACCCGCCTCCACAGCAAGAATCTGAAAATGAGGTGTTGGATACACAATTAGAAGATAGTGCTATGGATGATGGTGGAATAGATGATTACCCGGACCTGTTAGATGAGGGTAAGTGGTTTAGGAAGCAATAGCAATAGAAAAAGCAATAGGGGCAAAATGGTTTGTGGACTTTCGAGATGAGAGAATATTTGAACAATTCGAGAAGTTTTTCGAGGTATAATAAATTGTGGTTGAAAACCGTTCAATAGTAGTCAGATAATATAAAAGCTGATACATCTCACATTCGGCCGTCTGATCCCGAACTAGGCGCGGCCTGTAGGTGATATGGAAACCAGACTGCTTATAAACATACTAATATATTACTAAGTTCAGACATGTTATAGATAAACTACAGACACTAATAAAAAGGTCTCTGTCGTCTCACAATTATTTAAATTAAAATTCCCGCTCAAAATGGTTTAAAATAAAATTCTCATTGGAACCACTAAACTTCGTTGATGAATGTTAAAATAACTAAAAGAATATAGGTTGAATGAAAAACAAAGGAGAAAAGGTTACTAAACTATTATGTCATCATCGTCATCATCATCATGATGATGGTTCTCTCAATGCACGCCACTTTGATCAATTTCCGGCTTATTATAAGGTTAGATTATTGCGTATATTGCGCTGGCTACCATCAAGCGAGCGGTATACTCCTTTGCACAATAGGTTTATTTAAAATTGTTTTCAGATGTGCAAATTATAAAAAAAGAAGCAAAATCAAAATTAAAGAAATCACCCAAGCAGAAGAAAAGTTTGATTAAGAAGACTGTCGGTCGAAAGTCTACCGTCGCTCACGATGGAGTGGCTAAAAAAGAAGTACTTAAGAGAAGGATTAACCAGAGATCGGAGAATAGCGGTTAGTGTTTTCCTATTATAGTGGTATAACATTGTTTTTTTTTTCTAAAGACTATCCTGTGTGGGATTTACAAAAATACATAAAACAGACACAATGATCACCCAGACTCAGAACAACAATTTATGGAGCACACAAAGCGTCGTCCTATGTGGGGATCGAACCCACAACACGGGGTGTAGTGGTAAGCAGCGAGTTGCGTCCGCTTTAGCCAGTCCGCCATCCGTGTAGTCAAATATATACATTGTCAAACAAGCAGACCTGATGCATCAAGAGACACCAGTGCGTTACCGCCCTTCAAGTGATTCCCACCTCAGGATTAAAGGGGAGGCAGTTTGGTCCTGCGGTATCTTACTTACTTGGTGAAATTAAATGATAGAGTCGCTGTGAGAGACACCGGTTTTCTGTGAGAAAATTTCCACCTGAGATAGCTAATTTTCTTTTGTTACAGAAAGCCAAGATCACTACCAATATATCAAGAAACCAAACGTAGAAACCGAATACAAATCCTGTGCGAATACAATCACAATAGTCGAAAACTCCTTTGTATGCCCCTTCTACACTTCCTATAGCAACTACTATTGTATTTACTGCAAAGAAATATTTACGGACCCAAATCAACTACGAGAACACACCTCCACTCATGACCCAACAACATTCAAAGACAACATAGCAGAAAGAAAATTACTCTTAGTTGACATTGTCCGAATCGACTGTCGCCTTTGCCTGACAAAAATTGATGACATAGATTTATTAAAAAGTCACCTTACCAACTGTCACGATAAAAAATTCTACCAAACTTCTATGGATTTTTTAAAGTTCCGTTTAACCATTAATAATTTGACGTGTACCGAATGCGGAAGTACGTTTAGTTTCTTTCACGCATTAAAAAAACATATGGCTGAGCATTTTGGTCCGTGTATATGTGATAAATGCGGCGCTCATTATTTCGAAGAAAGAATGTTAATTTTGCATCAAAAGTCTCACCAGAAAATAGAAGTATCGTTTTCCTGTAAAGATTGTGGTAAAACGTTTAAATCTAAACACAGTAGGAATTTACACGAAACTAAAATGCATAAGAAAGAGCCGGCGTATCCTTGTTATAAATGCGACGAGGTTTTGTTCTCCTACTCTTTAAGGTACAGACATATGATTGATGTACATGGTGACAAGAGAATGTTCCCTTGCGAGCACTGTGATAGAGCTTACGACAGCCGAAAGTCCCTTCGAGAACACAACCGTCGTTACCATTTAAAAATTTTGAAACACCAGTGTGACCTATGCGATAAAAGATTCTACCTACCATCGAGATTAAAGGAGCACATGGCAACACATACGGGGGAAAGAAATTTTCGATGTGAATATTGCGGGAAATCTTATCCAAGATTAAGGGGTCTTAAAGTTCATATGCAATCACATAATAATGAGAAAAAATACAGTTGTGTTATGTGTAACGCTTCTTTTACACAAAATGTTAATTTGAAGAGTCATATGAAACGGCAACATCAGAGCTTAGATATAGAAGGCGCATATGCTGAATAACCTAATATATTTATTATTCTTTTGTATTTAGAATAATATAATAGGAATCTCAAAAGTAATGTTTTATATGTACATTAAAATAATATTAAGACTGCCTCATCTTCTATGTAACGGTTCCGGGTCAATATAAACAGTTTTATTCTTTAGAAAAGTAGTAAATTTTGCTGTAAATTTTTAGCCAAGGCAGTTGTACTTATTATTGTGGCTAGTAAATATTAATATGGGGTGACTTCTTGAAAATCAATAAATTCTTGATGGTCTGTCGATGTCGGTCTGTGTCTGATCTCCAGATCTTTTAATAAGCATAATTTAAAATGCCTCCGTCTAAAATTTTATATGTATGCATACTACGATCAAAGTATTGTATGTTTGTTAAATTTTAAGCTTCAGAATAATTAAGGACAACCTCTTAAAATTTGTTCAAACAAAATTCAACAAAATTATAATATATATCGCTGTTAAAGAAATTTAAACAAATATTTGCAGTGTAGGTAACTAGAGGGTAGTTCAGTTTATTAAGGACTAGCTGTTTTTCACAGTACCTTATACCAGTATACGTTAATAGCCGTGATCCATTGCTAAAATTCGTAGCGTGATGTAATGTAACGTACATATGTCCGTACAATAACCGTCTTTAATTAAAACTATCCAATATAAAAACAACTTTTCAAATACCACTGGCATTTCAGAGAAAAACGCGTTTAAACAAGCAATGGAACAAACTTACAAGTATTGGCTGTTCACGAATGTATTTTGGGATATGCGCGATATCTTCGGTCCCAACGGAGTTTCGTGCCGCATATTCCGCGTCCAGTCCATCCTATCTGCCTTACTGCTATCAGCTGATGTTATTAGAATAGAATAGAATATATTTTATTTGCATTGATTGTAGGTACATAAAATAGTGATGTTAACAAGTTTTCTAATCCTTATACAATCTACCTGGACTAGGCATGCAAACATTAAAAATGCATCAAAAATTAACAATAAATTCAAAACAACAAATAAATTTTTGAATGATTACAACTTATAATATTAATATAAATAAAGTGGTCAAAATAATTACGTCAGCAATATTGATTGAAAGAAGGAAAATAAATTCAATGTCAAATAAACATAGGTAATGTCAAAAAAACTAACATCTAAAGTTTATCATTCAAAAAATCATTAATTGAATAATAACACTTATTTAGCAGAAGTGTAGTCAGTTGGTTCTTGAATGTTTCTAATGTTTCATTTTTTATAACATTGGGTATTTTGTTATAAATAACAGGAGCCATGCCGAAAACATTCTTCTTCAGTAACGCAGTATTATAACCACCAACTTGCAACATATTTTTATATTGACTTCTAATCGGTCCTTTCCTTGTTTCTGATATACATGTAAAATAATTTAAGTTAACCCTCACGAAGACTGCAACTTCAAAAATATACATACACGGAAATGTCAACAACTTTAGGGATTCAAACATTGGCACACAACTGTCTGTCATTTTAAGACCGCACATTGCCCGTATGCAGCGTTTCTGTGCTTTAAAAACCTGTTCTCTTAAGGTGCAATTTCCCCAAAATACAATCCCAAACCGCAGAATCGACGCCACTAAACCATGGTAAGCTGTTAATATTGTGGTTATACTCACTTTTTTGCTAAATTTAATAGTACATATGCAGAAGTACTTAATTTTTTACACACCTCCTCTGCTTGGGGTTTCCATGTTAACTGACTGTCGATCAATATACCTAAAAATTTAGCAACATTTACTTGTTCAACACCTTGTCTATTATATTCTACTGTTAGATTTTGTATTGGTTTACGTTGATACATCATTAAAATACGTAATAACGGGCTATATTCAGTGGGCTCTTTTTTAATATTATTAGTATTCATGTATTAATATATTGTAGTTAATAATTCTAGTACTAGCAAAAGAGCTTTAATTTTAACTATCATCGTAGATTATTTAAAAGATTACAAACATTATTTTTAAATTATTCATTTTTTTTCTTTTTTTTATGTTGAACGTTGTAACTTGAGTTTAACGTCGGGTAAATAATTTTGTAATTTGGACTAAATTGAACTTCAATAAACATAAAAATTCGACCCATCCCGTCCTATCTGTCGCGTGATACATCAAACATCAGAATGTTCAAGCATTGTAATAAAATGTCAAGATATTAAACAAATTTCTGTATCCAAACGTGTTGGTAATGGTACTTAATTTACTGTAAAGAATAAACATAGCTAAATTAACATTCCTTTTATTGAGATTTACCTATTCCCACGAAAAAAATAACAAGATAGGTATGAGCCTGTTGGTCTAGTGGTTGGTGACCCTGACTGCTAAACCGGAGGGTTCGATTCCCACCTAGAACAAGTATTTGTGTTATGAGCACGATCGTTTGGGTGTAATTACCTATGATATGTATGTATTTAGAAATATATATTTATCAGCGGTCTGGTTACCATAGTACAGGCTCTGCCTAGTTTGGAATCAGACAGCCGTGTGTGTGATGTGTGAGGTTATTATTATTATAGGTCTCCCATACCTATTGTACAAAGAGGGAGGATCCTCCGACCAGGCGAGGTGATCATGCCTTGCTGGCCGCGGCCCTACGAATGATAATGATGAACTTATAAATATATATATACAGGGTTATTGTGTCAGTCGACCTAACTACTTTAAGGGGTTGTGGTTGCCATTATTTTTGAAAGATTTTACTATGAAATACCATATCCCAAAAATATCCATCTTTAAGATATTGGACTTTTATGATTTTTTATAAAAATCGCCGAAATTTTGCCTAATTCAATTTTTTTTGAACTTACGTTCCTTATTTTATGCTTTTTTTATTGCATTGTGTAGTTGATAAATTGTTTTATAATTTCAATTCCTAAAATTGTAGTTAACTTAACAAACTGGGCCGAAGTAAATGGTTAATAATAGGAAAAATAAATAAATTTGTAAGTTTTTTTTTATCAAATATTATAAAAAAATCGTTCGTAATCTTCAATAGTATTAGAAGCACAAATCAAAGTCTACTTAGCAATAGTTAGAAACAGTCTTTATAGATAACAGTCAGATGACTTTAATTGAAAAGATTTGTTTTCAATGAAAAAAACGAATGGAAGAAGTTTAGGGTTTCTTGCATTATTAATCTTGTAAGCTCTAAAGCTTGCCTCAATTGGTTAACAAGTTATTTTCAATTTAGACATAAGGTAAGGTAAAAAAAGGTAATTACATTTTCATTATTAGGCCTCTCGTGTACCGGACCGTAGTAGGTAGGTAGTAGGGACCGTAATAAAACTTACCATTCATTTTATGAATTTAAATTGTGGCAACCCAAATCTTGATAACTCAATTCTGTCAATCTCAATAAATAAATTGTCGTTTTGCTTTTCTAATAGACGTACTCATAATTTTCAAAACAATAAACATAGAAAATACAAACAAAAATGTGATCTAAACAGAATAATCCTACGATTACCAGCCGCACATTTTTACCCTCCAAAATGACTGCCACCAAGGGCAAAGGGCCTATTTTCGACCCAGGATTATGTAGATGTTGTGGTAACATGAAGAAATGCCGTGTTTTGAATGTGGAATACGAGAGTTTAGGTCAAAAGGAGGTTTATTCAGACATGATAATGGACTGCTTTGGACTGCTGGTAAGTTTAGTAATCGCCAAGTAACTGCAACTACTATAGGAAGACGAGAGAGTCCTATACACATTTCTTTTATTTATATTAAAAATCTGCCTTTATGCACTGAGATAGTACATGAAATATTTAAATAATCATCATCGTGATCTTGCCCTTTGCCGAAAATTTATCTTCTCTAAACTGCTTTGGAGTAAGAAGCATTTCTAGCCATTATTCTTTTACGCAACCCATCCATCGTTTCTTTGATGGTCCTCTACTTAGAGTTCCCAACCTTACAGTTTAAAACAGTATAATACTTTTTTTCGTTCATAAATACTTTTTACTGTTCTATAAAATAATAAGTATACCAAATGCTGTTTTTATGTCCGCTGGTATTGAAAGTAGCAGGATGACAGAAATAGAGCTTCTATTTATTTAAAAAAAAATGAGCTCTTCATTTATTTCAATATTAACTTAAGTTGTGGAGAGCCTCATGAATGTTATAAAAATTTCAAAAAATCTGTTTTCTTTTGTAAAATACTGTTAACTTTAATTCTCCAACGTTAATATTATTCATTTCTCGTACAAAAAGTTGGGAACCCTACCTCTACTCTTAAATTAGGCAACATTCATACATAACACTTCACTACATTTTGTTCATCTCCACTCATGATGTAATTTATACTACTGTATACTTAAGTACTTACTATTAGATTGATTATGTTTTAGTCTCACTTAATCTGATACACACACCTAAATATAAAATGATATCATTTCATTACTCTTTCTTTCTTACCATAAAGTTTTTTAAACATGCTCTTGACCAAAATTATAGTCTGGAAGGAGTTCGTTTGGTATAATCTTTATTTATTGTTAAAATAAAATAAACTAGAAAATAATTTTGCAAAAGAATCACTGTATGTGGTTTTTAAGCAAAGTTAAAAAAACTTTAATGAATTTAAAATTTGATAAACAAATTTTTGTATTTTTTCCCAAAGCCTATTTATTTTCCGTCCGTGCCGTCCGTGTGGTGACGGATTAAGAATATGGAGTGTCACCATCTCTATTTATCCCAAACTATGCAGAATAATGGCACACGCAAAGAGAACAATGTGAAAAAAACTAGACATGGTACAAACTGTGAACTGTGATTTATCATTTGATTTTTTTTGTACATAGGTTAGGGTTGCTACCTACTCACCCTTTGTTGCCAATAAGCTGTTTTCAGACGATGCAAAAAGACACTATTTCACCTATTTAACAGCTAATCTAGTAATTATTTTTATATAATATAGATACCATTCAATACATGATAACTAAAAAAATACTGGATTTGCTGTTAAATAGGCGAAATGGCGTTTTTATTCACAGATCATTCACAGTTCACTGTAATTTTGTCCCATGTCTAAAACAAACCCTTTTCCTTCTCTGGCCAGGACAGGCCTATGTCCAGTAGTAGACTATTAAAGGCTGTTGATGATGATGTATTCTAAATTGGTGGGTGGAAGTTTTGTTTTATAATACTAAGGTATAAGGGTATAGGGTACTTCGAGGTTAGCTGACTAGTAGAGTTCCCATAGGCCCTTTTTCAAGGAGATCAATGTTGATAATGTCACCGCCTGAGACGCTGCAACTTATTAAATAACCAAGAGTTTAGGTATAAAGACATTTATTCTCATATAAGATTTACATGACTTCGATGAGAACATGGCCATTGAAAATATTGATAGTGTTCATCGTCACAAAGATAACAACATAGTAAATACTTAACAGTAATACATACGTCATCAAGTACAGGTGTCCATCTGTACACACACAAACACAACAATAATTACCATGCTAACACACTATATAATATTAAAGTTGTTATTCTAATACATTGAATGCATTTGTTGCAGCTTTCTCATCTCGATGGGTCTCCGTCGGAGCGTCTAATTTGCGCAATGTGTGTGACTCGCATTCGTGATGCGCTCAGCTTCCGCCGTCAGGTGTTGAAGTGTGAAGAAGCATTTTTGCATATGAAAATATATGATGCAAAGGCTGAAAGTAAGTTTTATGTTCTGTATTGTACACTAATTGTTACCTATAGCACACAGTAGGTTATAATAATCTAGGGCATACTGGACAGCTAGAACAGATCCGCCATGGATCTTTGGCCAAAGAAGAATCATAGCTACTTCTCTCACCAGATGGTACGACTTCTTATCGTACAGACTGAATCGAGAATTAACTGTGTTGCATTGACTGGAGGTAATGTGTGCTGTCACGGTGGCGTCTGTCCTGAGAATACTGCACTCCACATCCTACTGGACTATTAAGGGGAGGTGGGCTAAGTAGCGCTACGAGTATGACCTTACAATAACTGTAGTTATGTAAAGCCAGTGGCTGTAGATTCTAGTGCTATGTTGCAATAATATAGCATTTGAGAGGTTTGTCTTCTTGCAAGTAATTAAGGGGGTCTATGCGGGGTATGCCCAGCAGTGAACATCCAATGTTATACCTTCATGTCTGTGCTATGATTCCAGGTAACGTCGGTGACCCTAATATGGTGGATGCTTTAATGGAGCCTCGTTTTAAATCCTCATTTATTGAAGTGGAAGTTGTGAAATCAGAACCTTTAGATGCACTAGATATGGATGATCGGAGCGAAGCTGGTGACGCTCTCGGTGATGCACTGGGTAAGTTTGGGAGTCTTCTGTTTCTAGATCTAGATAGCCAGGTTTTTGAAGGACCAAATTACAACACCGCTGCGACTTATTATTATCACGCTAGCGCAAGACTCGCGAAAGGTCGAAATCTAAAATACAAGGTCGTAATCTGTGATAAAAAGACGAAAAGTCTATGACGAAATCACAATCACTCCCACGGCAACAATCATTTAGCCCAACTGGAGGGGTTAGCAATAATAGTATGTATAATATTTTTGGACATCCAACACCCAACGCTGTCTAGTTTCAAACTAAGCAGAGCTTGTACTATGAAAGCTAGATTGACTGATAGAATACTTTCATACTTTTTTTTTGTAAATACGTAAATATTATACATAGAACACCCGAACGCCAAAACAAATATTTGCAGATCATACAAACATTTGATCCGACCCGAGACCTCAGCACAGCAGCGCATGCGCTACCACTGCACCACCTAGGCAGTCAATGCCAGTAACGTGTGAATCACGTTACAATTATTTACTAAATAGAAGAATAGAAGAAGAAGTTATCTTCTTCTATCTTCTCCTACAAACTTCATTGAAATTATTATTTGCAGATGACGACCAAAAACCTGAAATAAGTCAAGATTGGAATTCAAAGGATGATATTCTTAAACCACACGTATTAAATAGGAAATCTGCCACTTCCTCCAGTAAGCGAAGAGAGACTAGAAGCCGTGGCGCTGCGAGCTTGGCTAAACAGATGCTGATGACCAAACGAAGTAAGTATTTAACCTGGGGTCTTATTGAACGGTTTTCAATAGCCAGTATAACTTGAACTATCATTGTATAGACTCTTATACTGTGATAGGTTGAATATATATTTGTCGCCTTTAGTTTCATTTCACTGTTCTTAAAGGGTCGTTCTTTTCAGATTTTGCCGAAAAGTTAAAACAGAAATCAAGATGGCCTGTAGGCCGAATACAGCGACCTGCGGCCGACGCAACGGGATCATACGAGTCTCCTATTAAAACAGGTATTACTAGTAAGCTATAGAACTGGAATGGAGGGCCAATTTTTTTATTTTGACGTTGGCCAGAAAAAAAGTTGCTGTTTATAGTGTTACAAACACATACCTAAGAGTTTTACAGTGAATACAAAATCACCTATATAGAATTTCATCTATGTAATATGTATTGAAAGATCCGCAAAAAAAGTCACGGATACGGATACGGTTACGGATCTCTCTTCTCCCTTGGATATCCGCGGATACGGATACGGATATCCGGCACATCACTTCTGACTGCTAATCCGGTGGTCGCAGGTTCGATGCCCACCCAGGACAAATAATTATGTGAGCTTCACGTCGGGCTCGAATCCGGAACCACTTAATACGGCCAACGTTTTCGTCATGACGCAATGGCGACTTGCACATATTTTATTTAATTAAGAAAAACAAACAGTGACATATTGTTTCTTAAAAACTAGCCTTAATAATAGAAACATAAATATCCAACTCTTACCATTATCCACGACTTATAACAAATTCTTAGTTCAACGCAATCTATCAAAAAACGAGTACCATTGAATGGAATAATAATTATTATTATTTCACACATCTCACATACGACTGTCTGATCCCAAACTAGGCAGAGCCTGTACTATGGTGACCAGACTGCTGATAAACATACTTAGATATTACTAAAATACATACATAATATAGATAAATTACACCAGGAACAGAGCAAATGATTGTGCTCATCACATAATTACTTGCCCTGTGTGGGAATCGAACCCACAACCTCCGGCTTAGCAGTCAGGGCCACTCACCACTAGAACAATAGGCCTGTCAACAGAATAAACTTTACACCAGTTTAGTACATGATACATACAATAGTATATAAAGTTAATGAACATGTACAAATGGCGGCCTTATCGCAAAAAAGCATTTTCTAATAGGCAACCTTTAGATGGACTTTAGACTGTAGATCGTTGAATTTATGGGCAATTTTGGTGTGAAAAAGTGTAAATAAATCATAAAATATTTAGATCACAAAACAGCACTTGATATTGATAAAAAGTAAATAACAAATCTACTTATATAAATCTATACTAATATTATAAAGCTGAAGTTTGTTTGTTTGTTTGAACGCGCTTATCTCAGGAACTACTGGTCCGATTTGAAAAATTCTTTCAGTGTTAGATAGCCCATTTATCGAGGAAGGCTATAGGCTATATATCATCACGCTAAGACCAATAGGAGCGGAGCACCAATGAAGAAGAATGAGAAAATTTATTACTATTGAGAGACGCAGACGAAGTTGCGCGGGTCAGCTAGTACATTATAAATAATCTGTAAAATATACACACACATTAGGTAGGAGTATTTTTAGGTCATCTAATCTAAGAAGTACCGTTTGACATTTTATACTTTTCAAGCCGAAACAACTTTGTATAGGCATAACTAACACAATCTCAATAACCTTTTCCGTAAAACTAAGATTTATTACTAGTAAAGTAAAGTAGTTGTAGTAGGTAGTAAATGAAGTAATATACTGGATTTACAGTAACATACATAAATCTGTAACGCTAATAAATTAGTAAATACAAAAAAATTGTGTTGATATCTCTGAGGAATCTAATATTGTATTAATCGATTTCTTTAATCTCCTCCCTATTCTTCAATCTGTCAGAACCGTCAAACGGTACTTCTTAGTTTAGATGGACTATATGAAAGACAATCCAAAAATCATAAAAAAGCAAGTGAATGGTCAGAAATCCTGGTGTTTAAAAAAATATATACAGTTAAAATTTACACATTTTTACAGAACTTCAAATGTCGAAATTGCAGCAACAAATGCGAGAAAAGGACCCCAGCTACAAGAGAGAGACAAACATACTAACGATAGTGGAATACTCCTACGTGTGTCCGTTCAAATGCAGACACAACCACCTACTTTGCTACTACTGTGGTGAAATATTCTCAGATCCTGTACTTCTCAGAGAGCATACCATAAAGAGTCACCACCCAAAGAAATTCAAAGTCACAGAACACAGGAGTATGATCAAAGTCGATTTGACGAGAATCGATTGTCGTCTCTGTACTGTCAAAATTGATAATTTAGACGAGTTTCGAAGTCACATCACTAGTGCACATGATAAGAAGTATTATTTTGACTTAAAAGATTCGGTGTTGCCATTTAAATTGTCAAGGGAAGAGCTAAAATGTGCCATGTGCGATGTTCTTTTTCCATACTTTCATGCACTGAATAAACATATGAATGAACATTTTAGTAATTATGTTTGTGAAACTTGTGGCTTAGGTGAGTTATATTATTTAATCGCCTTTAAAAATAATGGAGGCGGCTCAATTGGTTGTATTTTTTTTTTCAATTTCCTTCTTAAGTTTTTTTTTGTCAAATGTCGAAAATTCTCTTTATATTTGAGAAAATATTACTGTTCTGAACCTGTATCCGTTTGTGACACCAATCGAACAATATGACGTTATTTCGTTTTATTTTATAAACGGCGAACGACCAGACCGTTCGCCCCCTTGTCCGTGTGGTGACGGATTAGGAATACGGAGTCTTACCACCTCTATTCATCCCAAGGGCATCATAAGAGGCGAGTAAGACAACAGTACTGCAAAGATGAAAACCCTATACCAACCCGCCTGGCCAGCGTGGTATAGTAGGCCAAAACCTAAGGAGAAGCCTATGTTCAGCAGTGGACTATTAAAGGTTGTTGATTATGATGATGATGATGATGATGATGAACGAGCAGACGAGTCACCCACAACTCAAGAGACATGTTATCGTTGGCACCTTTTGAGTACCCTCCCGTATTAGGGGGAGGGGCTTGAACCTCCTATAACCTCTCTTACTCGCTGGATACGGAACGGAAGAATTGCATAAAATCGATTTTGTGTACCATTGGTCGATTTAGCTTTTATTTACCAGAGCATGGCTCTCCCATGGTAACTGTTACCCTCATATAGTTCACAGCATTTCCAGTATATTATTCATGTTTGAAATATCAAGTGTGAAATAGACAAAGAACCTACGAATTTTCTTTATCATATTTTCAGGGTTCGTGGACCATGCTCGGTTTATGATGCATCAGCAGCGACATGAAGAGGGAGAGTTTCCTTGCCCCACTTGCGGCAAAATCTTTAAGGTATTTGGATTAATGGTGTCTTTTATGGTCTCAGTTTATTGTTAATGATTACTCTTTAACACGAGATTTTCATGGCGAGTAATTCTCCCATCCCTATTAAGAATGTAAGATCTGCAAATCAGCAATTTTACAGGAAAGCGCGTCAAAGTTTAAAATTGCTTAATTATATATACATTTATATATAGCATAGTAAGGATATATATTATAGGAGCTGGATACGAGAAGCCCAAAATCGATCTAAGTGGCGTGCAAAGGGTGAGGCCTATGTCCAGCAATGGACTGCGATAGGCTGATGATGATGATGAAGGATATATCTATATATATATATACTATACTATATATATTTACTTTGTTAACATGGATATTGTTAAAGCTGCAGAAAAACATTTTATGGTCAACAGTAAGTAAAATAAAGACAAAATCAAGAAAATTGCATATACGACCTTTTTAATAGGGACAGGCGCATTGTGTGATGAACACGTGTTCTAGGTGTAATTCATCTATAATATGTATGTATTTAGAAATATATAAGTATGAATAGCAACAATCTGGTTACCATAGTATTGACTCTGCCTTGTTTGGGATCAGATAATAACCTCACACATCTCACACACGTGTAAGGTTATAACTATGGATTTCCAACTTCAATGACAGACCATCGCACCCATCACGCACTTAATAGACTTAAATGATTGTCTACGCACCAATCAACGCCTGTGTAAATGACGTGATATGTGTTCCGCCAATGAGAGTGTGGCCACTCTGGCCATATATAAAACCTTTTCTTATGTACCTTTTTATATACTTTTTAACAAGCGCACGTTAATCATGTTTGTACCTATGTATTTTCTAAATCCATTATACGAGTTCAAGAAAAACAGTTTTACATCTTTTTTATCCACGCACCAGACGCCACAAGCTATCGAACGATCAATGATGATGAATAGAAAGAATCCAAGATAATTGAATTAATAATACTTTTATGTGATCTTAGGCGCAGTACAATCGAGATCTTCACGTGGATAGAGTACACCGCAAGAAAGGGCGGGTGTACTGCCCGAAGTGTGACGTCAAATTGATGTCCTACCCGCAAAAATTGAAACATTTAGTTGAGGTATTATGCTTATTTGTTTTACATATATATACACACACACATACACACAGTGTAAGCTGTTTTTAGCTTTTGTTAGTCGTGTCTAGGGGCTGGCAACAGGCGGACCGCGGTCCGAATACGGACTGGCGAATATTTAAAATATACCTACGTATTAAATTTAAATTCCAGAGATATCCAAAATGGCTACCATTTTCGTACGTATTTTACATATAAGTACGAACGAATGATGTGATTTTAATGTTATAATTTTAAATGTCCATAAGGATGGGAGAGGCCTATGTCCAGCAGTGGACTGCGATAGGCTGATGATGATGATGATGATGATGATGATAAGCATGATGATGAAAACACACTAGTGAGTATTATTAATACTTTTTCCTAGACCTCAATAAAAAAAAATCGACAGGATCCGTTCTCCAGTCAAAATTACTTGCCCACCCCTTTTTTCTGTGCGGAGCTCCCCTCAGATACTACCTACCAGTGGGGTGGTTATATCGGACTCGAACCGACTGAAGCTAGAGAACCAGGAAAAAAAGCCCTGGTACCCCGAAGTACCTCGTGCCATCTATGGCTTATAGATGACCCCCTCCTGTGTGGGAACCCCGATGTTCCCACCGTGGACTTGCCGACCCCTGGTCTATACAGATAGGGTTAAACGTGATCTGTGACTTGCTAGTCTTATTAGCTTCGTCCTTTCTCCTGAGCCAGAGGGCGTAGGTTCGATCCTCACACTCCAAATAGTCTGCAGCGTGTAAATTTGTGACATGGTAGACCCATGATGCTATGGCATATGTTGGGAGGGTTCGACCGGAGTACCACGGCCTCACAAAAAATGCTTCTCACCAAGTGATTGAGGTTACCGGAGCCCTAAGTCTTTAAGGACTGCCAACCCACTTGTCTCTTGAGTTTAAAGTGACTTAACCAATAACATAAAATAATTATAGATCCTTCTTTTATAATCTGCAGCGTTTTTGTAAATAGGTAATTCTGTCATAGGTTAAATTATCCGTATAATTATCCGATGCTGCGATGATGAATAATCTTTACAGGTCCATGGTGAAGAACCATTGAGTTTCTCTTGCGACATGTGCGAAAGGGTGTTCGATTCACGGCGGATACTTACCATACACAAGCGTAAAGAACATCTCAAAGATTATAGGTATGTATAGTGTGTAAGTGTTAAGGAACAGGTAATATGTCCCTCCAACACAAATGGAGGATCCTTCGACGTGGTTAGGTGATCATGTCTAGCAGACCGCGGCCCAACGACGTCCAGAGGTCTTCGCAACATCCAGGGGACGTATGTTAACTAACGGTACCTGAATAGATGCAGGTCCTGGGGTGTCTTGGTTGTTTGGTGGGTAGAGAACCGTTTCAGTCTTCACGCCGCCACGGCTGTCTGTTCGAGCTCGAGATGCGACCAGACTACACCAGACGAGGTCCAGCTCCGAGCAGCCAGCGACAAGGGCGGTGACTTACTCGCGGTCCCCTACAATGTCAAGCCTGGGCCCAACGGTTGATATTGAGAAGTTGTATATATCCTAATCAGCGCGAGAACTTTGATTGCGCGATGTAGAATTAGTATTTGCTTCGTAGTTCAGTAAGTCTTCGTTAGAGGGCGCTGAATTACGTTTGAAAATCGCCACGTCCACACTTACGTTCTCATTCGATTGCTATACGCAGATGTGTATTTGTAGTAGTCTGGTTGTTTCTAAGTAGAATGTGTATTTATGTATATAGTAAGAGTCCATCTGTATTCTCCATGTGCTAAAGGAAAACTTGACACAAACCCTACACCAAACCGTCTGGCCAGCGTGGTATTACTATACCACGCTGGCCAGACGGTTTGGTGTAGGCCAAAACCTCCTTTCTAAGGAGAGTCTTATGTCTAGCAGCGGACTGTTAAAGTCTGTTGATGATGATGATGCTAGAAAGTACACTTACCTTAGTTTATCTCTAGATAGTGATCATTTATTTTTCTGAATACTTTTTTCTAGATATGAGTGTCAATGCTGCGGTCAAAAATTCTTTACCCGCTTTGCTTTAAACAACCACATGCCAACACACACTGGCGAGAGAAACTTCAAATGCAAAGTCTGTGATAAGTCCTACCCTAGACTGAAGACGCTCAAAGACCACATGCGGATCCACACCAACGACCGCAGATACAGGTGCCATGTGTGTGGACAAGCCTTTATACAAAACTGCAGTCTCAAAGGTCATATGAAGAGTCAGCATCCGGAGTATGGATAATGTAATATTTAATGTTTAACAAAAGTAGATTAAACGTGAATTAATAACTAATTTTAAATAATATCTGGAGATTTGGATTCGATATTTTGAAATGTCAAATGTGACAGTGACAGATGACTTTGACAGTCACCAATCTGTCGAAATTTCATTCCCATTCGAATATTAATTTGTAACTTATTTCGATAATCTACTACTACTACCTGACTATTTTCGGTAGTAGGAGATCTAACTTATATTGATATTAAGGAAATAAGTAATAAATTACATACTTATTTTAGTGGTCAATAATTTAAAAAAAATCTAAGGGTTGGGTTTATTATGCTAACCTCCTTGCTATTAACATTGTTTTTTAAATCTCAAATAAGATAATGTAGGCCCACCAATAAAATCATATGACAATAAACAATAAAATATTTGATATTTATATTCATAACTTAAATAGATTCATTGGTATCATTGGACTCCAGAGCGGTCTATAGTCCATTCGCGATAAGGAAATAGTGACGCAACGATTAGGCCCCGCCTCCTGACCTATCAGGTTCGAAGAAATTAACGTTGCGAACGTAAGCTTCAAACCTGATTGGTCGGGGTGCGGGTCTTGATCAATTCCACACTATTTCTTAACACGAATGCACTACAGGTGTTTGGGTGCCCCACATCTCTGAGGATTTAAATTGATCATCAAGATGCCTTGATCATCATTATAATGTCTGTACTCTTATCCCAGTTTTACTTGGGGTTGGTGCTAACTTCGCAAAGGGCTGGTTTCTTTCTTTATCTATTAAATCAATCTTTTGATTTGTATATACGACGTCAATACAGAAGAGCATATACCTTTTATCCAGAAACAAATGAGTTACTACAATAACGCAAACAAATCCACATGCACAAACTAGTTATTCATACCAGAGATGAAAGGTATATGAAATTTCCAATTTACATGTATCTCTATAATCATCTAGATAATATTTATATCGTTAAATCGGTTTCGGATACGTTTTCGGATATTAATTATTTCCCCAAATATCCGATTGTTTCAGTTTTTATTAAGTTATGGACATAACATAACAAAAACTGAAATAATCGTTAATATTTTCGCTATAATTATAAGTTATTTGTTAGTATAATCACAAACACCACAATTAGCTTTACAAGTAATTGTTAGTAGCTACTTAGTTTTAAGTGTTATCTGTTTAAATATTCACAACTATCATATATAAGTGCAAGATCATATGTTTATTTCAAATATAGAAATACTAAATACCTAAAATGAAGTTTCTTATTTAGACGCTGGCATTATCCGAGAATATATGTAGCTTAAATTAGGTTACGGTTTCGGATATTTTTTTGTTCGGATATCTAAAGGTTGCGGTTATGGTTACGAAACTAAGTAGTTTCACCCGTTCATTCTGTTTATTTTTATAGAATAGTTATAATGCTAACAGCATTTGCACATATAAGTTGCAGATTTAGTATTATTTGTCGTACATATTTATTTTATTGTAATAAGCAAAGAGGGGGGACGACGCCTCCTGTTAGAAACTATGTCAGTTAATTTCAAACACGGCCGTTTTACCCCAAACAAGGCAGAGCCTGTAATATGGTGACCAGACTGATGAAAAATATACTTAGATATTACTAAATACATACATATTATAAATAAATTACACCCAGACACAGAACAAAATGATCTTACTCATCACACAACTATCCTAGGTGGGAATCGAACCCACGACCTCTTTCTTAGCAACCAGGACCACTAACCACTAGACACAAAGTCTGTTAAAATGAATCGTTTTTTTTGTGCAGTTGTGTTTAATAAAATAAATATTGTAATTATAAATATAGATATACTCATAAGGAACGTAAATATGTAATTTATACATTACAAGTATTATATTTATTGAACTATACCTACTAGAAACAATATTTTGTATTGTTAATAAATTCATTGGATTAATAAATATATAAGATACAGTGTACTGTCTTTGTTTTTACCTTGGCATAGAGAAAGACAGAAGACCAACTGTCGTAATAAATATTCGGTCTCAATTCGTTATCATCATCAACAGCCTTTAATAGTCCTCTGTTGGACATAGGCATCTCCTTAGAAAGAAGGTTTTGGCCTACTATATCACGCTCGCCAGACGGGTTGGTATAGGGTTTGTTTCAAGTTTTCCTTCTCTTTGCAGTGCTATTGTTGTGCGTAGTTTGTTCCCTTAGTCGGCTCTTACGACACCCACAGGACGAATTGGGGTGGTGACACTTTGTATTCTTAATCCGTCACCACACGGACAGCGGACGGTCTCACTTCAGTACCTATCAACTTTGGATCTCGCAACTGTCATAATAGTCCAGGCACGTTGAACATGGATAACAAAAAAATGTTATCCAGAAACCTACGTTTTTAAATGGTTAAAAGGGTTAAAGTCAACATAAGGAAAATGTGTTATGTGCCCAAGAAAGTTAGGGGATGATTTTAGGGGTTGAAAAGGGGTGAAAATGGATACATCTCGTGTGTTTTGCAATTTCACGCGAAATTTGATGTCCCACTGAAAAATGTTAAATACAAAAGTTGTAGATCTTGGAAAAATCTACAACTTTTGTATGGGTCATTTTTTAATATAACCTCAAAATTTCAGAAAAAAATGCAATAAATCAAAAAAAAAAATGTTTTTTGTTTTTTACTTGTCAATTTCTCAAAAAAAATATTTTTAAACCAAACTTGCTGAAAGTACTCCTTTTTGTGTCCCAAACAACTAAAACAAAATTTTAGATTGAAATATTAAAACCTGTTTGAATGATTCATTTATTTCGGTCCGAGACACGTTGTTTTCAAAGTTACATTTTACTACCTACAATCATCGTAGAGAGGTCATACAGGGCTCATTTTTTTCGTTTTGACGTCTACTTTTTAATGAAATAATAAAACAATACAGCTTCCATTTAAAAACATGTCTAAAAATTGAAAAATATAAAAAAATCATTTTGCAACAACGAATTTTTTGGTTATTGTTAATAATTAGTTTTAATAAAAAAAAAAAAAAAAGTAATAAGACCATTGAATTGTACGGGAAAAAACACGAAGGAACATATGTTTTCCTATTTAAATACATTTTTTATTTTTGTACAATACTGCTATAAACATTGTAATAGCATATTCCGTGTAGTTGAAAGATGTCAGGTAAGTACATACAATGCGATCGACTTTTACTTTAATAAGAAAAGTTCCTCATTTCTCGCGATGAAATTAATTAATTCAATTGTTGCTCTTCTGCATTGTTTTACTGGATGTGATACAACATCCGCCTTTGCTGGCAAAGGAAAAACAACAAGTTTTAATTCGGTGATTAATGCTCCTGAGTTAAAAGAATTAGCACTGCCCTTTTATCAAAGTAATGCAGATCCCAAAGTCATTGCTCGAAATGGTTGTAAACTGATTGCATCGATTTATCAATCAAAAAAATCTAAAATACCACTGGATGATTTAAGATTTACACAGTTTAAATTATTAACTGCAAAGTCGACTTTTAAATTCGAAAAATTACCCCCTTCTGTTGGAGCAGCAATTCAACACTCGTACAGAGTATACTTCCAACTACAAATGTGGCTTGGACATACATTACAAGCAACGAAATGGGGCTGGAAACAAGTGATTGTAAATAATACAAAACTACTTATGCCACATTATACAGATGACTCACTTATTCCAGATGAGTTACTTAAGATAATTTGTTGCAGTTGTGAGACTGGATGTGAGGGCAATAGATGCGGTTGCAGAAAGCATGAGTTGCGATGCACAGAGTTATGCACAAAATGCCATGGTTCTGAAAGTTGTTCAAACGTTGAAAAAGTTTCAAAAGATTTAAGTGATTTTGATGAAATTTCTGATAATCCTGATGAAATTGAACAACAATTTCACATCTTCAACTCAGAAAATCTTGCTATGGAAAAGTTTCCAGAGGAATTTGATGAAGAAACGATTGAAGATAATGAGGAAGTCACATATTTCGACGAACAATTAATCGATGATGATCAGCCAAACTTACAATTAGCGAAAAGACAAAAATTAATTTAGTGTGCATAATGTATTCATTATTAAATATGTAATAAATCGCATAATAAATGTATAATATTTATGTGTATAAAGTGTAATATGATATTTATCAGTACTTGATCGTATTTCATTAAAAAATCAACTTGATTAAAATTGAGTTTTTCATTATTGTCATTTACCTCCATTATTTTTTTATTATTATTATTAGTAGTAGTATTGTTAACAATCTATTTTGTTGATATAAATTTCAATTATAAATTCGGTGCAAGTTAAATTAGATTCAGAATTCATTTTAAAAAATCATTCAATTATTTAAAAGCATGTTTTAAATAATTGTATACAAAAGTTAATTATAAGACGATTTATTTATCAAAATATGTAGAAAATAATTGAATAAATTAATTTCATTGCGAGAAATGAGGAACTTTTCTTATTAAAGTAAAAGTCGATCGCATTGTATGTACTTACCTGACATCTTTCAACTACACGGAATATGCTATTACAATGTTTATAGCAGTATTGTACAAAAATAAAAAATGTATTTAAATAGGAAAACATATGTTTCTTCGTGTTTTTTCCCGTACAATTCAATGGTCTTATTAGTTTGTGATTTTTTTTTTATTTTTAACAATAATCAAAAAATTTGTTTTTGCAAAATTATTTTTTTTATATTTTTCAATTTTTAGACATGTTTTTAAATGAAAGCGGTATTGTTTTATTATTTCATTAACAAGTAGACGTCAAAACGAAAAAAATGAGCCCTGTATGACCTCTCTACGATGATTGTAGGTAGTAAAATGTAACTTTGAAAACAACGTGTCTTGGACCGAAATAAATGAATTTTTCAAACAGGTTTTAATATTTCAATCTAAAATTTTGTTTTTGTTGTTTGGGACACAAAAAGGAGTACTTTCAGCAAGTTTGGTTTAAAAATATTTATTTTTGAGAAATTGACAAGTAAAAAACAAAAAACCAATTTTTTTTTTATTTATTGCATTTTTTTCTGAAATTTTAGGGTTATATTAAAAAATGACCCATCCAAAAGTTGTAGATTTTTCCAAGATCTACAACTTTTGTATTTAACATTTTTCAGTGGGACATCAAATTTCGTGTGAAATTGCAAAAAACACGAGATGTATCCATTTTCACCCCTTTTCAACCCCTGAAATCATCCCCTAACTTTCTTGGGCACATAACACATTTTCCTTATGTTGACTTTAACCCTTTTAACCATTTGAAAACGTATGTATCTGGATAACATATTTCTTTTTTTATCTCTGTAAATGAGTCAATGTGCCTGGACTATAATGGGTATTTTCGTAGTAAAATAGTAAAGTATTACTAAGACTAGCACATTACCGATTTTTCAGTTACGATACGATATAATCACATTACAGTCAACGTCGGACGTTTAAAACTACTACGAGAATACTTTCTATGACAGGTGTGAGATCGACAGTTGGTTGGAACTGAATTGTGACTGAACTTTTATTACGAGGTTTGGTCTTTATATGGTTGGCCTGATGGTAAGTGACTACCGCTGCACGTGGACACCTGCAACTCAATAGTCGCAAGTAGACATGGAAGTTTTGCTAATTTAAATCATATTTGATGAAAGGATAGGCTTAGTCAAAGCGATATCAAATGTGATCGTGATTTCGTTATAGACAAAGATAAATGGCATTAAATCAATCAAAATTCTTTTTATGACGATATCAGGGTAAACTTTCGATATTAAATCCGCTATGCTAGTCACTCTTTCTCCTAAATCGCGATCAATTTCAATTTTATTTTCAAAATGAGGTACTTTCCCGTCTCCTATTAAAAGTAACTTTTCATAGTTACTTTTAATAGGAGACGGAAAAGTTACTTTTAAAAGGTACAAATTTTCCTTCAGGAAAATTTGTACTACCACCCCCCAAATGTGCTCTCATATTCGTAGATAGTTTTAACACGTCTGCGAGCTAAATGCGCGTGGTAGCGCCTCGTAGGTGGCGGTGGCGGCGACGACGGCGGGCGGCCAGCAGGCACCGCCTCCCCCTCGCCCAGGGCAGCGTCTTGTCTTGCGCATCATGCGCGCGTGTGAATTTTGTTGCGGAGTTATTTTAAAATTGTATTATCTTCTAAGATGTTAATTGAAATTAAGTGATGTCAATTTTGTTTACAATTAAATACTGTTAATCAACAACACATTTATTTGGATAAGGATTTATATTATGTTGATAAAACTCTTTGGCAAATAATTGGCAGTAATGCATTAATTTTGCCCAAATTTGATTACCATACGTACAAGTACAAGGTTATAGTGAGTCAATCTTAAAAGATAGACATACTGTCGCGGAGATTTTTTTAGATCATTTAAAGAGGAATAATTCTTTCATACATATTTTTGGGTAACTTGAACTGTTTACGCAGCGCACGCAACGGAAGCCTTCAAATATGAATAATTCTCCCCGTTTTTGAAACATTTTCACTGATGTATCGCTCCTATTGGTCGCAGCGTGATGTTATAGCTTAAAGCCTTCCTCGACAAATGGACTATCCAATTTAAATAGATTTTTTCAAATCGAACCAGTAGTTTCTGAGATTAGTGCGTTCAAACAAACAAACTCTTCAATATTAGTATAGATTACCGTTAACTTACGTTACGGTAAATTGATCATTGAAATCTGGCAACATTACTACTAACGTCAAAAATAAAAAAAAACCAAAAGAAAAACAAAAACCCAGTAGCTTTGTTTTTATTTTATAAGTACCAGTTTAAACAACAATAAACGTTTAACTCATAATGAATGAAAAACCATTGTGTAGATGTTGTCTTTCTATTGAATGTTTTAAAAATGTGTCTGATGAATACGTTGTTGGTGATAGAAAGGAAATATACGGGGAAATGTTGTTGAATACTTTTAACATAAATGTAAGTTTTTTTTTTAATACCTTTTTTTCGTATGAAGCATTGAATAATATTGCCGGCCTGCTGTTATTACATTGTGTGCAAAATAAGATATTTTTCTAATGCAGGACACTTCCTAGAACTTGAAATACCTTGAGTTAATATTCCAATCTGCATTAAATCATATTTTGGATAAATTATTTAAAGCTATTCATATTTGTATGATCTGCAAATATTTGTTTCGGCGTTTGAGTGTTTTCTATGTATAATATGTATGTATTTACAAATACAGTATATAAGTATTCTATCAGTCAATCTAGCTTTCTTCGAACAATCTAGCAACTAAGCAGACTTAGTTGGAAAGTCTGTGTTCTGAGTCTGGGTTTTCTTTAAGCCTGTTTGATGAATGTTTGTAATGTCCCCTATGACACAGGATATTACAGTGCAGAATAATAATAATAATAATTTCCTACACGGTCGTCTGATCCCAAACTAGGCAGAGCCTGTACCACAGTAACCAGACTTCTGATAAACATACTTATTTATTTCTAAAAACACACATACAATAGATAAATTACACCCAGACACAGAACAAATGACCACGCTCATCACACAATTATTAGTCCTGGGTAGGAGTCGAACCCTCAACCTCTGGTGTAGCAGTCAGTGTCACTAACCATTAGACCAACAGGCCAGATAATAATAATATAATAATTATTATTAATATTAGTTGTTTAAAAAAATGTAATGCAGTACACTTGTGACTTTAAGTTGCAGGTGTTCATGGGCTGCGGTAGTCACTTACCATCAGGCCATCTGCTTGTTTATAAAAAAGTAAGCTCAAACAATTTTCAGGTTTTAAACTCATCAAACAACTTTAGCCTCATATGTGAGAATTGTATAGTTAAACTTAGAAATGCAACAGAATTCAAAGTGCAAGTACTCAAAGCTCAAGAAAATATATTCAAAGAATGGAATGGAACTTTAAAACATAATGGATCCTTGAAAATTGAATTGAATGACAGTGATGACTGTGGGGAGAAAGTTAATGAAAATTTTAACAACAGTGATTTTATATTGGATGATGAAACTCCTAGGCCATCAGGTAAATAATATAATAAACAAGCTAATTATTAAAAAAAAATACTAGACTGTGTAAAAATGTATAGGTACTTCAAATTTACAATGAAAGACCAATTCTAGTAATAAAAGTTCTGTAAAATTTTTGTTCCAATCAACTCTCGATCTTACAACTGTCATAAAAGGTGTTTTCGTCGTAAGTAACACTAAAAGTAACAGGTTGTCGATTCGATTTTCGATCGAAACAGAATTTTCACATAACTTTTACTGTGAAATTTGGCCTTCAGGCTTTATTTATTTCAATTTTCACATACCTAGTGTCACTCTCACACTGAAGACGAATCTTTCCCTCTCGAGCGAAAATCCATAAAGCCATTTAGATTACAGTGGGAGCCAAATAAATATACATAGATACCTTCTATAAACAACCCTCCTGATGCAGTTGGACAAAAATAATTCTTGTGGGCGCTTGATGTGCCTTCCCTAGTAAATTACAGTCCATTCGCGTTAAGAAAATAGTGACGCATAGATCAAGCCTCGCCTCCTGACCACTCAGGTTCCAAGAAATTATCGTCTCATACCAAAGCTTGGAATCGGATTGGTCAGGATGCAGGGTTTAATTTCAAAGACCTATCAACTATATAGTTATTGACTGGGTTATGTTAAGGCTGGACTTAAGACTATGTCAGACTATATTACTAAGACCATGACCAACACTATTCATAGAATAATTTCACTTCACACTGATCACAGAACTTTCTTTTGCAGACCAACTATTCACTATAAAATTGGAACCAAATTCAGATGAAGCAACAAACGAGAGTCATAAAAATAAAACAGTGAATGTTTTAAAAAATGTTCCAGATGTATCCAATATTAAGCAAAGAGTATTACGTTCCAAATTAACCAAGACTGGCGAAAAGACTTCGAAAAGTGTTACCAGAGCTAAAAATGTAAAGAAAGTTAATGCTGCAAAAAAATTAACAAAAGCATTCAAAAGTATGTATCAATAATAGACAATAAAAGTGATTTGGGTTGAATTACATGAAACATATGTATGTTATGTGGGGACCTGCTAGACCGAAGTTCAGGGTTAGTGGTTAAGTTGACCTAGATACTTAAGGGGGGTTGTAGTAGCCATTATTGCTGATAGATTTCACTATGAAATACCATATCCCAAACCTAACAATTTTCAAGATATATCACTTTTAAAGATTTTATAAAAATTGCCAAAATTTTGGCTATTACTAAATTTATATTTGTAAAAAAGTATTTTTTACAAATTTTATTTCATTTTGCTATTATCAACCTTTGCTATTATCTACTTCGGCCCAGTTATGGTGTACAATTTTGGTAATGCAAATTATAAATCAATGTATCAACGACATAAGAACAGTTAAAAAAAGAGAATAAGGATATGAGTTATTCTCAATTGTAAAAAAAAATTGTATAAATTTAGAACGTTAGGTTTGGGATATGGTATTCCATAGCGAAATTTAGTGATAACAATAGCTAATGCTACCCTCTAAGTATCAAGGTCGACTTAAGTGTTTAAGTGTTTAAGTTAGTATAATATTTATTGCTTAGTTGACGAAGGTCTTAAAGTATTTTTCAATACATAGTAATAAGTGTTAAATTTGTGTAGATGAAGTGATTTCAGTATTTAGTTTATCAAGTGAGTGCAGTTTCTAGAATCTAGACTGTAAAATTATTGCTAATTTTAAATCATATTCATTTGAGGAAATGATTGGTATTGGTCACAGCGATTTCACATGCATTTGTGATTTCGTCATAGACAATCATCAACAGCCCTTAATAGTCCACTGTTGGACATAGGCTTCTCCTTGGAAAAAAGGTTTTGGCCTACTATACCAAAGAGGTCAAAACCTCCTTGCTAAAGTAAAGTAATGATGATGCTGGAGTTTTTTTCAGGACTTAAAATTAATATCATTTTAACCTTTACACCTTTAAACGACTGTTTTCTTGTTACTTTCAGCTTCAGTAGCGTCTACAGAAGACAGAAGTTATGAAAGTCCACCGATAACTCAACCGGAAATCAAAGCCCGCGAAAATACCCTCAAATTAATACAAAACTCGAACCTATGTTTATTTCGTTCTCTAAAAACCAAGTTTGGTTGTTTCATGTGCAAAGCTAGCTTCGTAGAAGCAGCCAAGTTACGGGAACATTCCACAATCCACAAGAATACGACATTATTAGCACACAGGGTCAGTAAATGGAGGGGCCTGTCGTACAAAAATGCAGACATATCAAATTTGAAGTGCAATCAATGTTCACAAAATATCCAAAATTTAAATGACCTAATAAAACATTTGACGGAAAATCATAATATACCGTGCCGCGGTAACAGTAATTTTTTAATTCCATACAGATTAGGTGACGAAAATCAATGTGCATTGTGTGAATTGAAATTTAAAACATTTTTACGCTTATCAATGCATATGAATTCGCATTACACAAATAATGTATGCGAAATTTGCGGAATGTCATTCATCAATCGCCTAAGTCTTCGAATGCATGTTCTGTCACAGCACAGAGAAAAAAGATGTTCATTTTGTCCCGCCAAATTTATGACAAGGTCGTCAATAACGAAACATTTAAAAAAAGATCACAATATTTATAATTTAAAAAGGTATTGCAATTTATGTGATAAAACGTTTCCGTATGCACATATGCTAAATAAACATAAGATTGAGGAGCATAGCGCGAAAAAAATAGTTGTGAATTGTAATGAGTGCGGGAAAGCGTTTTACCAAGAAGCAAATCTACGTATTCACATACGATCTGTGCATATAAAGGAACGTAATTATCCGTGTGACATTTGTGGGAAAAGATTCTTTACTAAATGCGATCAGAAACGACATGAGATAACCCATGATGATGTCCGTTCCTTTTCGTGTAATTACTGCGATTCCAAGTTTAAATCTAAAGATTCCTGCCGGAGGCATACGAAGCAACAGCATAGTCTTGTGTCTAAGTAATTAAAGAATTAATACTTAATCTTTCGTTTAATTTGTCGTGCTTCAAAAAATATATTAATAACGAAAAGCGGTGTGACAGGTCTATGGACCCCCCGTCGGAACGAAGTTCTTTCGGTTTTTGGTAGACGTTTGCTATATCACACACACCTCCTTAGAAAGGCCCTTAGAATTGCCCTGCGTAGTTTGTATCCTTAGTCGGCTCTGACGGCAACCACGGGATAAATAAGGGTGGTGACACTGTATTCTTAATCTGTCACCACACGGATGCTATATATATTTAATATGAAAAAGATGTGAGGTATTCTTTGAACCACTTTTTTATGTCATAAGGAGGAAACAAGCAGACTGGTCACCTGGTTGTAAGTGACTACCGCCGCCCACGGACACCTGCAACTCAGTCACAAATACGTTGCCGCCCTTTCAGTCCCTCTCCCGAGAAACAGGGGGAAAGGCTGAAAAGGGACTGGGTTCCGGTGACCAAAGTTTTTATTCGAGACCATACATAAAATTTAGTAATTATTAGTAGTTGAATTAATTAAAAATTTAATTTATTAAGAAATTAATAGTTAATTTAGAAATTATTAGTTATCACTGACATCATGAAATTAGGTCCATGATGGCTGCAATAACTAATGTTATTAACGATAAAGTTTTTTTGATACGCTTTATGTGTGCAAGATGTGCAAGATGGACTTCTGATACTACCCAAGTCCAAGGGGGAAGGGGACCTCCCCCTTGGACTTGGGTATGTTGGTTCATAAACTGTCTTAGTGAAGCTACTTGTTACCTAGGTTATATTCCATATGGTAACAAACAATTACGAATAAATAAGCTTCGAAATTTACTTCTAGTTGTTTCTCTCTGAACGCTCACGCAAAATAAAAGTTTATCTAAACTACGGTATGGTCCTTCGAACCGGATATATACTCTTACCTAGACTCTGTAGAAGAGTCAAGTACTCTGCGAATGACTCATACGAGTGAGAGTTAATTTGTTTCCTTGTTAGGATTATTTTTCTTTATTAGAATTCTTATCTACTGAACCGATCATAACGAAATTTTACATTCAGATTATTAACTGCATACAGAAAAATAGGTAAAGACATTATCAAGATAAATTCCTGACAAAAATGTGTTAAAGCGAGCGAAGGTTGAGGACTACTTGAGATTGAGGTCTATGAGGACTACTAATCTGTTTGTTCCTCGCTTGTGACTCCTTGATTCGCAGGCCTTCATGTGCGGTAGTCACTTTCCATCAGGTGAACCGTCTGCACGTTTACTCCCACTTCCAAAAACAAATCTGAGAGCAGTGAAAATAAGTAAATAAATTGTGTTACATTCTGGTTTATGGTTAACTGTTGATAAGCAGTACTGCAATGAATATTCAAACCAGAATTCATGGCATAACGAAAGCTAAAATGAGAAACCAGAAGTTTCTAAAACACATAACCACAGAGTACTTTATATTACGGGCAAATAACACAAAAAAAATTTAGGTACCGCGCTTTGTCTATGTCTCCCAAAATATTAAAAAAATATCATTGACATATTTTCATTATGTCTGTGATTTGTTTATTTTTATAAAATTTTTATAAAGATTTGATAGATAGCTCTCAGCGTATTTTAATCCCATTTATCGAACATATTGTGTGCATAAAATGTCAGATACTACGCCCTGTCCACCACGAGTTAAACCTACATTTGAGAATAGCCCAGGTAAGTGTGGTTCTGGTCCGAAGGTCTTAATAATAGCTGTTTCCGGATTTCTCTTGCAGGCACAGAGTGGCATGCTGTGTGGTTTTAGTCGGATCGATTCCGAGACACCGCTCCATCGTAAACCCCAGTGCAATGACCGAAGCAGGAGCGGCCTCTGAGGGTGGCGAGCAGGGAAACTGCCAGGGGCCTCGCTCATGTAGGAGCCTCGCGCACTCGCGCAACATATTAAGTAGAAAAATGTTTATTTGAATTTCGCCCCTTATGCCACTCGATACTCGATTTACGTTTAGGAAATCCCTGTGTTTCGATCCGCCTGTCATTTTACCAGGTTACCGTGCTGGCGGCGGTTTATGCTTTTATGTTCGAACAGTATATGTTGCGTTGCCTTTTATGTTCCAAGTATCATTATTAAAACCTTTTTTTTAAGACTAATCCCGCATTAGGAATATATCCTGTGTCGCGGGGGACTTTATAAATATAACTGAAACGGACATAAAGAACACCCAGTCTCTGAACAACAATTTGTGTATCACACAAAGTGTATGGGGACCGAACCCACAACACTCAGCGCAGTAGGAAGCGGCGAAATGACCACTTAAATCACTACGCCATCCGTGCAGTGAACCGGCGGAGATTAATGTGCTACACGCCCTTAGGCGTGCGTCATATTTTAATCGGCTCTTATGACCAAGAATAGTACTACAAGAAACCTACATCACTACTAGTAACAGACCGAAGTAAATAATTTACAATTTCTTCTTTCTCTCTTTTCTCTTTTACCATAGAAATAGCAGAGCAAGTGGCTGCAACGGCACGGATTGCGCCTCTCTACGAAGCCGGCTTGCATCAATACGTGATCCGCAGACATTATTCGTTGCAGCGAAACGCAAACCTGCAATGTGGTTGGGAGAAGTTTAAAAAAAATATTGAATTTAGGAAATCTGAGCCTTTTCAATTTCCTAACGACAGGTGAAATCTATATTAATATCATAAACTCGAGAGTGTTGAGTTATCACACCTAAACATCTGAACACATTTCGATTAATTTACATATAAACGTTGACGGTACCTCGGAAAAGGACAAAGGTAGAGAACATAAAACTTGAAGAGGTAAAATAGGAGATAAATGTTTGTACGTCATGAACTTTTTCACCGAATGAGTGAGGTAACCAGAGCCCAAAACCTCCCTTCCCTATTTCTAGGGTAGGCCTCAAAAAGAGCTGGCATGCCTTTGTGAACAGAGTTGTAGGTGTCCATGGGCGGTGGAAGTCACTTACCATCAAGTGACCCTCTTTTGCTCCCTATGCCAAAAATCAGCCCCATCATTATCATCAACAGCCTTTAATAGTCCACTACTGTACATAGGCTCCTCCTTAGAAAGGAGGTTTTGGCCTACTAAACAACGATGGCCAGACGGGTCGGTATAGGGTTTGTTGCAAGTTTTCCTTCTCTTTGCAATGCTGTTGTCCTGCGTAGTCGGCTTTTACGACACCCACGGAAGGATTAGGAGTGGTGACACTCTGTATTCTTAATCCGTCTATTAATTGCTATAAATAATAATAATAATACATAATTAGAAAACAGACACGATGTCTGATAAAACATCAATATTATAGCTTAATTTCTTTCTACGTAGGATATTTTATGTATTACTTTTCACACATCTTACAGAGATCTACATTTCTACAATGGTATGATACGCTTCCTGCCATCGGAAACAGTGTACAAAAGGGCTACATTTCGCAAAAGTCTGAAGCCAGGCCCTGGGGTTGATTACGGTGGACAAATGCCGATCCCCCAAGAATCAATGATGAAAAGATTAGGTTCTTTCAAAGAGGAAAAAACAAAGAATAAGATTAAGAAAGGAAAAGCAAGCAAGGAAAAAAAACACGTTAAGATCCAAGAGGACAAAAAGACGGCAAATGGAGAAGATGCTCAGAAATAAAAATGTAAATATGATGAACATTTTTTACTGTATTTTTTACTCTAGTAAGGTTACAAATATCCTGTTGAAATTCCTTATACTGACTTACTTATATTGGCTAAGGAAACAAGTGGAAATAACCTTATAAGTTGGAACGTTTTAGATATCTCATGATGATAGTGCATGTTTGAACTTGTTTATCACCTAACCGCTATGCCTTGAGTTGATTTCTCGTAGAAGTTTCCATAAACTCTGTATAAAAAATACGAGCGATCATTGCAGTAGTAGCATAAAATTTGTAACATGACACCTCAGCTTTTTACAAAGGAAAATTAAGATTATGCATGTTTTAAATATTATTTGAAAAGGTTTTTTTTTGCTAGAACTAATTATGTTAAATCACCTATGGGGTTGTTTGATCAAATACTTAATTCAAATAGCGCGGTCCTCTCCGGCATACTTTTACATGGTTCTTTCCCGCCTCACGGTATCACTTCTATAGATTGCACACCATAAACAGGCACGACAACGACCATGTTCGTCGTTCACAACCGACGACCGATGTTCCCTGGTGGATCTAACATGCATCTTTATATGGGTGTCATTACTCAATATTAACTTTAAAGACAGCAGGCCAGACGTGTAGAACCGCCTCAGAAAGGTGTGCTGTGCTAGCTTCGCATCTAGAAGGCATATGCTCTTAATAAAAATTAGGTCTGAATTCAGTTCTCAACAGTCATAAAAGGTATTTTCGTAGTGAAGGATTAAACATTCAACGTAGACTGTAATGTAATTATATCGTATGGTAGCCAAAAATTGAATCAATAATCTGCTAGTTTTAGTAATACTTTACCATTTTACTACGAAAATACTTTTTGTGGCAGTTGTGAGATCGAAAGTTGATCGGATGACTTTTATTACGAGAATTGGCCTTCAGACAGTTCCTTGACGGCCAACCGTAAACCCAACGTTGGGCTGATATAAAGCTACGTTGGCATAGTGAGAAGGGAGTGCCACGAAGACCGGAAGAGGTCATCCCTTGGATGCTGGAAACGGTAAACCACTGGACAGCAATGACAGGGTTTATAAGGCAGGTCCTGCTGCAGAAAAAGGAAGAAGAAAGGAACACGGAACAGTAGCGGCAGGCAAATGGCTAGCAGGTGTCCTAGTACCTCGAAGTAATGCTTCTAGGTTCTAGGTACCAGAGAGAGGAGGTTTTAGTAGGTAAGAATCCCACACTACCGGTTTTCAACATCTTGACAGGTGTCTTTTGAAGATTTCCTCCTCTAAAACATCTTAAAAAAAGTTTGAAATTATAATAATACATCGCTTAATGTTGAAACTTAAAATGTTAATACTATATTTGGGAAATTAATATTATTCTCCATGGTATGATACACCTACCTACCCTTCAGAGCTCATGGGAATAGTAAGAACAAACCAATTACTGATAACTGCCACCGTGTGAATTTTAGGTGCATGTACAATCGTAGTATAAAACTGTTTCATTTTTTCTAGGAAGCATTCGTATTTCGTGACATTCAATTTCTGTAATTTTTTCACGGAAGTAATTTGATCGAACAAAACGTAGCTTGCTCGAATTTTGTCATATTAGAACGTATTGTACAGATTCGAAATCCCGATCTACAACTACAGTTTAACTTTAACAGAATTGTTTTCGTAGAAAGAGATCACAAGATATACTTCACTGAAGTAAGAGAGAGACCGAAATGTTTCTGGAACGCGATTCTAGTTGCCGTCATTTGTCATGCATGACAGTAGGCATAAGTCAGTCAGTACTGAATTGTCAATTACTCGATCATCACATCACAAGGCCTATACGAACACCGAATTAAAATGCTATGGAAACTTGATAATTTATAAGGAGAAATAAGTCTATTATTTCAAAATGGATTCAGAGATTATGGTAGAGTCGCTGCCATTGCTTGGCACGTGCAATTTGTGCTTGGAAGAAGGTGTTGTGAAAAGTATGATTTTAGCGCAGCAATACAAAGGGAACACAGAAATTTATTCTGATATGCTGATAAAATGCTTCTCAATAGACGTAAGTTGTATTTATCGATGGGTTATAAATTCCGCAGAGGCTTTTTTTATTTAATTTAACAGAGAGGATATGTTGATATAAAACAAAAAAAAAAAACACGTATTTAGAAATATTCATCTTACTTAATTGTTTTGTTTTCAGTGAATAAATGTAATTTTAAATCAATAATTGAAACCTAGAAATCTTTAGAAAACTAGAAAAAAATTTACCTATACTGTTAAAAGCGTCTGAATAAATTACAAAAATATTATTTACTAATCAAAACAACATCTGTGACATACCAATGATATATTTGCCAGCTTTTTTTTGTGTTTATGACAACAGTTTTTAGTTATTAGGCTATTATATTTTTGTTTTATGTGTGTGTTTGTCTGTGGTATTATGGGGGACTAATTTGAATTGAATTTATTCTGTTTAAAAATATTATTTTGAAGAGAGCTACTTAGTTGCCTATACCTCAAGAAAATCTGTTCAACCGTTTGACATCTTTCCTGTGCCAAACATGGTCTCTGTTTAAAAAAGCCTTTCCAGTGCTAATAAAACACAGATATTTTTTCTATCCACAACTACGGCTACAAACATATAGCTTACGTTGCAATTGTCCTGGATGGAAAAATATATCCATGTTTTAGCAGTAAAAAAAATTAATAATAATAACCTGAGATATCCTTTACACACTTGTCTGATCCCAAATTAGGCAGAGTCTATACTATGGGAACCAGGCTGCTAATAAACATATTATAAATAAATTACACCCAGACACAGAACAAGCAATCATGCTTATCACACAATTATTTGTCCTGGGTTTGAATTGAAGTCACAACCTCTGGCTTAGCAGACAGGATGACTAACCACTAGCTAGACTATCAGGCCTGTTAATTAAAAATTATTTATTACATATAATATGTTATTTGCCTGCCACTTGCGCGTTATATAGCTGAAGGCTGGTGGGCCGGAGTGAAGAATTAAACTATCTCCATACCAAATTTCATTTGAATCGGTATTGGTTACTGATTCCCCGTACAAACTTCGCTCCTACTTTTCACCCCCTTAAAGGATGATTTCTGGGATAAAGACTATCCTATGTCCTTTCTCCAGAAATAAAAAATTTCATCTAAATTGGTTCAGAGGTTTAAACGTGAAAAGGTAAACGGACAGACACTTTACATTTATAATACTAGTATGGATTATATTATAAGTTAATATTGATCTTAAATCTTCAGATTGCAACCCTCCATCTTGGTGACACAAAGCCTTTGATTTGCAACACTTGCATCAGTAAGCTGAGGGACTCGGCAGACTTTAAACAACAAGTGCTGGCTTCACTTGATACCTTGGAGAGGATGGTTAAAGTTAATAGTAAGTTATTTTGCTACATATGTATATACTTTATTACTATTAGTTATGCCTGCCAGTTTACCTATTTACTTGACGTGGGTACGATTCCTACCCAGGACAAATAATTGTGTGATGAGCATGGTCATTTGTATTTTTAGGTATTTAGTAGTATATAAGTATGTCATCAGCAGTCTGGTTAATATAGTATAGGGTCTGCCTAGTTTCGGATCAGACAGCCGTGTATAAGATGTGTTAAATAATATTATTAAATATTATAGTACATATGTATAGATTCTATGGGCCTGTTGGTGTAGTGATCAGTGTTCCAATCCCACCTATGACAAATAATTGTATGATGAGCATGATTATTTGCCTATGTCTGGGTGGATTCTTACCATTTCCTTCTAAAGGATTGGTTACTTGTGAAACATAAAACAGTTCTACTGTTAGAACGAAATGATTAATGTCAGGAAGCAAGGTTTCAGTTTCTTTTAATGATGTTTGATAATGTAATTTTCAGAGGAAGAGAAGCACTCTTTAGGAGAAGCAGTGAAAAAGGAGAACTCTGTGGTAGCTGATGTATTTGATGATGACTTTCCTAATGATGATGATGTGCATATAGGTTAGTGGTGCTTTTTATTCATCCTAAATTAGATAAAAATTAAAAAAAAAACTATTATACAAAATGAATGAAAAGAAACACGATATTTTAAATAAAGAAATTTATAAATCACCGGACGTCGATATTTACTTATCATCAAATTTCTGACCTCTGAGTCGGGCGTTCCTGGGCGGCGATAGTCACTTTCCATCAGAAGTTCAATTGTCCAGTCCAGAAGGCCAGTCTTTCGATGTCATCACTCCAACGCATTTGTGGTTTTCCTCGAGGGCGTTTCTCGCTCTACATTCCATCACTGACTTGCACCAATAGACTTGTTTACGGGCAACAATGCCAACCTACCCCTACCTCAACTTTGCAATGCTTTAATTGACATCACTCACGCTTCTGTATTCTCTCTGTTTGTACCCACTCATACTTCTTACAGTCTTTAAGTGTGACTACCCACCATTTCTTGGTGGGAGATTGAGTACTTTTAAACCATAGAACAGTTCAGGGTTACTACTACTGTTAGAAATAAATAATGAAAGAAAGCTAGGATTCAGTTTCTTTTAATGATTTTTATTATGTAATTTTTCAGAGAAAAAGAAGAACTCTTTAGGAGAAGAAGTAAAAAAGGAGAACTCTGTGGCATCAGATGATTTTGATGATGACTTTCATGATGATGATGATATGGATGTAGGTTAGTTGTGCTTTTTATTATTCTCAAATCAGGTATAAATTAATACTTTTCTGTCGTACAGGATTTTTCAGATTAAGAAATATAAAAATCAGCTGTTGTCAGTATTTATTTCATTATTTTAGTATAATTAGAAAGGAAACAGTTGATATAAATTTTAATGTAATAAAAAAATCATCAAATTCAACTACAAAAGTTGTGATTTTAGTGCACAATTTTTTTAGTTTATTTTGGAGATTATTGGCGTAATCAGAGCCACATAGATTTTTTCAATAAAAATATAATAATAGCATGAACTAGCAACAACGGGAACTAAAGTGTAAAATTACATACACCCATGTCTTTACCCCCGGAGGGATAGACAGAGATGTATTAAAAGTATAAAAATCTATTTAAAATTTATGGTAGTACTAATAGTCCTAGAAAAGGCCTTTGATACGGTCTAGCATAGATTTTTTATTATCGTAGCTGTCTTGCGTTCTACCATAGGCACTAAATAAAGAAACTGCCAGTTGTTTATCTGATAAATGCGTTAAAAGTGTGCTATTGTACTGCAAACTCATCTAATCCTTAAACCTAAACCATGGTGTTTCACAAGGAGGTATACTGGCACCCACCAGTAGTCATTGTATCTATTCTATGTAGTCGATATAAGTAGATCTTTATAGGCATATCATAAATTATAATTACAGATCTCAAAACTATAATTAAGAAAGAAAAAGAACATGAATTCAGTCGAAAAACTCGCAGCAAATCAGTGGTGTCAAGGAAGATAAAATTATCAAAGTATCCTTTAAAAAAGACTATAGATCTATCAGAAACAGAAGCCATGTTAAAAATCGGACTATTTCCATTTAAAATCAAGAAGAACCGGTCGTTTTCCTGCTCAATATGTCCAGAGAAGTCGTCAAACCTAGATGACATCAAAACTCACATAGTTGACCACAACAAAACAAATATTAATTTGGCATTTAAAAAAATGATGTCGTCAAACTCCCATAGGTTCTACAAGTCTGCTATTAATTTAAGATGTAAAATGTGTACAACAGATGTAAGTAACTATGAAGAATTGAAACAGCACATAGAAAATTGTACCAGATTAAAATTTACAAATAGAAAATTCAATAACTTGCCGTTTAAGCTTGAAAAAGACCAAGTCGATTGCCCGGTATGTAAGAAAACTTTTTTGAATTATGTTAATTTGAATACACATATGAATATTCATTATCCAAATTATATTTGTGAAAGTTGTGGGAAAGCGTTCGCTTCCAAAGCTAGACTTCGAGCTCATATGAGGACTCATGAAGTAGGTACCTTCCCTTGTAGGTATTGTGAACAGATCTTTGACCGAGTAACGAAAAGGGAGAACCACGTATCGAAAGAACATAAATCTGGTGTCAGGTATGCATGCAAGCGGTGTAACATATCTCTGACGTCATTTTACGCTAGACAGAAACATTTGGCAGAAGTACACAACGAAGAATTGAAAAGATACAAATGTAAAGCTTGTCCACAATCTTACATAACTCCAGGTCATCTATCGAGTCATGTCCGCAGAGATCATTTGAATGAACGTAATCATAAGTGTGATAAATGCGATTTGGCTTTTTATACGAAAAATGCTTTGAAAATGCATATGATTAAGCATGACGGGGAAAGAATACACATTTGTCCAGTGTGTCAAAAGTCTTACCAGAGGAAAAAGACATTGCGAGAGCATTTAAGGATTCATAATAATGATAAAAGATTTGTTTGCCCAGTGTGTGGACGTGCCTTTACTCAAAAGTGTACGCTCAAAGGTCATTTAAAAGTTCATGAGAGGCAATTCGATGAAGACGATAGAGTGCCACAGCCTTTACATTCGATATAAAAGTTTTTAGCTGTCGTAATTTAAGTCATGCGCCTTTGTATTAGGTTGTATATTCTAATATCATCTAAAATTAAACCCACTCGTTTAAAATAGGTTAAGGGTTACCCAGAGGAATAGTACGGTCCAGTACCATTTTTGGTGCGACTTAACATAATCTAATGTTTTATTAAATTAGTATTTATTTTAGGCTTTTTAATTTTGATTGATATTGTTACTAGTGTTGTGTTGTGCATGATCGTTAATAAAATATCCGCGAATATCATGCACATCACTAAGCGCAACAACTCTAACAGAGTCCATTTCATCGTCTTTTGGTTCTCTTCTGAAATTGATATTGAATTTTTTAAATTTATTAATAAAATTTTACAAAAATTATTCGAAATTATCAGACAAAACATATATAATTACATATATTTTAATTTGCAATACACACAGATTAACACACAATGTAACAGTTGCATATTAAAAAAGAAATTGATGAAACAGATAATTCTATATCTCCCAGTGTCTTTAAGATACATAAGTATCTTCCACTAGCGGTTAAATACTCATTAATGATTAATTAACACATAAGATTGAATGAAAATATTCTAAACGATCACAAAGCAATAAGAAGATCTGTTACTAAAATAATTCAATATAAATAAAGGAGTGAGGGAAAAAATGGACGTAGTGACCCCAAATGATTAAATATGACCCCCTTATATAAAAAAATCTGAGATTTAATTTCATTATCAAAGTACACTGTATAGGTAAATAAAAAAATGTTTTAAAATTAATGTAGGTATGTTAATTGAAGGAATGAATAATATTCACGAGAAATATCGATGTAAAATTATGTTCATACACGGGTTTTAGCGCGATTACTTAACAGATATTACGTTTTAACAGCCTGACGTTTTCACTAGATTGAACTATTAGTGAACACTGGGTAACTGAGTGAGCCTGCACAGATGGTGTAGTGGTTCCAGCGGTCACCTTGCCGCTTCCTACTGCGTACTTTGTGTGATCCACAAATTGTTGTTCTGAGTCTGAGTGTCCTTTGTGTCCGTTTGAATGTATGTTTGTAAAGTGATGTGACAGGATATATTCCTAGCGTGAGAGTTGTCTTTAAAAAAAAAGAAATTCATGTCTGCCTGTTTGTGTGAGGTATGTTATCATAGAATATAAGCATCGAGTGAACAAGAGCCCCAATCTTGCAATATGGGCAACGAAAGAGACGAATAATAGATATAAGCCTCTATATCTTTCTAGTCGAGCTCTGTGGTTAGCTAGGGAATATAAGGGGTTAATACGCAGCAGTTTACCTAAACAGAGACAGGGGGAACTATAGGTCATCCGTCTCTCTCGTTGCCCGTATCGCATCCACTTACAGGCAGCTGTACCCCGTGTTCTCTCTATGGTTATATCTCTATATATTTAATACTGATTACATGATCGCATTAATTGCCGTAAATATACATAATGAAATATAATCAAAAGGTGATATAAATGTACAGTGTTGTGTAATAGATGACTTTAAAGCATTTTTAACTTTTAAAGTTGTTTTTATTATAAATCACCATGTTAGAGGAAACTTGTGAATGTGTCTGAATTATTGGACCACTTTGTTACAATGAAATAATTTTATATACAGATTTCAAGTGTTAGTTTCCTTGAAAGTTTAGTTGGCAAGTTATTTTTTATATAATTTTGTAAAATATTAGTAGGTGTTATCAAATCGTGGGTATACTTAAAACGTTACGTATTTTATTATTTATTTCTTGTTATTTAGTTCAATTCGGAATTGTATCTGAGGATATCCAAAATAAAATAAAAAATAACATTTTAAATATAATCTAAAGTTGAAATGGCCTTAAGCACTTTATTTTTATCTACACACTACTATGGTTGAAATTTCAACTCTAAAAGTTAAATGGCTAAGGTATAATACTGTTTCGTCCTCCGAGCCTTTTGCCCAAACTAAAAACAATGTTAAGCAATGCTAGCTAGGTCAGTTTATGGTGGGTGACCATTCTTACAATATTGAGACCCGTTAAGCCGTCGCTCCCGGTTGCCTTACGAACGCCTGTGGCAATCGTTAAGAATAGTTAAAGCCCTAAAAAGTCCGATAACAGTCTACCTACAGAACTTCGATATCACCTAGTACTTGAAACTCAAACTCTCTTTATTTCATAAAAAATTGGTTGCCTGTAAAGTCGGTATACGGGCGAAAGTTTTACGTGACAACGACTTTGAGTGGTAAAATAATTTTAATGTGAATATTCATTCGTATAGTAGGAAGAAGGATGAAATAATAGTAACAATTTAAAACATTTATTTATACAAAGAATTATATTTAAAAAAAGGGACGCGTGCCTTTCACTTTTTATGTCTGTCTCTCTCGCTCTTAGGCGGGCTAACCGCGGGCCGAGTGGAAGGGACGCGTGCCTCTCACTCGCTCTCATTGTGAGCGCATAACGTGAGCGGAGCGTAACGCAGTTTCTTGAAGTGTCACCCGGCAAACCAATTTATAAGACGTTGTCACGTCAAAAAATTAAAATTGTTTGAAATCGTGTAGACTCTAGTCATAGATCAACACACACAAAAGCAACAATCTCTGTTTTGTCAAATGGTAAGCAAATAAATTTAACTTGGATTGTGGAGGTTTGATGACAGTCGCTCCAAACAATCGACTGTAAAGCCGACCCGGCCGAAGGCCTCGGAGGATGATGTATTACGTAATCGCGTTAATGCCCGTACATATACATACTCGTAACACGGATAGTTTAAAAGTTTGTTTTATTGTATTTCTATAGTTGGGTATTCCACATAATCTATATTTATACACATTATTTAATGCAAAAGCAATTAGTGCGTTATAAGTTATTTATCATCAGAACATCACCTCAACAGCCTTTAATAGCCTACAGCTGGACATAGGCCTCTCCTTAGAAAGTTAGGTTTTGGCCTACAATACCACACTGGCCAGACGAGTTGATATAGGGGTTATTTCAAGCTTCTCCTTGCAGTGCTGCTCTTACGACACCATCTGGATGAATAGGGGTGGTGACACCGTCACCACACGGACAGAAGTTATTTATATGTTTGCTGATTTATTTATTCTCTAGCATCTACCTGTTTTTTTAAAAAAAGGTTACAATACGTTTTTATTTTCTGTGCAATATATGTTGTGTAGTGTGTTATGTATCTTAAAGTGTATTTTAAGTATACCCACGGTTTTTAAAAAACATTGTATGGTATATTGGGGCAACTTAATCTATTATGTATTAAGTTAGGCTGCTAACATGGACATCACAAAAATAACTTACATTTTGTCTAATTTTATCGTTGATTTTGCCTCATTATATCCTATCTGATGGGTAACGTATACGTACATTTAATTATAAAATGTAAAAAGTATAATAGCAATATTTTTTCATGAATATGGCTTACCTTACCGTCACACTATCGAAGTGCTACGATTTAATTTAATTTTCAAGTTATTACCTTTCCGCCCGCCGTGTATGTCGGTTATCGCGGTAAAAATGTCTACCTGCCAGTAGCCGGAGTTTTTCCTCAAGAATCAAAGGCTCTCCATGCCACATTTGATTTCCCATACAAACATCCCCCCCTTAAAGGGTGGTTTCTGTGATAAAAATCCTATCCTATGTCCTTTCCTGGGACTCAAATTATCGCTATACCAAACCTGATATAAATTGGTGCAGCTGTTTAATCGTGAAGAGTTAACAGACATGCATACTGCCGCATTTATTATATTAGTATGGATTCATTGAAAACTTTTTTTTCATTCAACAGGTATTAAAAAACCGAACTGTAAAAATGTACTGTCAAATAGGCGGGAAAAAACATTGTCAAATTTTCATATTCCCGGTGATGAATGCCATCGACAATATATTTTTATTTCTATAAGTTTGGCTAAATGTTATTTAGTTTGGAGAATACGAAGTCTTATATTATTTATATATGTAAATAAGTTGCTTCCAAGTATCTCTCATTTAATAAAATCACAAAACACTTGTGAAATTAAATCGTGCAATAATCGTCCTCCATTGTTATTGTAAATCTTATTTATTTAGTTTGTAAATTCCACTATTTCTATTAAAAATATAATATTGATATTAAAAATACATTAATTATTATTTTGAAGTTTTATTTAACGCGGCAATATGTTCCATCATCCCGTAATGGATGTTTTATTTGCTAAGAGGGACAGAGAGACTTAAACCCTAGCCAATCAGGTACCAAGGTTTTGTAGGAAACATTAATTTCTTGGAACCTAAATATTCAGGGCGCGGGGCTATATCGACCCATAGTAGTACCATATGTGTAATAAATAGTAATACGAGGGCTGCTATTTATGTATCCGGCCAGTTACATAACAATATTAAAAAGGAATTATAACATTTAAAAATGGAACTCTATGGCTGAAAAATACAATTTGTTTTATGTAGTTGTCATTTGTTTATACTTTGTGGGGTCATTTTGAAAATTACGTTTATTTTTCATTATGAATTTAACTCGCGAAAATTTTCGTGCTATGATTTATTAGGATTTTCGGCGAAGGCTAACTCAAAAACAGTTCATCGATCAACTCACTTCGACTTATGGGGACGAAGCACCATTAATAACAACTGTGTATCACTGGTTTAGTGAGTTTAATTGAGGGCGGTCTGTGCTCACGGACGAATTTAAAGAAGGTCGCCCTAAATCGGTTGTTGTACCCCAAAATATTTAAGTTAGGAACTAATATACATATCGCGAAATAGAGGCGCCTCTGGGAATAAGTACGAGTATATATAAAATATTACACGAACATTTAGCTGTTAAAAAAAAAAAATTGTTCACATTGGATTTCGCACAACTTGAGAATTGACCAAAAACGGGCTCGTGTCGATTAGTCCACAAGATTGATGCACAAATTGTTGTTCTGAGTCTGGGTGATCTTTGTGTCCGTTTCATGTATGTTTGTGAAGTCCCCCGCGCCACAGGATATAGTTCTAATGTGCGAGTTGTCTTTAAAAAAGAAAGAAAGTTCGGTTTGCACTTTAAAGAGTTCTGAATCTCCTCTTTTTTTGTAAATTGGCTAAAACTCGATAATAATGTGACCGAAACCGCTGGGAAAAGCTAATAAGATGAATGAAACAAAATATAAGTATAAAATTCAATTTAATGTACGCCATGCGTTCTACGCATATGTCTTCGTAGAGAATCTTTACTTGCGAAAGGATTATTGCACATTGCACAGGAATAATTCTTCTCGCCGGTGTGCGTCACCATGTGTCTTGCGACGCTGGATTTTGTATAAAAAAAGTTATGACAAATTTCACATTCGTGATGTTTCTCCTTCAAATGTACAGTTTTTAAATGATTATTGCACAAACTCTTTGTAATAAAGGCTTTTGAACAAATACTACATCTGTATTCAGGTCTTTTGAGACCATGTTTCTCAACTAAATGTTGTACTCTTATGTTTTCTTGGTAAAATCTTTCGTTGCAGTAAGGACAGGGAAACCTCAATTTTCTTTCAAATTTAACATTATGCACCAAAATATCGTGATTTTTTTTCTCAATTTTGTTATTGAAATTTAGATCACAAAGATGACATTTGAGTGGTTTATGGTATCTGGTTTTGTGTAAATTTAGAAACACCAAATTAGAAAAAGCAGCGCCACAAATATGGCAGACTTGCTTTTGAAAATGTCTATTCATATGTATGTTTAATAGCCTAAATACACTGAACTTTTCGCTGCAAATTTGACATGCTAAATTGTCATTTATTTTAAAAGGTACCAGTAAATCCTCTTTTGATTCAAACTGAATTTTATGAGATTCAATTAAATGATCTCTGAGAATTTCTAAATTCTGCTGATTTTGAGAGCACAGGTTACATTTTAATTCCGAAATTTCAACTTTGACGAGGCGATTTTGTTGATTTATAATTTTCTTTTCTATTGACTTCAAATTGTGTTTTGTTGTCGTGTGTTCTCGAAGTGATTTAACGTCTGAGAATGGTTCTTTGCAACAAAAACATCTGTATCGACTCTTATTCCATTGGAAAACAAAAATAGTTGAATTCGCAAGTAGTTTTAATGAATTCTCTCTAAGTATGGGCCCGTTTCCCCGTCGCTCGGCTATTTTAGTCCAATCCTTTTGATCTTTACCTGAAACAATGAATGATTTTTTTTATGGCATAGGGGCATACAATACTCGTGGCCTATTAAGAGTTCAAACAGATCGCAGAAAATAGAGAAGCGTGGCGATTGCTCCATCCACAAGGGCCTGGCCCTTCAATTGAGAGAGAGATGGCTTCCGAGCAATTTGGTCAACTGGTGGTAAGTGACTGCTGCCCATGGACACCTGCAACTCAAAACTTGGAGGGGGGGATGAGAGTTGGTCCTTCAGCAATGTCCTAAGTATGTCTCTCTCATGATGCAAGTTATCACTAGAGCGGATAGAAATCTTGGATACAACTGCAGCCATTCTTACCTATTTCAGATTTTAATCTGCTTTTCTTTCTTAATTTAAGCTTTCTGTCGTGGTTGTTCTTGTTGACTTCTGATTCCAAGTCACCATTCTGTGTCAGTTCTAGTTTTATATTAGCCAGAATTTCTGAAACATAAACATTGCTAAAGGAACATTTTTCATATGAGCAAAGCGGCATGGCAGTGGCCTTTGATATCTTTGCATCATTTGATTTGATTAACATCAATTAATATATTTTTATCCCGACTTTCTTTTTTACATTCGCAGCATTTTGGACCTCCTAGTCGTCGAGGGTCATCATTTACCGTATCATAAGGAATGCGATCATTGTATGAAATTCGGTGTTCCACAGGGATCGGTGTTAGGGCCAGTTCAAAATTTTTTTTTGTAGGGGTTCCTGCTTTGGATATGAGCCATATGAATAATACGAAACTAATCTATACTCATTTCATGGATGACATACGGATGTGTTTCAATTGCACTGAATTTTGTGATTGATAAACCAAACAATTGCTGGCAGAGCATCAAGCCTTCATTTCGGAATCAATCTGCAATTGTTGTCTTTACTTCTGTTATTCTATTCTATTAAAATGAAAAAGGTTGCTGCTGTCCCCAACTATCGTCATGTTTTATAGTAGAAATTAATACATTTATTTAATAACTCTTGAAGGTGTAGGTGAAATGTGTACAGAATTTTTGCTGAAACTAACCCATGATGGGGTGTATACAAGTTTTATTAAATTTAAAAATATTATATTGCAGGATACAAACTTACCATTGTCATCCATACTATCATCACAAAAGTCCGTTGCAGCTGACGATTCAGATTTTATATGTTCCACTTTAACTTCATTCTCTGCTTGTATTTCTATTAACAAATGAATATCTCCTATTACATCCCCGAAATGAGATACATAATTTATAAATTATAATTACTAAGTAATAGTTAGGGATAAAAGTGGTGACTCCCGCTCCGGCTCGTTTCTGGTGCAAAGGATGTCCGTTGCAATTCAGCGAGGCAATTCTGCCAGTATCATGGGCACCTTTGCACCGAGCGACGCGGGGCGGGTTATATGATCTGACTTGAATAAAAAATAATAATAATTGTAACTTAAATGTATGTGAATGTAAAATAACCTTGTAAATAATTTTTCGCATATTCCCTTTTGGGTCCCTCATGTAGATGGGGTCTCTGACTATGGCCTCCTTGTGGCTTATATCAGAGGGAGTAATGTCTGCCAATGCAAACATAATCCATACCCACCTAACTATGAAACGTTTATGAGAATGAAAATAATAATACTTGACAATAGGTCTTATAATTAAATACATAATGTGTTCTCTTAAATTTCACCTATGGCTGAGAATAGCGCCCGATGCAGGTTTTTAAATGAAAACCTGTGTTACAGGTCACCAGTGCCCAACCCTCGGTTATAAGTAAGTAGGTACAATCTTATTTTTACCAGACTATGAGAGGATAAAGAAAAGAATAAGTTAATTAAAGAAAAAATAAAATGTTATATGAGATACAAAATTAAAGCAAATTAACTGAGACTATGGGGTATTATACTATTACGACTATGGACTATGGGGTATGAATAGATGACAGTGAATGTTATGGGCCGTTTTTATGGATGGCGAGCCTCGACAAGTGTCCACAAACATATGTGTAAACGGGGTGTTTGGCACGCCTCGCGTAATATCGTCGTCGATCGGTACTAGTGTCGGTTTTTTTTCACAGATCAAAGGCAGCTCGCGGCAAGCGTTTGCGATGTATTACGCGTGCTTTACAAGTATTGTAGTTGAGCAGTCTTGAATCAAAATTAAGTCTCAATGCTCTACTGATTGAGCAATTAGTTGAGCAGTAGGTCTGGAGAATATTTTTTTGGTTTAAGTGCCGCCGTTAATATTTTGAATAAAAATATGTCCACGTCTGCTATGTTTGCCTGTCCCGAATACAATAGCATACTTGCAAGCATGTAAATGGCATCCAAGCATTTGTAAAGACTTCAGGTTGTGGAAGTTTCCCAAGCCTTGGCATGCGTGTAAACTAGGCATTAGTGTAACGATGGATATGAGTATGATGCAAGGAGATGGTTAAGAGTGAAGAGAAAAAACGGAAGAGTGAAGAGATAGAGGGTTTCAAAATCATTAATTTCCACCTGAATTTCCATATTGAAGTCTGTCCATCAGCTTCGCAAATCTCTCTTCACTACTGAGCACCATGTCTTTAAATGCAGAAGCCTCTCGGATCTTTGCTGAGCACTCCTCACATATGTATGATAGGTAACCTTCAACGTCATATTGAGAAAACTGTAAAAAAAGATAATTCTTCATCATATTCCTGCATTACTACACAAACATATACAAAGGGTTTGAGGCTCTTAATCTGCAGGTTCATAGGTCTCTGTGGTCTACTGCTGAAGCATTACCACCAACACCAGGTGATGTATTTAGTTTATTAAATATAAAGAAAAACATACTTATGTTGGCTCAGAAAACTGTAAAAAGATTTGTTTTAACATTGAAAAAAGTTTTGCCTGGATTCTTTTATAACTGGCCTCTTACCTAATCCCTTCACTTCTTGGGTATGTATTGTATATCATTGTTCATCATCAATAGCCTTTAGTAGTCCACTGCTGGACATAAACTTCTCCTTAGAAAGGAGGTTTTGGTCTACTATACCATTCGGGCCAGGCAGGTTGGTATAGGGTCTGTTTCAAGTTTTCCTTTACAGTGCTGTTGTCCTGCGTAATGTGTTCCCTCAGTCGGCTGTTACGACACCCACGAGATGAATAGGGGTGGTGACACTCCGTATTCTTATTCCGTCAACTCACGGATACCATATTTAGGGTTGATCAATTACTTTAGAAAACTGAATAAGAGATATTTCTAATACTTTTTAACTTACCTGAATATTAAATGTATTCAATAACATCTCTTCATAGTTTCTTTTAGTCCCAGACGAATAATACTCTTCTGAAATGTTTTTGTAATAACATGGAATGTTTCTCAAGCAACATCGGCAAATATTTGTTTGAAGCAAGTCCGCAACACTGTTGAACTTTATATCCATTATAAACAAATGAGGTTATTCGGAAATATTTCGGTTTTGTAACTGTTTTCATTGAAGAATTATGTTTTATTTTATTTTCTTTTTGCCATCGATCAATTAATCGCCGTTACATCAACAAACTGTGCTTTTGACAGATGAGATGACAAACAGTTTAGAAACGGACAAACGGTAGCTATTGATGTTGTCTTTTTAAAGTTTATAAATAAATTACCTAATATATTTCTACTTACGATAGTTTGTTGGTGTGAAACTTTTCTTTCGATGTTAATGTTGCCTCTTACTAAGGTGAGGTGTCAGATGTTCGCAGCGTCATCGCAGCGGTAAGACCCGTTATGGAGGATTGGCTCGAGAGGCGTCACGGGACCCTCTCATACCGAGTGACGCAGGTGATTACTGGGAAAGGATGTTTCGGGGATCACCTGTGTCTGATCCGCAAGGAGCCAACGCCTGAGTGCCACCACCCACCACTGCGATGGCCAGACCGTGGACACGGCTCTCCACACGCTGGCAGAGTGCCCGGCGTGGGTTGAGCAGAGGCGAGACCTCGTGGTGGCCATCGGAGTGGGAGTTCTCTCGCTCGATAGCCTGATTGCGGCTATCGTGCGGAGCGAGAGTGCGTGGAACTCTGCCGTCTCCTTCTGCGAGCAAGTTATGCTCGCGAAGGAGACGGCGGAGCGGGACCGGGAGAGGTTCAGAACTCTCCCGGCCCGCCAGGCCCGGGAACGGGCCAGGTATCGCAAGCGACTCAGGCGCCGGAGGTCGCAGTTATATTAACTTAGCACTGCTCAGCAAAGCAAGCAACAAAGATACTTCAATGCCATCTAACGAGAAGCACTGGACTATGAATCCTGCATCGCATGGCATTACGCTACACAGCAGTTGTGTTTTCAGCATTCTTGTACATTACATATATAATACGTGTTAACAGCAGCACTCCTGTACGGAACACAAATAGTGTGGATTGCAGCACGCTCGTCGGGTACACACCGTGTTTGTAATAGCACTGCTATAAAGAACACAACAGTTGTGTAGCCAGCAGCTGTGGATCTAAAAACCTGTGTGTTTTAATCAGCACGGGAGAAAGTTTTTATAAAAACAGGGTAGGTGTTTACCAGCAGTGAAGAAGTACAATATAATTTCGAACCCGAATAAAACTCAGATAGAATGTATGGATCAACTTTATTTTACGAAAGAATTAAACAAAATTATAAACAGCCGCATTTTGTAAATTACAACTCTGTTGTCACAAAAGAGTCGTTTGAATGAATGAATTATATAACAAGAAAAAAACTTATGTAATTACGCGCCATTTTTTGACAAGCAGTGATGCCACTCGTCAGGAAAAAAATATGCCGCTCAGACTGAACAGACAGAGAATATATTTATAGTGGAGTACTGATTTTAAATATACACATTTCTTAAACTAATTATTTGTACATAACACCTACTAAGGTATCTAATTGATGATTAATTACGCTCTAGACCAACCTTATGGCCATCATTTGTGACGCCATAGACAAGATAGGCAACTTTCAGAAACGAAATAAAAAATACTATTTTTTTTTAAATATGACAATGGACACAATAATTGTTTCAAAACAAGGAATATTTTAATATTGAAGTAAGAACAAAAAGCTAAGTATGATGGATTTAAACATCCATGCCAAGAAGTTTTTTGTCGAAGAGGAACTCTCCCAAGGCTCCGTGGCGGTCCATCATCTTCTTGAGGGTTGAAGCCTTGCCGGCCAAGTCGCGTTGGCCCTTGTACTGTTCCTCTAAGAATTCGCCAGTCAGATAGTCCACAAGCTGTAATAATATTCATCATTTTAGAAATATTGTATAAGTAAGTGTTAATTGGTTTAATAAAGGTCTTGTTTATTGAAAAAAAAACATTCCATTGAATATAAAAAGATTAACTAAGAAAAAATGACGTAAAATAAGGTTATTTGCAAAAAAATCCTGCTAAAAAAGTACATCATCGTCATCAACAGCATTTAATAGTCCGCTGCTGGACACAGGCCTCTTCTTAGAAAGGAGCTGGCCTACTTTGCCACACTGGCCAGGCGGGTTTGTTTCAAGTTTTTATTCTCTTTGCAGTGCTGTTGTCCTACGTAGTTTGATCCCTTATTCGGCTCTTACGACACCCACGGAATTATTTGCCTGGAGTGCGAGTCCATCCAAGACCTCGAGCTCAGCAGTCAGGGTCACTAACCATTATACCAACATGCCCTTCAATACATCTGATAGTCTACTTACATGATAATCGTTGAACTTGCTAGGATCAGTGTCCTCCTTAGCACCATCTTCGCAGTCGATGATAAGTTTCCTGATGCTTTCGGTGACCTGGTGCTCCAAGAGGAGGGCATGCTCCAAGGCCTCGACTCCAGTTTCTGGTTTTCTGTCACCGAAGTGTGGTGGCTGTAATCAAAGATTACTATAAATTTGGATTCCAGTTTTAAATGTAATTTTCAATGTCTATTGTTAAGAATATTAATAGCCTACATATGGATGGCGTATTGGTTCGGTCACCTCGGTTCGATCTCATCATGATCTTCGTGTGGTCCACAAAATTAGTCTGATTGTTCTTTGTATCCGTTTCATGTATGTTTGTAAAGCCCAACGCGTCACAGGATTATATTCCCAGTGCGGGAGTTGTCTTTTTAAAAGAGAGAGAGAGAGAGAGAGAGAGAGAGAGAGAGAGAGAGAGAGAGAGAGAGAGAGAGAGAGAGAGAGAGAGAGAGAGAGAGAGAGAGAGAGAGAGAGAGAGAGAGAGAGAGAGAGAGAGAGAGAGAGAGAGAGAGAGAGAGAGAGAGAGAGAGAGAGAGAGAGAGAGAGAGAGAGAGAGAGAGAGAGAGAGAGAGAGAGAGAGAGAGAGAGAGAGAGAGAGAGAATATACATACCCACACTCACGCCTTTATCTCCGAAGGGGTACACAGAGCCGTATAAACGCCCACATTTTATCCAATGTTTTTATATGTATACTAGCTCATCCCCGTGACTTCGTCCGCGTGTTGTTCATTGTTTTTGATAGAGAATGTAATTATACTGTGAGTTTGGCATCGATCAGTCAAAAAAGAAAAGTTCCCCATACAAACTTGCACCACATTTTGAGGGTAGTTTTGAAAAATTAGTAACACGTTTAAAACTAGTAACGTTTTTTGTTACTTTTGACAAAGAGTATTCTCTCTCTCTCTCGCTCTGGGAGTTTGAAAACGCTACTTCTAAAAATGACGAAGTTTCATATAAATTTCCAACCTCTATTTTGTACTCTTAGGTATAGATTTAAAAAAAAATTGCTTTCTTAGTGCACACCTACGTCACCTAAGGAACATTTAAGCATAATTTCATGCTTCTAGACCCAGCGGTTGCATATGTGCGTTGACAGACCAGTCAGTGAATCAGTCTGTTAGTTTCTTCTGTTACAGATATAGGTAAAGCGTATGAGATCGTATATATATTATTTAGTTAAAAACTTTAGTCCTGTCAAAACCAAGAATAAGAAACCAATCAGCGAATTCTCTTTGGCGCCACCTCAACCCCCTTCCCTCTTTCCTACATTTATCCTTTTCTTCTGATTCGTGATCTTTCCTTACATTGGATCCACATTGGATCCAATATGTAAGTTAAGAATCCTTATTAATAAACGCGAAAGAGACTTGGTTTGTTTTTTAAGCTTTCACGTTATAACTACTAAAGTTATAATCAAGAACTTAAATTGCAGAATTGTAGAAATAGACATACATCTTTAGTACTGAAAAGAAATTGCTTTGCCGAGATATACACTATATAACCTTAATTAAAATGAATAATGCAAAGGAAGTGGTGTTGCTATCTAAAACAAATCTTACCCTGATGTGCAAAAGGTTGCTGACTTCAGATGTAAGTTCTCCTCTCATCAGCAAGTATTCGATGAGCTTCATCGCGTGTTCACGCTCCTCGCCGGCAGCATCAAAGAACAGCTTAGCAAAACCTGGACGATTTACCTGATGACATAGACAATTTACAATTTTTAATTAACCACTCAATGGTAAGAATGTTATGGAGCTTAAATAGGGTTATGGACATGTAATACATACAACATCCCTAGAGAAGTGGGCGCCAAGCGCCAAGTACTGCAATGAAGCAGCGACCTCCATCTGGATCTGTCTGCGCATTGAAGATCGGCAACGGGTTACCATAGACACCCAGTCCCGCGGGATTTTCACCGGATTGATGTGGCCTGTCGGCGATAAAAAAAGGTTTTATTAAATCAGACATACTCGTACACACCTAATAAAAAAAAAGAAGTTGTCATTTGTTAGATACATAAGATATAAGGATAGAGAGAACACGGGGTACAGTTGTCTGTAAGTGGAAGCGATACAGGCAACAAGAGAGATGGATGCCCGATAGTTTCCTCTGTTTCTGTATCTGTTATGCTGCGATTGGCTACTTACCAACCCCTCATATTCCCCAGACAATCACAGAGCAATCTATTATCCATCTCTCTCGTTGCCTATATTGCAAGATTGGGGCTTTTGTTTATATTCTATGTTTGTCTTCTATATTTCTATATTCTATATAGATAGGTATGTTCGATTCCAGAATTTTATCAAATTTTACGTAACAGATAAATATTGATTGATGATGTTTTAGGTATGAGTTATGAATTTTATATTAATTATATACCATTTTTGACTAGAGTATAAAAATAAAAATAATAAATTACGCTTTTATGTTCTTATTTTTTATGATAAAAAAAACATAAGATTTTGTTGATAAATCTGTCCATTACCAACCAACTAATTATGTTACTAATTATTTTAAGTTTTACAGATTAAACAAAAAGAATAATGGAATAAAACGTTCGGATTGCTGAATGCTTCTTTTACTTTTTTAAGATGTCTCCTAAATTAATCATGATATCATTTTTCTTCGAATGAATAAATTCACGATTCGTTTCATTCGTTTTGTTATAAAATTCACGGAATTAATGAACGAACGAACACAAGATACTCATCTGTGGTGTAGCTTATTATTTATTATTCAAATCGAAACAATGACAACGCTTGAAATTGTTGGAAACGACTGGTAGACATTTTGTTTTCTGTTTTGTAATAAAGTTCCTTAACGATTTGGTACATCTTCGTATTAGACAATTTAGGTTTTGTAAGTAAAAAGGTCGCAGCTAATATTGCAGTGATAATTTAAATTTAGAATTCGTATTACTTAAAACTACCTAAGCTACTAAGCTACCTGGCTATGGTGTGCCTTTTTTTCAGAGCAAGGCAAGCTTTATTTTAAAGGAACATGGAAAGTTATATGACGCATGTCTGTCTCTTCTTAATCAAACGGCTCTCTACACCTTCTATCATCAATATCCTTTAATAGTCCACTGCTGGACATACTCCTGTCCTTAGAAAAGAGTTTTTGGTCTACTATACCACGCTGGTCAGACGGATCGGTATAAGGTTTGTGGCAAGTATTCCTTTTCTTGTGCTATTGTCCTGCGTAGTTTGCTCCCTTAGTCGGCTCTTACGGACACCCGTGGGATGAAGAGGGGTGACACTCTGTATTCTTAATCCGTCACCACACAGAATGTCTACCCCCTTTGGTTGTAAATAATGTATTCTTCAATCAAATGTCATCAAATGGTGTAATTCTACATTATAACTGGTATGGTATGTTCTACACCTTGATTTTTAGTCCAAAGAAATATTAATAATGTTCCTAATGTACCTGTAATATATTTACCTAATTAAATTTAAAAATGTTTTATTGAACTGATAAGGACTGCTTAGGTAGGTAACGGCTTCAAAAACTCTGATTTATCATAAATTAACTAATTAATCCGATAACTTTTTAATTTTCAATAACGTTTGAAAGAAAAGATAGTGTTTTATTGTTTATAGCCTGAAATCAAATGTTCTTCTTATCGTAATCATTTATTATCGCGATGTATTATCACCATTTAAGGTTTCCAAATGTAATTAATTTAATTTTGAGATTCATATAATGCTTTATATCGATCTTATAAAAGAAACTTTAAATTTGAATAGTTTTTCTTTCGTTTTACTTAAATATAACGGACCTACATTTTATTAATATGGTAATTCATAGGTTTAAAATAAAAATATTTCACCTGAATCATTAAATGTAACATCTTAAAGTACAGCCAGAACTGTCATCCATTTTCAATTTAATGTTATTATTTCGGTATTTTCAAATCAACATAATAGTCTTGTTTAAATGATTTGACAGTAGCTAGGTGTGACGTCACACCATAGTATTTCTTACAAAAATGTACCGCGTCTATCGTTCTCACGTTTAATAAAAAAAAAACCTGATTTGACTTGACCCCTTTTCGGCTAAATGGTCAAGATCGACTATAGACTATCCGGATATTATTTTATCTGAAATTGAAACATCGCACAAGGAGACGCTTTGTCCTTCATTATACTCATTGTTTTTTTACAAATATTTTGCGACGTAACTTTGAACAATGTATAACAAAGCGCTGTCTTTGTCACAATTTATTCACGTTACAAAGGTCAACAACACAATGAAAACAAAATGGCTGCTTTAGAAAATAAAATGCATAACAGTATTGTTATAAAACAGCTTTTTGTATTCAAGCAAATTAAAAAAATATATATGGCTACCTGCAAGAGATTTTATTGACGAAATACACTTTCCCACGTTTTGATTTCAATTATTTATTTGAATTTAGAATCTGGAGTCCTTTAAAACCATTCGGTGGGACTGGATTGGATACTTAATCGATTTTTATAGGATAAAAAACTTATACCTGCTGTCAAATCTGAGTAGGGAAGTATTAAGCATGAGGTTTTTATAAACCACACCTGTGCCTTAAAAAAATATATGTGTATATAAGCATTTTATGTGCAGATTACATGGATAATACAAGTGATGCGTAGTTTTTTCTTATAAAAAAAATAAAATAAAAGCAACACTTAAATATGTTACATACTTATATGTTGTTATTTCAAAGTGACCGCTTCCTACTGCACTGAGTATTAATGTTGGTTCGATCCCCACTTGGGACAACACTTTGTGTGATCCACAAATTGTTGTTCTAAATTATTGTCCCCCGCGAAACAGAATATATTCCTAGTGCGGAGTTGTCTTTTATGTAAAAAAAATCAAGATTGGCCACATCAATCCTTGTTTATGTGGAAAAAACACCTAAAAATGCATTGAGTTAACAACACTAGAGAAGCAAACCTCATTATCACACGTCGAAAAAAGTGTAACCACTTTTGAACTTTGACGACGTAGCTTTGATACCACGAAACATTTGAAAGTAAACATATTTATGTCTCATTTACACGCGAGACAAGAACAATACCATCGCTCGGATTAGACAAAGACAAAGACATAACTTTACGATGGTGGGCCAGTGTTTACTACCGTATGAAATTTTACCAATAACAACCAAGAAACATTTTTTTTTTTAAACAATTTTGTAATAAAATAAATTAATTTAAATATTTTAAATAATATATTTCGAATTGAATGGAATACGTATAAATATTAAAATAACTAGAAATATTTGGTTAAAAGGGTTTATATTCAGTGTAAAATCAAACTCCGCTATGAAGCATCAGTTTTGTATACAATTGTCTTTTAGACTCTTTTTTATAAGTTTGTGTGGATATTTTACTTTCATGATACAATCTTATTTTTACCTATGTATAAATAATGGCATTTAATAGTAAAAGTGAACGATCAACTTGTACTGATAATAAATAATCCCCAGGGTGTATTGCAAATTCTTTTAATATTTTAAAATACAAATAAATATATATATATATATATATATATATATTTTTATTTATATTTATTTACTTTTTTATTTTATATATTTATTTTTTGTACAATTATTATTTATATTTGATAATTAATTAAGAAAAATGAATGAATGAATTAATTAATTCTTTTGTACAAAAGTCTCCAGCACTGCGAGCTTGGCAGAAGGTGAACGTTCAACGGGTCCCTAAAAAAGGTGATCGGTCCAGCCCTAACAACTACCGTTCTTCCTATATTTTATTATTATTGACAAAATGTTTAAAATCAGTATAAAGCATATTATTTCATAAATTATAAATTCTCCCACTAATGTGGGAAAACAAAAATGATTTTTTAATGGTAACACTGATTCTGAATTACAATTTTCAATGTTTTATTTCAATTATAGCCTTATTTACGATATTATCAATACAAAAACCATAAACTTACACGTGATAAGTAATTCCGCATGATTTATTATGGTTTTGTGACCTTGAATCGCATTCTTTCACTACGCATTTACCCATTTTGGCGATTGTTACTGTCATGTTCAACTCGGTTAACGCCACATTGAACACTGAATTGACGTTTGCTACGTATATGCCTGTGGACAGATGTGCAGTAGCAACGATTTTAGGCGGTAATTACTCATCTATGTAAGTATTATATCAATGCAAAAATGTGATCAAAACTACAAAATCTTTATAAATTCATTCTTCACTACATTTATTAAAGAACTGTAGGTAGGTTTATGTATAGTTTCTACCATCAATTTCGTTAAACATATTAATACTCATCGAACGTAATAAAAACTTTTTTACTAGTAACAGCAACTTACGCATTTATTACAGATTCTCGACACCACGCGAGTTCAACAACATCAACATACAACATACCTATTAGGTCATTAGTTCTTTTGGTTAATATGGCTGTTAAGTCATTATTTATATATGTTAATAATATTGTATAAATAATTAAATAGAATAATTGTCATAAAGTGTCAAGTTACATAAGGACAATTTGTCTATGGCCTAATGCTGAAATACATTTTTAATAGATTATGTCAAATGCCAAGGTTTGATTTAAGTTTGCCCCGCTACTGTAAGGGCGGTGCTTAAGATTGTTTTTTTGAGAAAAGGGCCACGAGCCCATAAGACGAGGAGTCGTTTGTTGGAATTAAGTGGAGTAACAAGTGTGGTAAAGATTAATTGTATGGAAAATGTGTACTAAGGCATATAATACAAGGCTGTATCGTGACAACATTTTTCATTTAATTGTCCAGTCCTGACTGTACCTAACATCCGATATTCGATATATTTGGCCATGTGATGGATATGCTACGATACATCCACTCGCACAAAATATCCAATTAACACTTATAATCCTGACAATATTTTAATGGGTAATACTTTTAAGATTGTCCATTTTTAA